CCTCGGGGCAGGGAGTGGTTTGAGCAGCACTTGAAGGTAGGAAGAGTGGCAGAAAGGGGTCATAGGCTAACCTGACAAGCTCAGGGAAAGCCTGCAGGCGGTCGTACACACTCTGAGACCTAAAGTAACCACAAAGGACGGTCTGAAATTAAACTTTAACTGAAAGCAGTTATGGTCACCTCCTCAGCAGGTATCGTCCCTGACAAGGGCATCCTTTACCTTGACGGAGCCCATTATCTTTTTGCATCTTCTAAGATAACATACCTATGAAATGTCAGAGTAACTTATAACTTCTCCCCCGCCCCACCCCTGGGGCACAAGCAAATGCAGCTGGGCACCGGACAGAGACCGCACATTCACTCATGGCTGTTGTTACCATGTTAACTGCTGGCTGGAACTAGCCTGCACCCACCTAAGTAAAAGAAGTGTGTGTCTGTGGTTTTACTTTTTATCCAATCCCAGAGGCCCGCCCCTCCCCCACACTCTGCTTTCTCCCGCCTCCCTAATCTATCACCAATGGACTTCATGTAACCCACTCATGTCTTCTTCTTTGATCGTAATGTATAAAAATAGGTAAAACAGAAACAAACACAAACAAACAGAAAGGCTGTTCTCTGGAGCATTATCCCAAACCATTAAGATTCTGCTTCCTGGCAATTGTCAACAGCTTGGTGCACATAAACTCACAAATATTCTCTACAGGTTTGACTGTTTTTTTAAAAATATATTTTATTGATTTTTTACAGAGAGGAAGGGAGAAGGATAGAGAGTTAGAAACATCAATGATGAGAGAAAAACATGGATCAGCTGCCTCCTGACACACCCCCTATTGGCGATGTGCCCACAATCAAGGCACATGCCCTTGAACGGAATCAAATCTGGGACCTTTCAGTGTGCAGGCCGATGCTCTATCCACTGAGCCAAACAGGTTTCGGCTCCCATGGAGTCTTTAAAATGTTCTATTATTTTAAAAATGTCAAACATATACAACAGTAGAGAGAATGGTATTCTGAATCCCCATACACCCATCACTCAGCTTCAAGAATCATCAATATTTTGTTAACTTATTCATTTATCTCCTTTCTATCCCCCCTTACCCGCCCCCCCCCCAAAAAATGGGAGTATTTTAAAGGAAATGCAAAGACTCATTTCACCATGAACACTTCCATAAACGGAGCGAAAAGACTTCTGTGTGGCCTGGTTTCTCTTTAGACCTGCTAGCACTGGAAGGGATGACGTAACAGTCAGCGCAGGGGTTTCTCCAGAAGGAGAGAGGCACATTCCTTGCAGGCTGTGCAATTTGTTTTGCTCTCAACCCAGGACCCTTCTTGGCTGAAACTCCTCTGGCCTCGGGATTTACACTTTTCTCAAATACTGCAAGTAAAAAAATCTGGCTTCCTGCAGCTAAAGACTTCTGGGGAGTGCTGCTTCGGAAACTATTTTTGGCATGAACATGTCACCCAAGCCGTTTGAAATGCTTTGGAAACTTTAAGGTATGGAAAGTATCTGACCAGAGCCTGGCTGAGGCTGAGTGGGTAGAGGTTATTACACAGGCCTGTCATTTTCCATCAGGGTTCCTGCTTCTGAAATTCCCCCACTTGCTGCTCTCAATGCCTTAGGCCAGTGTTTCCCAAACTTCTCTCATGATGAGAATCAACCACCTGGTGGAGTTGTTAAAATACAGATTCCTGAATCCCAACTAAGAAGTGCTAAACTAGAATTTTTTGGGAACATATAGGTAAAATTGTATACTTAACTAGTGCTCTAGCAACAGGTTGGGAAGAGGAGAAGGATCTGAGGGCTGGCAGTACAAGCTGTAGAGGGTGGATGCGGTGAAGCTGCAGAGTCTGACTTCATTGGGTGATAATGGCGTGTGCCATGTCACCTACCCTGGGCTCAGGAGATAGAGTAGATGAGATGGAAGAGACCCTATGGGGAGGTGGGTGATTGATAACTCTGAACCTGTGTAGGTTCACAGAACTTCTGACATCAAATGTGTGGGTTTTCCCACACCAACCACCAGTTCTCCAAATCCCCTATGTTAATTGGATGCCCTACAACGTAATTTAATTCTGACACTAACCACCCAGAGTTAGTGTCGGATTCCCCAGGTTTAAGGGCTCAACTCCCACAAGATTGCTCTCGCTTCAAACACCACGTCCCAGATTGTCTCTTGTACTTCTGACCAACCAGCTATAAATTGAGGGTTCCCACGACTTCCTCCTCAGACTCGATAATGTGCTAGAACAGCTCACAAAACTCAGGGAAACATGTTACTTCCATTGACTGGCTTATTATAAAGAATACAGAAGAACGTCCAAGTGAAGAGTGCATAGAAGATGTGTGTTGTTGCTATACCCTCTCTGGGTGTGTCCACAAACCTGGAATCCCATCATGTAGGGGTTTTAAGGAGGTTTCATGACTTTGACATGATTGATCAAACCATTGACAACTGGTGATTAAGTTGATCTCCTGCTCTTCTTTCCTCCCCGAAGTTAGAGGGTGGGATAGAAAGTTCCGACCCTATAATCACACCTTGGACTCTCTGGAGACCAGCACCCATCCTAAAGCTATCTAAGAGCTCCAGTAAGAAGTCATCTCATTAGCATGCAAAAGACATCCTTAGCATCCCGGAGACACCAAAGGTTAGGAGCTGTGTGTCAGGAATCAAGGACAAAGACCAAAGACCAAATATTTATTTATTTTATTATATCACTACTAGAGGCCCGGTGCACGGTATTTGTGGGGTGAGGAGGGAGGGGGTGGTGGTCTTCCTCGGCCCAGCCTGCACACTCTCCGATTTGGGACATCCCTCTCACAATCCAGGACTGCTGGCTCTCAACTGCTCACCTGACTGCCTCCTGATTGCCCCTAACTGCTTCTGCCTGTCAGCATGATCACCCCTAACCATTCCCATGCCAGCCTGTTTGCTTCCAACTTCCCCCTTCTGTCAGCCTGGTCATCCCTAACTGCCCTCCCCTACAGGGTTGATCACCCTCAATTGCCCTCCCTTGCTTGGCTGATCACCCACAACTATCCTCCCTTGCAGGCCTGGTCCCTTCCGACTGCCCTCCCCTGCTGGCCATCTTGTGTCCACATGGGGGCAGGATCTTTGGCCACATGGGAAAAGCTATCTTGATCTTATGTGTTGGAGTGATGGTTAATCTGAATATTACTCTTTTATTAGATAGAATACCCTTTAGTGAGGTTCATCCCACTTTCTCCCATCTGAGTGGATTGAGGTCTCATTGGGATTAAGTGGGACAAACTGAGAGAGAACAATGAAAGTTCTCAGGGACTTCCATCTCCATTGCCCCACTCTTGGGACCCGCCCTGTCCACAGTCTTCCTGGGTGGGACGCTAATGGAGAAACCAGCTGAGCCTGGGCTCTGTGAAATGGAAGCAGGTATAAACAGCAGAGCACAGAGGGTGATGGGGATCCCAGTCTTCAGGAAGGCTGCTCAGGATGCTGCTCTGAGGACTCTCTCCAGGGAGATTGGACAAAGACAGACTGTCCACATACAGCACAACAGGGCTCAGCTCTAGTTCCCAAACTGAGCAAATCACAGGCCCCAGCCCCAGGATGCACTGCTTCTGAGCTTCTTCTTAGCGTGCAATCCCATTCCCCACCATCAGGGGGCACTCACACCACGTTCCATCAGGGCCAATAGGAACTCATGACAAATTGCTGTGTGGTCCATGGTCCCCACCCAGCCCTACTCCTTTCATGGAGGAAATTTTATTCTTCTGGACAGTGGAGACTTGCTGATTTACTCATTCATTACTTTGACAATTTTCACGCCTTTATTAAGAACTATAATTGCTTCACCTCTGGGCTCCATATACTCGTCCGTTTGGCTCAGGGGCAGCATGGCAGAGCAGAATGTCCTCTGAACAGGATCCAGGGACCCTTGTTCTTGTCCTTGATCTGACCCTGCCACTTACCATTTAGGTTCTCAACTGCCAAATCTGCAAAAATGGGGCACCTGGTGCTGTCCCATTGAACTGATGAACTCTGCGGTATGAGAATGCTTAAAGCTTCTTAAGTGTTGTGCCTCTGTGATTTATTGTCGTCATTGAGATCTCTGCCTGCCTCCCTGTGTTAGGTGAAGATCATGTGAAGGAGAAGGGAGGGTGCTTTGTGTGAAGATGAAATACATGTGGACCCATATCCAGACTGCTGCTAGGGATAGGGTGCACGGATACTGTGCTGATTCCTTTGAAATTGGTGACATTTTTCGCTGACACATGTAAGAAGCCACCTCTCTCCTCTGAGATGCCAAGTATGAGAGTGGGAGGGAGGGTGAGGATGAGCCTTTTTCTTCATCAGATCATCATGAGATCAGAAAAGCAGAGGAGGATTGAGTTTTGGGAAGTAATATCAGTGTCAGCTGAAAGGGCCTTCAAAAACAATCTTTCAGTCTTCCTTTTTTTTCCCTTTTAAATTCTCATCTGAAGATATTTTTTTCATTGATTTCAGGAGAGGGAGTGAGAGAAACATTGATGTGAGACACATGGATTGGTTGCCTCCTGCCCCTGCCCCCAATCAGGATGGGGGATTGAACCTATGACAGAGGTACATGCCCTTGACTGAGAATTGAACCCGAGACCCTTCAGTCTCTGGGTTGGTGCTCTAACCACTTAGCAAACTAGCCAGCATTTTTCTCCTCCTCCTCCTCCTCCTCCTCCTCTTTGTCCTCCTCTTCCTCTTCCTCCTCCTCCTCCTTTCTCCTCCTCCTCCTCCTCTTCCTCCTCTTCCTCCTCCTCCTCCTCCTTTTTTTGTAGGTGGGAAATCAAGGCCCAGAGAAAGGAAAAGCATTGCCCAAAATGTGTTTGCCTTCAAGACCTACCTACACAATTCCCTGTCCTCATTCCTGGCCAGGGCTCATTCTGATCCTCCTGCCCTCCCCCTTCCCCTGAACACCTGGTCTGACTAAATCATAAGCCCAGAACTTGGGCTGGGCATATGTTACCCACCATGCCTGATGCATGTGCAGGTAGTGGATGTAGGGAGGATTCATTTTATCCTTAAGTTCAGAAGTCATTTAAGAAAACAGAGGTGAGTTATCTTATGGTGTTGGAGTTATAGGTGATTTTTATTTTCTTTCTTATCATTTTCATGGCTTTCTAAATGTTTGCAACAAATATCTCTAATTTTATAAACCCCACCCAATCCAAATCTTATTTTTAAAAAAGAAGAAGCCTTAGCCAGTTTGGCTCAGTGGATAGAGCGTTGGCCAATGGGCTGAAGAGTCAAGGGCTTGACTGCGGTCCAGAGCACGTACCTCGGTTGCAGGATTCATTCCCAACCCTGGTCAGGGCATGTGCATGAGGCAACCAATCAATGTGATGTGTCTCTCTCACATTGATGTTTCTCTCTGCCTCCCCTCCTCCCTTCACTCTTCCTAAAAATCAATGGAAAAAATAAGGAAATCGGAGAGTGGTGAAATGCCCAGCTCTGACTTGGAGTCCATCAAACAGGCCAACTGGGATCTGTCACAACATCCTGAAGGTCATCCAGCTCACCAGCCTGGCATCCAATGCCATCCAGGCAGCATCACCCACCTCCTCGCCTTTGCTCCCACCAGGACCCACTCCTGAAATGTCCTCCTTCCATCACCACCACCAAATTGGACTCATTGTTCAGGGTCTGACATAATTCTGCTAGTTCTGTGGAGATGTTTGAAAGCCCCCCTCCTCCAATTGGGACAGACGTCTGTCTCTCTCCTTTGACCACGAGAGGCACGTTATTTGCCCTTGTTTTATAATCTTATCATGTGCCTCGTCCCAGAGTCATTGTTCCCGGGTCTGACTCTCCCAATGGGCTGAAGCCTCCTGGGCAGCAGGGCCTGAGTAGTATTTATCTCTGTGCTCCCGATGCCATCCTCAGCCTGGCACATGCCAGGCTTCACATGAATGTTTGTTGAACTTACGTGAGTGGAAAATACAGCATCCTAAAAGAGGGATATTGTGATATATCACTTTATGGCAGGGCTAGCCAACCTTGGCACATTGACATCTGGGGAGGGATAATTCCATGTGGTGCGGAGCTGTGGTGCTTAGCAGTTTCCCTGACCTTTGCCAATAGACACTTCTGCCAAGAGATACCTCCAGTTGTGACGATAAAAAACTTGGACATTGTCTTTCGTCCCTCGGGTGGAGAACCAGTGGTATATGGTTTATAAATGGTTTTTATAAATATTCCCTAGGACTAGGAATTCCTGTTTGATTGACGAGAAAGGCAAAGCTGATGGAGCCTGTAGAGTTGAAATTGGGTCTTGCTCAGAGGTGTCTTATTCCAAGTCCAGGGCTGATCCTACTCTCCTGGAGGGGACCCCAGCCAGGTCCCCTTTGTTGCTCCGCTGTGGTGTACCACCCTCTGCCCCCCACCCCCCACCCCCGCCCCGTCTCCTGGCTGTGTCTGATCACTTCTTCTCCAGCACTTTGAGCTCCTCCCCGTGCTTGAACACGCTGATGGTGACCTGGCCTGTCTCGGAGCCATACTTGTTCTTGACAAAGACGCCGTAGCGCCCGCTGTCCTCACTGTTGACCTTCTCGATGGTGATGGTGACCTCTGACCCCCTAACCTCCATGCGGTAACGGTCAAGGAAGGTGACAGGCTGGTCATTCTTCAGCCAAGAAATTTCAGGGGCGGGGTCTCCTGAGATGACGCAGGTCAGGCACAGGGTCTGGAACGACGGGAAGAGAACACTTGATCAGCTCCTGGTAGGAACCCTTGGCATTCGCTGTCCCTCCCCCAGAGAGCTCCCAGCACACGCTGCTCCTTGTGATAGGTTCATTCTGTGCATTTTATTGTATCGCATAAAGGGATAACATTAAAGGGAGAGACATTTTACTTTAACCCCCGTCCTCCATCCTCAACTTTCCTCCATCCTCCATTTTTCTATAAGAATACTTACTAGTTAGGGTTTTAGATCATTATCATTCTGCCAAATATCTGCCCCAGAAAGGCCTGAACTTTGCTTTATTGCTTTTTGTGGTATATATGTCATTCTGACGTAGGCAAATAAGGCTATATTGCTTTAACATAAAGATTTATAAATTGCGTTTGAAAATTCTTGAGTGAGCTCTAAATCAGAGCCATATAATGTAATGGTCAAACACTGAGCGTCTGGAGCTGGGCTACCTCAGCGCTGCTCCTTCAAGCTGTGTGACCTTAGGTGAGTCCTTTAACCTCTCTGGGTCTCAGTTTTCTCAGCTATAAAGTGTGACTAGTAATAACATCTCATTCCATGTGGTTGCCTTGATGGTTAAACAAGCCAACTCATGTAGCATAAATGCAATAGTGCCTGGCACAAAGCAAGTACCGTAATAACGGTAGCTGTCATTTTCTAGAACATTAGACTTGCATAATTTCAGCCCTGGAAGGGCTTTTAGGGATTATCTAATTGAACCCCTAAAGGACACTGAATTCACAGAGGGAAGTTCATGACACCCAGGGCAGGTCGGTGGAGAGAGCTGGCAGAGCTGGGGCAAGCACTCCCTTGGGTCTGACCCCAGGCTCAGGGGCTTCCTTTGTACTACATGTGACTATGTGACCATGTCATGTGGCCATGTGACCATACTACATGTGACCATGAGGTGTTGTACTCGGCCAGGCGCTGGAATCCACAGTGCTGGAGTCCATTTGTTGTTGTTGTTCATCCTTACCCAAGGATATTTTTTTCCATTGATTTTTAGAAGTCAAAAGAAGGGAGGGAGGAAAGCAAGGAGGGAGAGAAACATTGACGTGAGAGAGACACATTGATTAGTGGCCTTGAGCACGTGCCCTGGCCAGGGCCATAGATTGAACTTGAAACCCGGATATGTGTCCTTGACCGGGTATTGTGCCTGTGATCCTTTGGTATGCGGGCCAACACTCTAATCACTGACCCACACTAGCCAGGGCTGTGCCAGAATTTCTGATGGACATGTGATGGACACAGCATGGGACTGCTGGCCCTGGGCAGGGGACAGTCTGTACCTTATCCTCCATGATTGTGGCCACATCCGGCAGGCCCCTCACCACTTTGGCACGATCTGCAAGGAAAAAGTGAGACCCCCCGCGATGAATGTTTTCCTGCAGATCGCGTCCCAGAAGCAAGTTTCCATTGAGCTGAGCAATGCTCCTTTTTCTATTTCCATCATTTCAGGCATGGAAATCTTTACATTTGTACCACACGTTTCCTTGCCTTCGGGAACAGAAAGTAGGGGACAGAATGCGTTTCTGTTACTGACTTGAAGTCCTCGTCATGACTGGTGGTACCTGGAGGGGGCAATGGGATGCCCTTCCCCTCAAGAACTGGGACAGAAGGAACATGAGATGGCTCTGAGCCTTAAACTGGCAAAAGCACACAATAGGTGTTGATGAATCAGAGACTCAAGAGGGTGGATTGGGGGGGGGGGAGGAAAAACGGGACAGAAGCATTTGGGGCAGACTCTGGTCGAGGAGGGGACTGGCGGCCATTGTGGGAAGTGGCGGCCATTGTGGGACACATGGACTCAGCAGGAAGTCCATGTGTCCCTTAGGCTGCAGTTGAGGCTGTGGGAGCAGGAGGGGTGGGAGCGTGGGCCCTAGAGCCAGACGAGGATGTGCAAAGAGCCCGAGTGGCGGGGGTCAGTCCGATGGATGTCAGGGGGGCAGGACCCTGAATGCGGTCGGGGGAGAAGGGCCCAGAGATGGACGCTGTGGGACAGTAGCCAGGCCCTTCACAGCTGGTGAAAGGGTCCACTTCCCTGGACTCTGGATTCTACAAGCCCAGCCACCGTGTGTGGCGAATGCAGCTCCCTCTCTTAGCATCCCGGACAGGGGTCCTGCCCGGGGACACGCATCCAGGATGGAGGGATGCTCTTGCTGGGTCAGTGAGTGGACGGCGGTGTGAAGGGCTTGCGAGCCTCCTGATCAGGGTGGCACCTCCTGGCAAGGTATAGGCTGAGGGGGAGGGGGGTGTCTCCAGATGGACTCTCGCCACCAAAGAGGCCACGCCCCTGAAGGACTGCCCTCTGCCTGGCCATGTAGCCCCCCACTTCCCAGTTATCTTTATGATGCTGAGGCCCGCACTTCCTGCCACGGGGGAGACTCAGACACAATGTCTCTGTGGAGGGTGAATTCCCCCTCCCACAGATGACCTCAGCTAGAGGTTTTGAGTTCTTGCTTCTGCTTCTCAGAGTCATTCAGTTTCTCACCTGCCTGTCGGGTTTCACCTGACCTTGCACTTGACGTTGCCCGTGGGCCTTCTGGGCACTTGGCCCACGCTGGGCGCCTCCACACCCACAGTCTCAGGGACCCTCGGAGTTCTTAACCACTTGTCTTCACGCTGTCACCGCCCAGGAGTCCCTGGCAGCTCCATGACAGCTCAGAGCCACGCAGACCCCAATGGGACCTGCACAGCCCCCCCTTCCCCCTCCCCCGGGGGCCATAAGCTCCCTGGCAGCCGCCCCAACCCCGGAAATGAAAACCACGGGGATGTGAGTGACTTACTCTTCTCAATGATGGCCAAGGCTCTGAAAAACAGAAATGGGAACAGGCTCAGGTTCCATTTGCTAAGGGGCAGTGGTGCGCGGGTGGGGGCGAGGGGATGAGGAGGGGCAGGAAGAGCTGGCCGGGCTCCCGGAAAGGGGTCCTGGGCACAGCTCATGCCGGACCCACGGGCCCGTGACTCACACTGAGAACCACAGAGGAACTCACTTCAGTCTCTGGTGCTCAGCCATGGCGTCCTCAAAAGCTGTGAGAGGGAAACAGGGACGGGAGAGGGGTGTCAGGGCACCTGCCCCGGTGACCCTCAGGCTCAGGGCTTGGTGCCAGGAGCCCTCCACTCTTTCCCCTCCCAGCCCAGTTCTCTTGGGCAATGCCAGGTTGGGTGGGATGGGCATGGGGTTGTCCAGAAGACCGTGGGGCTTTTACTGGGGACAGACAGGCGGACAGCTCACCTTGTCCCGAGAGGTCGGTGGAGAGCTGCCGGACTTCCTTCCCGGCTGCGATCTCCAGGGTGTACCTGCCCTTGTCTGAGTCTTTGGGATCCAGGATGTGGAGCCAGATCTCATCCAGCGTGGTGCCAGCTCGCGTCCGGTCCCCACTCTCCAGGCGCTTCTCTCTGAATGTGGGCAGAGGAATGGTTAACGGTGCAGCAACTCCCCCTCTCCCCCTCAACAGCTGTCTGCAGGTCTTCGGCTCCCCAGCCCTGAATGCCCTCTCCTGGGGTTTTGTTTCCAGATTCCTGAGCTGAAGGTGGTGAGCATCCATGAGACATTCCATAACTATCCATCCATCCATTCATCCATCCATCATCCATCCATCCATTCTATCCATCCCATCCATCCACACATCCATCCATCCATTATCCATCCATTATCCATCCATCCATTCTATCATTCATTCCATCCATCCACTCATCCATTATCCATCCATCCATCCATCCCTATCCATCTCATCCATCCACACATCCATCCATTCACCCATCCATCCACCCATCCATCCACCCATCCGTCCACCCATCCACCCATCCGTCCACCCATCCATGTGCCACTGCTGAGTCTGTGTTGTGCCATGTCCTGCAGGCTGGGAACCAGAGGAAGCAGTGCTTTAGGTTAGTGACCACCAGTCACTTCCTCACCTCTTCACTCTCCTCATCTTTACCCCTTCCAGGGTTTCTTCCACAATTACTCTCCCCTCGCCCTTAGAAAGAAACCATTTAAACTTATTTTTGTTGCTGGGTTTTGTTTGTTTTTTTGTTAATCCTCATCCAAGAATATTTTTTTCATTGATTTTTAGAGAGAGCAGAAGGGAGGGAGGGAGAAGGAGAGAGAGAGAGAGAGAGAGAGAGAGAGAGAGAGAGAGAGAGAGAGAGAGAGAAACATCTATTGGTTGCCTCCCGAACACAACCTGACCTGGGCTGGGGATTGGCCTGCAACCCAGGTACATGCCCTTGACTGGAATCAAACCCAGAACCATTCAGTCCACAGGCTGACGCTCTATCCACTGAACCAAACTGGCTAGGACTAGGGCTAACCTTTTTGGTTCTTGTTTTTAACTTGGAGTTCATTCCTGAAAACATCTGGCCCATGCCCCCAGTGTTATGTTGCAGAAGCGACACCTCTGGGCTTAGGCACAGGCCTTAGAAATGCCAGGGTGGGAGCTCCATTATCTTGGAATTCAACTTGGCCTCAGCTCTCACTCATTTGACAAACTTGTCCTAGTCAGTGCAGCCTTCTCCACAGAATGGGTGCAGCAACGTCTGCTCCACAAGGCTGAGGAGTGCCCATGGCGAGAAGGGCCAGAAAAATTCTGCTCTCACACAATCTGGGGTTCCTTAGTTCGCAGTCAAATCTTCGTGGATACCTTATCTACCCGCCCTTCATCCCTGGCCCTCAGCTAGTTGTCAGCCTCACAGGCCCTTTTACTTGAGCCTGAGTTTGCTAAGGCTGCAGAGACCAGCAAGGGCATCATGACCCCCTCCTCCACCTGGCTGGCCGGTTCGCCCTGGTTCCTGCACCCTTCCCTCCCTCAGTTCTGGAGGCAGCCCTTAGCTGGTCCTACCACCAGGCCATCCAGCTTCCCTGGGGGATCTTCCTTCTGCTCCCAATTCCCGACTCCCTCTGTGGGCAACGGACCAGTGGGAGACCCCGTCTGCCGACCCCTTGGGACTGGGCTGGGCCAGGTGCTGGGTGCCCTGCAGCCGGGGTAGGGCTCCAGGGCAAAGCCAACCTACTTGTGGGACCAGGAGGTTTTCATGTAGTCCACGTTGTAGTACTTGACTTTGCTGAAGATCCGGATCCCCTCCTCGGTGCCCTGGACTTCCAGGGGGGTGGCAGAGAGCACTGGGGAGGCAGAGGAGAGGCCTGAGTCTCCCCCGAGCTCCTTCCGGCAGCACACTTTGGGGCCCACCAGCTTGTCCTGCTCTTGGGGTGCGGTGGGAGGTTGCAGGGTTGTGAGGAGGCAGGAGCATCTCTCCCTCTGCCCCCTGTCTCTGGGTTTGGAGACTAAGCCCACCCCAGAAGCCAAGGCCGGTTGGCGGTCCCTGGAGGTGATCTGGCATCAGGGAGGGTTGGGCAGAGAGAGGGGGTTACTTACCACCAATCCTGCCCAGCTCCGTGAAGACAGCGTCCAGGGCTGGGGGAGACAGAGAGAGCGGTCAGCTGACATCGGACCTCCCCTCACCGCCCCCCATGGATGCACCAGGCAGGGGGCATCCTCAGAAGGGCTGGAGGAGCTCAGAGCGGCACACAGGGAGCTCTGCAGGACGCCTGCCAGGTCGGGGATGAGAGCCTGGGGCACTCAGTGACGGATAAGGCAGGGCCCCCACGGCTGGAGGACGATGGGCCGACCTGACAGTGCTCTTGCCGGCTGTGCCATCCAGCCGGACGAGGAGCCAGGGGCCCCATGGGGCAGAGCAGTGAACTTGGGCTGGGAGCCTCGAAGCCTGGGCTCCCGGTGGTATGTCTCAGAGACCTGGGGCCTCAGTGTCACACAGACCAGGCCCCTGCCACTGACTAGCTGTGCAGCCTTGGGCCCGTCGCTTAACCTCTCTGGGCCTCAGCTGCTGCAAGTGCTATGCGGCTCCTGCACGTCTCACTCCACAGGCAGGTCACTGTCTCTGGTTCAGCGTGAACGCCTCCTGGCCCATCCCCAACATCGCCAGCCCCTACCTTCCCCCATGAGGTCCAGTATGGTGTCGTCCTGCCCACGGTCGTCAGAAACCGACGCTCTGTAGACGCCCATGTCCGCCTTGGACAGCTGGAAGGAAGTGAGGAGGGGCAGGGTCAGCCCGGGCTCCAGGCCGGGCCTCGCTCTCTGTGTGACCTCAGGAAAGACCCATCTCCTCCCTGGGCCTCAGTTTACCCTTTCTGGAATGGGTGTGCTCTCAGGCTCCTCCAGCTCCAGAGCCCCCTGATTCCAACCAGGGCTGGCCTGGGCCTGAGGGTGCGGTGGGTGAGAGTCGAGAGCAGCTGCTCCGAGCAGAGTGAGGGACCCCTCTGCATGGAGCCTGTCTGAGCACCACTCACTGCCCCCCCCCCCCCCCCCCCCCCCCCCCCCCCCGCCGGGCTGCCCTGCTTCCTGGGGCCCTGGGAGGAGGGACCCCTGTGGTTCTGAGGAAGGAAGTGTGTCCTTTCCCTCAGGAATAGGGGGGTCCTCTCTGGCACATGCTTGTTAACCCCAAAATGAAGCCTGTATCAACACATTAAACCATTAACTTGGGTGTTACTTTAATATATATATATATATATATATATATATATATATATATATATATATATATTATTGATTTCAGAGAGGAAAGGAGAGGGAGAGAGAGAAACAGCAATAATGAGAGGGAATCATTGATCGGCTGCCTCCTGCAAGCTCCACACTAGGGATCAGGCCCCAAACCCAGGATTACTGGGGCGGGATTTAGCCTGCAACCCAGGCACGTGCTGGAATCAAACCTGAGACCCTTTAGTCCGCAGGCCGATGCTCTACCCACTGAGTCAACCCAGCGAGGGCTGAAATATTATTTGTCTTGATTCCTGAGCTTTAGTGCCCTCTTACATTTTGCACCCGTGCTGACAGGCTCACCGGCCTCACCCGGCCCTGGCCCTGCTCCTGACCCGGCGCCCGTGCTCCCGGCGCTGCCCAGAGGGTGCGAGCCCGGCGCCCGGTGCTCCCGGCGCTGCCCGGAGGGTGCGAGCCCGGCGCCCATGCTCCCGGCGCTGCCCGGAGGGTGCGAGCCCGGCGCCCGTGCTCCCGGCGCTGCCCGGAGGGTGCGAGCCCGGCGCCCGTGCTCCCGGCGCTGCCCGGAGGGTGTGAGAGCCCGGCGCCCATGCTCCCGGCGCCCGTGCTCCCGGCGCTGCCCGGAGGGTGTGAGCCCGGCGCCCGTGCTCCCGGCGCCTGGTGCTCCCGGCGCTCGGTGCTCCCGGCGCTGCCCAGAGGGTGTGAGCCCGGCGCCCGTGCTCCCGGCGCCTGGTGCTCCCGGCGCTCGGTGCTCCCGGCGCTGCCCGGAGCGGGCGAGCCCGGAGCCGGAGCCGCACCCACCTCCTCGATGCGGAGGAGCCCCGCTCCGGTCTGCGGGTCGTACTGGCCGTCCGGCGCCTCTTTATTCTGGAAGAACCACTGGAAGCGAGTCTCGCTCTTGGTGTTGGTCACCTGGGGAAAGTGGAGAATGTGGCTCCAGCGGGCTTCCTCTTTTTCAGTGAAAACTCAGCTCATCAGAACTTATTTATTTTATTTTTTAACAAATGTGACACTTTCCCCTGCACACACACACCCTCACCGTGAGTCCCAGCCACCTTCTTCCTCACACCCAGGCCTCTGCTGGCTTCTGGACTCAGGACTTTTGCTAATGCTGCTCCCTCTGCCTCTTGGTCCCTTTGCTACTCTAGCTTCCTCGTAAACACCTCTGCATCTTACACTTGTCCACTGTCACCTCCCTCGGGAAGCCTTCCTGGAAGCTCCCCAGAGTGCCCACGAGTCCCGGTCACAGCAGGAGGCACAATGTTTCCCAAGGATCCTGATTCAGACCCTGGGCTCCTACGGAGGCCACTTCCTCCTCCTTGTGTGCCCAGTGCTTTGCAGAGTGTCAGGTGCTTTGAGTTTGCTGGACGGATATGCTCGGGGAGAGTACCTCTCCCCACCCGGCCCTCCCCCAGTTTCCCTTCCACCTCTTGGCCCTCCCCCAGTTCACTAAAGAGGCTGCAGGGTGCCGAGAAGGAGCACCACTGAGTGTCAGACAGACTCCCGGCTCCACCTGTTGATTCTGAGCGACCCCCCTGTTTGTTTTCCCATCCGTGAAGTGGGGGTAATAATGCCTAACGCCCAGATGCTCGTGAGGCGGATGAAATAAAACAACGCTCTGAAGCACTGAGCAGAGTGTCTGGCAAGGCAGCCCATAGATACCAGGGAACCTGCTCAACACACGGACCCCTCACTTGCTCTCAGACCCCGGGCCCCAAAGAACCCCTGCCCTGTGCAGCTCAGAGACCCAATTCCAGGCCGACCCAGCTCCCGCTAATCCTGCTCCCTGGGCTTTGCTTTCTGGTTAAATGCAATATCCTAGGCTTCTTTGCAGGTGTGGGAGCAACCAAGCACAGGGTATTGATTTTGTGGGAGCAGAGCAAATACAGCCAGCAGGCCTGGGGACAAGCCACAGAGACAGTGGGCCTCGGGGCAGGGCTGGAGGCAGGGGCAGGGACTTGCCTTGCACGTCAGCAGCACTTGGCAGTCCTCTGTGACCTTCCACTGCAAGAACTCCTCGAAATAGGGACCTGCAAGCGCAAAACAAACACGCCCACCGGTCAGCGCTCCAGGCTCAGCCAGGGCGTCACCTGGTGGCGAGACAAGGGAAGCCAGCTGGGACTGGGGCAGCTAGGGACCACGGGTCCCCTCAGGTTCTGCCCCCACCAGAGTGGCAGAGGCCTAGGGTGCAAAATCTAAGGAGGCACCACTCTCCTCGTGGGGCGAGCGCTGTTTCGTTCTGGCACAGGGACAGAGCCGGAATGAATCGCAGTGGCCTCCCTGGGGGGCCCAGCAGGGCCGAGGGATCCATTAACCTAATAGTCCAGCGTTTCCCAGCCCTGACCTCTGGCCTGGTGGCCGAGGCCTTTGAACTCCACCCCAGTCACTCTTACCCTGTTTTCTCTTCCAGTCTCTCCTCTTGGCATCCGCTTTCCTCAGAAGTTTGTCGAAATCTGTGAACACACAGGGAGGGGCTGGCATGAGCCACGAGGAACACGGGTCCACAGAGGGGCATCGGGGTGGACAGAAGGCCCCAGAGCCGCGAGCGGAGGCCGGGGGCACGGGCGGGGTGGGCAGGGCGCGGCTGACCGTCGTCCACCAGGGCCAGGGTGATCTGGTTTTTGGCTTTCCCGTCTTGGAGCTGAGCTGTGTACGACCCTTTGTCCTCCTCACGCAGGTTCTCGATGATCACTTCCACCAGGCCCTTCTCTCGCTCAAAATTGATTTTGCGGTCCTGGGGAGAACAAACCTGAGAGTCAAAGTTGCCCTTTCCCAGCCTCAGGGCAATTGCGTTATGGGCACACATGTGCAGGTGGGCCTGCAGAGTGGTATGGGCAGATAGAAGCTTTCAGAGATGGGGAGGGAGCCGTGAGTAACCCTCTACTGCTTGCAGTGTGGGGTTCTCCCCCAAACTGGCCCCCGAGAACATGCCTGGGGGCTGGCAGGCACAGGGGTGAGTCTTGGTGCTTGAATTAATTGCAATTAATAATACGCCACAACCCCTATTGTGGCCCCCGCCCTTTCTATTAAAATACTTCTTTTACAATTCTCCACAAAAGTGTAAAGGATAATATCTAAGTAGCCTGTGCACTTGCTATCCAGAATTAACACCCATTTGTATTTTGTCATATTCAACCAGTTTTAAAAGTTTTCTTTTCCATATTTGTTTTATTTTTTAAAATGTATTTTTATTGATTTCAGAGAGGAAGAGAGAGAGAGAGAAACATCAATTGGCTGCCTCCTGCATGCCCCCCGCTGGGGACTGAGCCCGCAACTCAGGCATGTGCCCTGACTGGGAATCGAACTGTGATCTCCTGGTTCATAGGTCAATGCTCAACCGCTTAGCCACACAGGTTGGGCTCTCTTCCACACTTAAAATCTTATTTCCTCTGGTCTTATTGGTATGTGTGGCTTGAGGAAGTCATCTATTGTAGTTTTATTTTTATGTTTCTATCAGGGCCAGTGATAGTCTACCTCTGCCATGTGCCAAGTTCATACTTAATCATTAAGCAGAACATTCAAATCTGTTTCCTCCTTTCCTCCTCCTGATTCTGGGACAACCAGCCCCATTGTACAGATGCAGAAACAGAGGCCTACAGAGGGGAAGGGCTTGCCCAATAGCACACAACCGATGAGAATCCTGTGGCCTCGAACCCTGAGCTCATCCCATCTCTCCACAACACATACTTTCTGATGGTGGTGAAACTCACATATAGTAGGATCTTATAATTAAATCCGTTATGAGATTGAAATAGTGCTTGTAAGTAAAACCAGTTGAATATGAGCAACTCGTGTGTCAACTATAAAAAGCAATGGAGGACTTGTATGCATGCATATAAGCAAAACCAATGCACGAAAAACTTGGGGAGGGGGAGGGCATGTATAGGAGTGGAGGGGGGCAATGGAAAGATATGTACACATATAATACTGTAATAAAAAAATCCAAACAGTTAAAAAAAAGCAATGGAATACTACAAGTGTAATAGGAAGAAGGAGTAAAAGTAATATCAGCAAATAAAAATAATATAAGGTACACTCTCCTGCTGCACTGATTTATAATGAACTCGTTTGAATTTAAGAAAAGAAAAAAGATAAAAAATCATTCTGTCCAAGAACAGGAAAATGGATGAAAGAGCGTATGTGAAATGTCTACTTGAATAAAAACTCTATTCCATGTATGTGTGAAAATTCTCTGTATATCTCAGAGTTAGCGTCTAGGCCTGGATACTTATCAGTATGAATATGGGTTTTTCACCTGAAGAATGTCTGGTGGGACATTCAAATGTTGCAGGGGGTGTGGGAAATTCTTTTTGGGGTTCGCATTGCCTCTGCCTCCCCTTCCCGCCCCCCCCACCCCCAGGCACTGAAAACCAGGTGTCCCCATACCCACGCCATCACTGTGACCGTTTCTGATAAATCCGCTAGGGGGCGCTGCTGACTTGTGGGGAACCACTGCCCCGGAAGCCAGGAGCTGGGCTGGGGACCTCCCTTAGGAAGGAATCTGGGTTCCAGTTACCGGCGAGCTGAAGATCTCCTTCTCGTTGAAGATGAGATGCAGCTCAGCGGCCGGGGATAACTTTTCCACTTCCAGCCACAGCCGCACCTCCCCTCGCTCGAGGATGTCAATGTTCCAGCCCGAGATCAGCTTGATCACTGCGAGGTAGGCAGGAGGCAGGGAGGAGTGGGGTGGGCCTGGGCCCCCTCCTCCTCTTCCCACTTCGCAGGAGCCCCACCCTGAGCATGTCTGAAGGGCACACACTGGGATGGGGTGTCTGAGGAGGTTTGACCCATGCCCGCTCTAGAGTGAGCTCATGTTTAAGGAAGTGTTTCTTCCTCTCTCACCCTGGCGGACCCCAAGGGCTTTCAGAAACACCAGTGTCCGGGGTCTGACTGGTCTGGGGCGTGGACTGGGCATTGGGATTGTGAAAAGCTCCTGGGGCGATTCCAACGTGCACAAAAGTGTATGACCCTGCCGGCTACTGGCCAGCGGAGGGAAGCGGAGGTTTCCATGATCCAAAATCCCCTAGGAAGAAGCATCCCCTCTGCCCTCCTTGCATTCCCTTCCACCCGCCTTCCCTTTTCCATTTCACAGGCCGCTGGCAGCCAGGTCTCTGCCCTCCAGCCCCATGAAGCCCCATCCTCTGCTTCCCTTCCAAATCCCCCCCCCCCCCCCCCCGACCTCCAGCTAGTTTTTTGCTTTTGCTGATTCACCTCTGCTCCGAGCACCCCAGGAGGTGGCTGAGGATTGCTCACCTGGGTTTCTGATCTCATGGCTCAACTTCTTCAGCTTGTCCAGCTCTGGAAAGGGAAGAGCAAGGAAGAAACCACAGAGAATGAAACACTGGGGCCAGTGGGTCCACGGCAGCCATCCTAGGGCCCACGCTGGGGGGCACGGTCACTTGCAACCCAGACATTGAAGATGAGCCCTGTGGGCCTTAGCCCCGGGGCACGGAGGGGGATGCCGAGGGCTGCGGCAGGTCACCTTGAGATCAAGTGCCACCTCCCTTGAGAAGTGCCTACTAAGTGCCGGGTGCTGCATTATCTCACTGGTCCTCGCACACTGCTGTGGGGTGAGCATTATTGTCCACCTCTGAGCCCTCCGGGCCCACTGGGTTCTGAGCCCTGTTCTTAATGCCCTGGGATATGCCGCCCTGGTCTCTGAGGTCTGTCTGGCTCCAGTACAGCACTGCAGTCTAGAAGTGTCCCGGGCAGCTCTGCCGAGCGCTCATTTGCCAACTGCCTCTCTGTGTTAGGTGTTCTCTCCTGCAAAGCTGAGCTCTGAGTCTACGAGTGTCTGGCACACAGTAATAAGCACGTGTTGCATGATGACCTGGCAGGGGCCGGGCCCATTCTCTTTTCCCCTGGTAAGCCCCAGAGCCGTCAGCATGGTGAGTCTGGACTCACGGCAAGAATACAGTCAGAACAAAACAGAGAGAGAAGCCATCCCTTTTGCTGATGGCTTCAGTTTGCATGGAATCATCTAAATGTTTCTGCGTAACACTGTTTCAGTTGAGGCCCAGAGAGGTGACGTGACTTGCTCAGGGTCAAACAGCCAGAAAACTGTGGGGTTGTAATTGGGTCTGTCTGGCTCCTGCTTCTTAACAAAATTAAAGGACCTCCTGTGCCATCAACAGAGCTGTCCCCCAGTTGCTGTGGAGACAGAAGAGAGGGAGTCTTATCTGTCATCAGCACTGGTTTCAGTTCTGTTTTTATTCATTCATTCATTCATTTATACTTTTATTGATTTCAGAGAGTAAGGAAGAGGTAGAGAGATAGAAACACCAATGATGAGAGAGAATCATTGATCAGCTGCCTCTTGCACACCCCTTACTGGGGATAGAGCCCGCAACTTGGGCATGTGCCCTTGACCAGAATCGAACCGGGGAACCTTCAGTCTGCAGGCCAGCACTCTCTCCCGCGAGGGCTCAATTCTGTTGAAACCATCCAACATGGATGACCCTCCTATTCTCTGATTTGTCATAGTCCCCACTGCTCCCTATTGCTATTCTCATTTCTCTGAAGAAACATTTTTGGTTTTTTTTAGGCTATAGAAGGAAGGGAAATATCCTGGTGCCTTTGCTTTTATCCAAATTAGAAAAAGGAAGGAGAGACAAGAAGAATGCGAACTCCACCAGGCAGGGATTTTTGCCCGTTGAGTTCACGGATGTAATCCTAGGACAGTACCTGGCATATGGGATGTTTATTAATTGACTGGCTGGCTGACTGGGTGGGTGAGGACCCACTGCTCTGGAAATCGCTGCTTTACGAATTTTTGTTGCTTTTTGCCTGCCCCCGGGGGGCTCGATCTAGGCCTGACTCTCTCGGCAGGCGGCAGGGGAGCAGGGACTTACCTGCCTCCGTCAGCGTGTGGCTCGCTGAGATGTCTTCATCAGCATCGGTGACCACCACCGAGTAGGTGCCCAGGTCCTCGAGGCCAGGGTCTCTTAGGATGACCTTGGACCTGGCAGAGAGAGGAGAGCAGGTGCTCTGAGCGGGGCCTTGTGCTCTAGAGGCCTGGGGGCTGACGAGCCTCCATCAGCGTTGGAGTCTTGCAGCCCAAACTCCTCACACCTCCTCGAGGTCCTCTGCCTAGGGCAGCTCAGGCCTGGCACCTTCCATGGCTCCCATTAGCAGGCTGGCTGGCACAGGGTCTTACCAGTTGCATGGCCCAACTGCCCCTATAAGGCGTAAGCCATCAGCATTACCTCCGGCTGAACAGGGCCGGGGCCATGTGCTGCTGGGGTGGGGCCATTTGACAGGGACCCTTTTGATCATCTGTTCCCAGCCCCCCCCCTTTTATTTATTTATTTTTATTTCAGAGAGGAAGGGAGAGGGAGAGAGATAGAAACATCAATGATGAGAGAGAATCATTGATGGGCTGCCTCCTGCACCCCCCCTCCTGGGGATGGAGCCCACAACTCAGGCATGTGCCCTTGACAGGAATTGAACCTAGGATTCTTCAGTCCGGAGGCTGATGATGCTCTATCACAGTGGTTCTCAACCTTCCTAATGCCGCCACCCTTTAATACAATTCCTCATGGGTGACCCCCGATCATAAAATTCTTTTCGTTGCTACTTCATAACTGTAATTTTGCTACTGTTAATGAATCCTAATGTAAATATCTGTGTTTTCCGATGGTCTTCGGCTCTACTAGAGACCCACAAGTTGAGAACCAGAATTAAACTTGTGAACCTTCAGTCTGCAGGCTGACTCTCTCTCCACTGAGCCAAACCAGCGAGGGCTCAATTTTGTGTAAATCATCCAACATGGATGACCCTTCTATTTGCTGCTGTAGAGCCTAAGACCATCGGAAAATACACATATTTACATTACAATTCATTAACAGCAGGAAAATTACAGTTATGAAGTAGCAACGAAAATAATTTTATGGTCAGGGGTCACTGCCACATGAGGAACTGTATGAAAGGGTTGCAGCATTAGAAAGGCGGAGAACCACTGCTCTATCCACTGAGCCAAATCGGCTAGGGCCCACCCCTCTTTTTTACCAGTGAGATGAGACTGAGCCCACAGATGCTCCAAGAACAGGTCACTGATTGCCAAGCTAGGAAGGGAGTCCTATGCAGTTGCTCAAAAACAAAACAAAACAAAACAAAACAAAACAAAACAAAACAAAACACAAACCCACTCCAAATGAACCCTTAAGTGCCCTGCTCCTCATTTCCCCCTAAGGAGGCAGCCAGCATCCTCAGTGGGAGACCAGCATCCCTCCTCAGGCCCCTTCACTCAGTCTCCGTGGGCCCTGCTGGGCGGGCTCAGCCACGAGCTTCCGCTGGCTCATCGGACACCATGGGGAGGCCCACAGACCAGTAGTGCCCGCCCTCCCCTCACTCACTTGTTAGCTCCCTCCTCGATCTTGACCCTCTGGGGGTCCGGCGGGCCCTGGTAGTCCTTGGACCACTGAAACTCCGAGGAGTCAGGGGCGCCAGGGGCTTCGAAAGCCAAGTAGATGGAGCCTTCTTCGTCCACACCGACCTTGATCTCCGGGGCATCTGAGGGTCCGACAGAGGGAGCCATGTTTACAGACAGTAAACCAGTTCCTGCCCCGCCCCTGCTGAGCCCTCCCAACATCTGCCTACTGCATAAAACAACAACCCCAGACTCCTGCAGTGGCCTCTGAGGCTTTGCAAGTGTCACCTCCTCAGAGAGGCCCTCCCGGCCACCCCGTTAAAGGGAGCCCCCCCCCCCCCATGAATGAATAATTAAAGGATGGAAAGAGATATGCCTTACAGTCAGGAGAGCAGAGTGACTCAGTCATGCTCTAGCTGTGTGACCCCCTCATGTCACCTCTCGGAGCTACAATGGCTTCCGTTCTACACCGGTCCCTTTGGGGGCTGGGTGGGAGGGCCAGGGCAGGGGAAGAACCTAGCACAGCGTGGGAGGGGACCTCAGCAGCTGTGCCTGCAGGACGGGCAAAGCCCGATGTGGCATCTGAAACAATACTTGGGACTGGAGTGGAGCGTCATTTCAAATCTCCATGAGGTGCTGTGTGAGTGTATGAACGTGGCATGTGAAAGAACGCGAGAGCCCTAGCCGGTTTGGCTCAGTGGATAGAGCGCTGGCCTGTGGACTCAAGGGTCCCGGGTTTGATTCCGGTCAAGGGTATGTACCTTGGTTGTGGGCACATCCCCAGTGGGGGGTGTGCAGGAGGCAGCTGATGGATGTTGCTCTCTCACCGATGTTTCTAACTCTCTATCCCTCTTTCTTCCTCTCTATGAAGAATCAATAAAATATATTGAAAGAAAGAAGAAAGAAAGAAAGAAAGAAAGAAAGAACGAACGAGAGAGCCCTTCCAATAGAAGCTGTGTTCCTAACTGGGGATTCCATAGAAGTAAACGGAATGGGGAATGGAGGGAGAAACAGCAGGAAGGAAGGAAGGCTGGAAGAAGTGTGGAGTGCCTGGAGGAGGGATGGGGTGTGTGTGGGAATGATGGACAGAGATCCTGTCCTGCAATTCCACATGCTCCTCCAGACCCCCTCTGAGCCCCTCCTCAATGGCCCAGCCCAGCCCAGCGTGGTGCTGGCGCCCTCCGCCTGCCCCCACCTGGCCTGTCCTCCAGGAGCACGGGGTCGGTGGGCATGGACGGCTGCCCCGGACCAGCTGAGTTCACAGCCTGCACCTGGAACATGTACCTCTTCCCCGGCTGCAAGTCAGAAATCTGGGGGTGGGAGTGGGGGAGGGCGGGAGGGAGGTGAGAGTGAGCACCGAGGACAGCAAAGACCATCCTTCCCCAAACCCTGGCCACCAGGGTGCCGGGAACGCCCATCTGTGGAACCCAGATCTGTGGGACCCTGATCTGTGGGACCCGGATCTGTGGGAACCCGGGAAGGCACAGGCTGCGCTGGGGGTGGGGATGGCTAGGGGCGCTCTCCTGACTCCCAGCGTTTAGTGGGTTCCTCATTGGGACGATCTCCACGCCTGTCGCACCTGGAACCCCATTGGCTCTCAGCTTAACTCACCACCCATCTCCCAAGAGGAACCCTCTCCCTTCCTGCTCCCCGTCTCTCCTCCATTACTGCCCCAGGGAGAAGCCTCAGCATCTTTTTCTAAGACCAAGTCCCATTGCATTCCCCAGCGTGTCTCCCTGCAGCTGCGTGTCTCCTCGCCTGGATCCGTCCAGCAGCGTCCCCAGTGGCATCTCGGCCCAACCCCACCGCCCTGGCCTGTCTTTCCTCTGCCAGCCCCTCCAGGATGCCAGTCGGATTATGCTTAGATCTGCCAGTGGCCTTCAGGGTCAAGTCCAGATTTTGAGGTTTAGTACCTGGACTCCTAATGTGACCTTGGCCCGGTCCCCTTCCTCCTCTCTGTGCCCCCTTCATTCCATGACCCCTCAGGGTCCCCATGTTTGTAACATCCTTTCATGCCTCCTTGATGTTGCCTCTGCCGAGCCCTCTGCCTGGAGCTCCTCCCACCCCCTTTCCCAGCTCATCCTTGACCTCCTAGCTTGGGCAACGCCCAGAATCCCCCAGACACCCCTCCGTTGTATTGTATTGCCTATCACCATGTAGGACCTGCTTCCAGACCTGGCATTAAACAGGTGTCAAGAAGTATTCAGTGAGTGACTGGGTGAGTAATGCCACATGTAGAAATGGTGCCGATCACTGAGGCCGGCCCACCCTGTCCTGGGCCAACCTATGTGGGGGGTTGGCCGGTGGGCGCAGAGAGATCATCCATTTCGGTATCTCCGTATATGTTAGTTAATATGTAATATGTGTACTATGATATACATATGGTACTTAATGTATGTCCTACTCTGTATTCTGCTTTTTTTTCTTAGCCACATATGATGTCTGTATTTTCATGTCAATATGTACATGTATGTCTACCTCATTCTTTATCCTATTGCCACTCCTTGAACCACCTAGTCTTCATGCTCCCTGCACAGGATCCACTTAAAGATACACTCTGATTTATTTAAGCGAACCCCTTGATGGACAGTTAAGTTGTTTCCAACCTTTGCCTTTATAAACTGTGCAACAATGAGCATCATCATCCTTAGATCTTTGCACACTTGCCTAATTATTTCTCGACACTTCAATCCTTGAAACAGAATTCCCGGTTCTGGGGATGAGCATATCCAAATGCTGACATACCACACTGATTATAAGTGCATTGGTAGGGAGGAATCTGCTCAGAGTGGAGCAGGTTAAATCTGCCAGCCAGCCAACCAGTGCCAGCTCCTGTGTGACCCTGGGTGAGCCACTCCCCCTCTCTGGTCCTCTGCTGCCATTAAGTGAGGTCAGTACTCCCCGAGGGTCCTTCCGGCTCTGAGGCTTTATAGTCCTGCCTTATCCAGTGGCAGGGAAGGCTCAGGTGGCCCAGAGGATGGGGAGGGTGGGGAAGGAGGGGGGCAGAGACTCACCCTCAGGTGGGTGCCAGAGATGGGGTCTGGGGTGAGTGGCTTCCACTGCTCAGAGCCTTCCTCCTGGAAGCTGATGAGGTAGCCTGTGACCGGCCCGGCCCCCGTGTAGAGCGGGGGCTCCCACTGCAGCATCAGGGAGGTGGCCCGCACCTCGAATGCTCGCACGTCGTGTGGGGGACCTGTGGGAGATGGGGTAGAGAAGGAGTTGGGCAGCCAGGCAACCAGCCAGCCAGCCAAATCGTCAGCCAGACAGCCAGGTATGGAGCAAGCTTGCCAATCTGTCAGTCACGACCAAGCCTGGAGGCCCTGTCCTGGGCACAGTGGGGACCTGGCTGGCCTTGGCTTCATGACAAAGCTAGTTCTGGGCCGGACGAAGGGCTAGAGCCTCCCATCCCCAGGCCAGACAGCATGAGTTCTCCTAATGTCCTTGCAGTTTCAGTGTTTAGTGGAGGGGGCACGGGTGTGACTTCTGGGATCAGATCACCAGGGCTCACGGCCCAGCTCCACCCTTTCAGGCTGTGGAGACTCTAGGCATTTTACTTAGCCTCGATGTTCCTGTTTTCTCATCTATAAAATGGGGATAATAATAGTCCTTATAATATAGTGCTGTTGTGAGCATTAATGACATAATTTATGGGAAGTGTAGCTAGCTGTTAATCATCATTGCTGACTAAAGCTTCACACATAGTAATTACCTGCCCTTCAGGTAAAGGTTTTGTGTGGAAAACAGAACTGAGCTGCACAGAATGATGGAGGGTCGTGATCCTCCCTTCCTGGGGGGAGATGAGAGGTTCCTGTGTGAGGAAACCAGCAGGGCGGGGGGAGTGGTGTGCAGGTGACCGGCCCTCTTGGTTTGTCCAGGACTTCAGCGGTAAAGCCAAACTGGGCAAACTGGGGTGAGTCAGTCACCCTAGCAGAGGCCTTTGAGACGAGTCTGTGGCGAGAATCAGAGGCCAGAGGATGTGCTGAGCGAGAGGGTAGTTTATGCTGGGGTACAGGGCCAGCTGACGGTCAAGGCAGGGGCCCTGCAAGGCAGGGTTAAGACTGTGTCAGAGGTCACAGGGTGTGTTGGTGGAAGGGCCCGGGGTCTGGTGTCTGGAACTTGGATGCCCAGAGAGTTCAGCAACGGGCATCGCTTTGGCTGGCTTTGGGGAGGAGGGGCGCCCTCTCACCTGGCTGGGGCATCGTCCACTCTTTGCACTCAAACCGGCCGCTGGGCGCTGACAGCTTGCCGACGCCTGCCAGGTTGGCGGCCCGGGCACGGAACTCATAGAAATGGCCTTCTCGAAGGTTGCTGACCTTGAAGAGCAGAAACGGACTGAGAGCTGAGGCTGGGGGGAAGAGGGAGGAGCCGAGGAGCCGCAGGAGCGTGGGGCGAGGTGCAGAGCAGGGAGTCCGTGGGGCTTTAATGAGATTGGCCACATGGGTCTGCACAGGAAAGACCGAGGAGGCCAGGGGACCGGAGGCCCAGCTCGGCCTCAGGACCTCCAACGGAGACTCACCGCACAAGCCGGGCACCAGGTGGCAGCCGAGCTCCAGCCTCACCTTGCAGACCTGGGTCGGGACAAGCTGCTGGTTGACTGGGTGCCAGTCCAGCTCCTCCGAGTCGTGCTGATCCAGGAAGTAGCCCAGGATCTTGCAGCCTCCACGACGCTTGGGGGGCTTCCACCCAATGACCATGTCATTTTTCCCGCAGCTCAGGAGGATGAAGTCATAGGGGGCAGACGGCGTTGCTACGGGGAGGCAGGCAGGTGAGGCCAGGGGCAGTCAGCAAGCCTCCCAATGGGCGCCCACCCTGTTCTAGGGGTACATACTTAGCCAGAGGTGCCTGCTAGTGACCTTGATTTTGCCCCTAGGAGGGCACCTGGTCAGGCATCACTGCACGGACTCAGGCCACGGGTACCCCCTTCCCAAAGGAAAGGGTGGTCTGGGAGGAGGCATGTCCCCACTGGCCTCTGGGATGGACCCTCTACGAGGTGGTGTGGAAGGCCCTGCTCTCTGCTGGGCCCGGAGCTGCCCGAGGACTTACCCAGAGCCTGCTTGACCCTGATGGGTTCAGTGGGCGCTGAACTCTCACCCACCCCGGCCTCGCTGACGGATCTGACGCAAAATTCATATTCTTTCCCCGTCTTTAGCCCGGGCACGGTGAACCTGGGAGAGAAATGTGCAGCCCTCAGGGGTGGCCACCAGCTCACAGACATCTCAGAACTTTCCAGAACAACCTTGTGGGATGAGTGGTAGCCAGCATGGCAGGGTGCCAGGGTCTCACTTAAAGCTACTGCCCTTGCCCCCAAAGTGTGCACACACCTGGAGGGTGAAGTCCTTAATTAAAGGTTGGAGGAAGGTGGTCAAAAGGTATGAACTTCCAGCTCAAGTAGTGTGGCTCTGAAGACCAGAGGGACAAGCTCCTGTGGCTTTTTCTGGGTAAGATGATCTCGAAGTTTGGGGCCCAGGTGAGAGGAGCACAGCCAGGGGTGCTCAGGCCCTGCCCAGTTCACCACCTGAGCCCCGTACCCTACAGAACCTCAAACTGAGAGAAGTCATGAGCCCAGAAGCCTCAAGGCTCACGGAGCCTGCAGGACCAGGGCCTCCGAGAGGAGGGGCCTCGGAGGGGAGAGGGAGCTGGACAGGCAGGAGGACTGGAGCCTGAGTTGAGGCTCAGAGGGGACGAGTCCCTGACCAGGCAAGTGAGGGATGGGGACTGAACCCAGGCCTCCTTGGTCCCGGGGCCACTGGCTGCCCTGCCCCCTCTGCTCTCTGCATCTCTAAGCTCCTGGAAGGATGAGACCTAATGAGTCACCTCTATCTGCAAACAGGAAGCCTTCCGCAAGTGTTTGCTGAAGAAGAGGCCATCCGGGTCAAGTCCTAGTTCCTCCATTTACTAGATGAGGGAATTCTGGAAAGTCACTTGATCACTCTGTGCCTCAGTTTCTTCACGTGTCCGGGGATAATAAAACTAACAGTCCTAAAGTTACAGGTTTGCAGTTAGGACTAAATGACCTAATACCTGAAAAGAGCTTAGAGCAGTGCCGGGCAGCCAGTGCCGTGTTGAGAAACGGTGGGCTTCATTGTTCTTAGGGCTCCGCCATGGAGGGAGCCCTGGTGCAGACAGGGGTGTGGCTAACTCACCTGTCGCCCTGGATGGGTTTGTTGTTAACTGTTCGCCACTCAGATGACCCTGCCTCCCGGGAGTAGATGTAATAACCCAGGAGCTCTGAGTCTTCTTTCACGGGATCCCAGGTCAGGGAGACAGAGGTCTGCGTGTCTCGGAAAGCTTGAACTTGAGCTGGAGGAGGGAGGGTCGCTAGCGACAGAAACATGGACCGAGTAAGGATGCTGAGTTACACGGTACTAACACGATGGGGAGTGGAGGGGCGTGGGTTCCAATGTGCCCGGGGCTTTGGGCAGCTCTTTCCTTGTCCCAGAGGGGTGCCCAGACTCTTGTATTCCAAAGTCCTCTCCCCTCTTACCTCCAAACATCTCCACTTCTTCACCAGAGCTCAGTCATTAATCCTTACTATCTTCCTCACTTAGAAGTCACCAAATCTGCAGTTTTCCTCAGTGTTTATCCTCAGTCGCTAGAAAACTTGATTTTCTTTCCTTGAAATTTCTCTATTGACTTTCCTGGCTCCCTGAGACTATGCTCCTTCAAGTGGGGACTGCCGTGATTTGTTAAATGGACAGATGGATGGATGGATGGATAGATAGATGGATAGATGAACAGATGAACAAATGGAAGGGTGGATGGATGGAAAGATGGATAGATGGATGGATAGATGAATGGATGGATGGATGGGTGAATGGACACATGGATGGATGGATGGATAGATGGATGGATGGATGAACAGACGGATGAATAGATAGATGGGTAAATGAACAGATGAACACATGAAGGGTGGATGAATGAAAAGATGGATGGATGGATGAATGGATAGATGAATGGATAAACAGACAAATGGATGGATGAATGAATAGGTGAATGGATGAGCGAATATATGGCTGGTGCAAGAGCTTCCTTCTCTTTCTACTTCTCAAATTCCTTATATATCTTTTGGGGGTCCCCATCTTTTTTGTCCCAAATGTGGGACTCCTCCAACTTCTGTTCCTTGAGTTGCTGTATGTTTCTTCTCTCCTCTCATGTTAAGGGCCCACCAATTAATTCCCATGCTTTCAACCCTCACCCTCTGCAGGTGCCTCCCCGGGCTTTAACTCCAGCCCTGCGCTCTCCCCTAGCTCTAGAGCTCATCTTCCATTCTCCCCAGACACTTTCCCTTGTGTTCTGGTGGCGCCACAAAGTCAACAGGAAAAGGCTGAACTCAGCGTCCATCCAACATAAATCCAGTATCCACCAAGTGCCTACTCAGAATCAGTCTCTGCACTTGGCACAGGGGATGTACTGAGACATAGGCATGAGGTCCTGGGCACAGGAAGGACCTGTCAACAACTCCAGCCTCTCAGGTTGAAGACTGGCAGTGGATGAAGGCCGGGTGGAGGGGAGAGGCTGGAAGGAGGTCACTCAGGGACCCCACGTGCACAGGAGACCCGATTCTACCCAAAGGCAAGAACTTGAGCTGAGGGTTCCATGGTATGGAGTGGGCCTCAGACATTAACATCAGGACTGCAAGGAGGATTTCATGAATCCTCCTTGAGGAAATGTTTGCAACATAACGTTTACTTTCAAAAGCAGAATGCAAAGATCTCCCATTGTTTGATCAGACGTTGAAACAGATGCATTGATATGTGTGTGGTCAGAAGGCCAGAAACCCAGGCATCCTGATGCTCACAGTGGGTTCCCCTGGGCAGTGGGATCATGGGGTGGGTAAGGGGAGGGGTACTCTTTTCTTTCTGTTTATCACTGCCTCAACTTATTCCTCCTTCCCTTCCTTCTTTCCTTCCTTCCTCTCTCACTCTTTTGCTTTTTTGGGGGTATTTTCCCATTTTAACATAATTTCACTTCTAGAATACAAGTCAATAGCTTTTCATTTTCCTCCCCTCCTCTCCCACCATTTCCTCTCCCTTCCTTTTTTGAACTGTGCTGGTACCTTGCCCTCTGGCTAGTGGTCCAGAGACAGCCCACACCTAGTCACAGGCCACTCACCGGCCTGGCGCCAAATCAGGCCTAAACCTTCGCTGGACCGGAATGAAAGAAAAACCCCACTGGCCCACCAACCCGTTCACTTATTGTAAATGACAGTGAGGACACCGGGCCTGCAGCTCTGAGATGTCGGGCCCAGGCCCATGCCGTGCTGAAGATGAGAGCTCTCCTGGCTGGCGAGCCAGGGCTCGGGTGGGACAGCTGCGCCCCCTCCAGGGAGGGGACAGGAGGCCTGCTCAGGAGGCAGGAGTGGGTGCTGTTGGAGACCCTTAGAATGAAGGGACCACTTGGTCACACTCAGCACCCATGCTGGCCCCGCTGAGCTCTGCACCCTGTGAACTGTGGTTTGGAAAGAAAAGCCTCTTTCCATGAGACCCCTGCCCAGAGAGATGTGATTTCTGATGTCCTGACCCTCCACAGGCTGGGGCATGCTGCCTTTCACTCCGTGGTGGTAGAAGCAGTCAGGGGCAGGGAAATGGGTGTGGTCTGTCCCTGTGGCCTGGGGCCTCACAGCCCTGGATGCTGACAGCCCACCGCCCAGCCCGGCCTGCCCCGCCCCCACCCATCCCCTGCACCACACGGGCACCTGGCTTTCCCCGCAAGGCGATGGGCTCGCTGGGCTCCGAGGGGTCGCTCATGCCGAACTGGTTCATGGCTCGCACCCTGAAGACGTACGACTTCCCTTTCTCCAGATCCAATAGCGCGAATCGCAGGGATGTCACCGGAGCTTCTGTGCGGACGGCCTCCCAGGTGCCGCTGCCTATGACCGACTGCGACAAAGGCGAGAGACATCGCGCTGGTGAAACAGCCGCCTGGGCTGGCGCGTGGCTGCCACTGCCCACCCATGCTCTCGTTACCCTTTATCCCGGGCACAGCCGCCCCTGAGCGCCTGAGCTCAGGATCCGCCCGCCTCCCCGCCATCTCCCTGGATGCCCACTGCGCATCTCACCTTCAGCACGTCCAGAGCTTGAGCCAGGAGCCTCCCAAACAGAAGCTGCCCGCATTCGTTAGGTTTCGCTCAGGCCCAAACCTTTGGCGCGGTCCGGGACTCCTGCCCTCTTTCCCACACACCCCAAATATGCGCCACCCCCCAATGCAGTGGGCTCTGCCTTCAAAATGTACCCAGAATCCAACTGTGACTTACCACCCGCACGTCCCCTGCCATAGCTTGCTGCAAGCCACTGTTGTCTCTCATCTGAGTTATTTCAGTGGCCTCCCAACTGGCCTGGCTGTTCCTCCATTAATCCCCTTCAGTCTTTTTCTCTCCATGTGTGGCCCGAGGGCTTCTCTTACAAGCCGGGCCAGGTGGTGGCTGACCTGCTCAGAACCCTCCAAGCCCCACATCTGCCTTAGAACGAAGGCGTCTCCAGGGTCTGTGGCTGGCCGCATTTCATGCTCCATTGGTCTACCCGCCATGGCTCTGTCCCCCCTGCTGCCAGGCCCAGCCCCTGCCTCAGGGCCTTTGCACTTGCTGGTCTCTCCACTCTTGGAAATCTCTTGGCTGGCTCTCATTTCCTTTAGGCCTTTATTCATACTCACCGCCTTGCGGAGGCCTCCCAGCCCATCCACCAATGTCAGCACCCTCCCCTCCCTGCTTATGTCTTCTCCCTCGGCGCTACCACTAGCTAACGTGCTAAACACGCTACTCATTTATCTTGTTTATCATGGGTCTCCACTCCCCACTCGAATGTCAGTTCCGGAGGCAGGGGTTTCTGCCTGTACCTGGGGCCAGTGACAATACCGGCACACGGGAACTGCTCCGTCTGTTTGTGGGATAAATGAATGAATGGATGGATGGATGGATGGATGGATGGTAGGTGTCCATTTCCCGGCCGATGGGGAAGCACAGGTTCAGGGCGTTCTGGTAACAGGGCAGAAAGCCATGCATCTCACAGCTGGTGTATTTGGTATTTAAGCTCCCAAACCTGCTCACTCTCCACAGCGCCAGGGGCCCCGAAGGCAGCCATAAGTTCTGCGTCTCTGGGCAGATAGAGGGCGAAGAGCTGAGGGTGAGGCAGGCGAGCGAGGCACCAGAGGCCACTCCGCTGAGTCTGGGTATGAGACTTAACACTGAGAAACACCAGGGAACCCCCGACCCTGCCTTCCCTGTGCTCCCCCAGACACCCTCCCCCCAACGCCCACCCAGCTGCTGGCGGCCTAGAGCCCTGCTGAGCAAGAAATCGCCCCCAAACCAGTGAACATTTCTGAACATTGTGTGCCAGATTCTGTTCCAAGTCTTACAGCTTTAATTAATTTGATCTTCCTATTGACCCTATAAAGTGTGTACAATTATTATCTATATAGGAGAAGAAACGGAGGCATAGAGAGACTAAATAACCTGCCCAAGGTCACACAACTAGTAAGTAGCAGAGATAAGATTTGAACCCTGGCAGTCTGACTCCAGGGTCTAACCATTGGACTCCACAGCCTCACAAAACGAACCCTCAGTTCTCGAAATGGCTTTTCTATGTCGGAGAAATAGGTCACCTGTGAGTGTGTGAAGAGAGGTCCATTTGGGCAACCAGAGGCAGAGACTTGGAACCCTTTTTAGTCATTGATCCATGAATCCTGTACTGTCTACCTACTATGCGCCAAGGTCAAGAGCATCTCCTCGGGAGGTGTTTACAGGCCCCTGGCTGCTGGCCTCGGCTGAGAGCTGTGTCTCATTTCACCCCCACGGGGGAGGATGTCCGATCTACGCTGGAGGGAGTTAGGGAACTGGCTCACCCAGCCCAAGTCCGATGGGAGTGACCTATTGCCACACTGTCCTTCTCCACTGTGACATCCACTCCGCATGGCTGCCCCCTCCCAGACACCTGCTCCCACCCTGTTCCCTGTGAAAATGGCCTCCTCGTACACCCCCGCCCGGTGCCCTGTGAGTGCCGCTGCCCATGACCCTGGCTGGCTCGGACCCGCCTGGCTCCCCTCCCATCATGGCCGAGAGGAGTTGTGTGGGGGTCTCTCAGGGCCCACTCATCTCTGCCCCGGGTGACTCCGATTCTAGGAGTTGTAGTGGCCGGATGCGTGGCCCGATGCCAGCCTTGGAGGCGGGATCTTGCTGCTATATTGTTGTCTGTGCCTCTTGGTTTTGTGAGTTCCTATGACTAGCCTCATGCACTGCCATCGGAAACGGGCTTTAGGGCTGGAGGAAACCCCAAAAGGCCATCTAACCCCCTGCTTCTGGGAAGGGCCACCTCAGGGGACGCTCTTCCCTGCTCTGAAGGCCTCCTGGCCCTCGAACTTCCCTGAATCCCCACAACCTGGTCCCACAGCAAGTCCATGTCTCTGACTTTGGGGTCCCCTACCTTCTCCAGGGAGTACGTCAGCGGAGCTCGGCCCCGGGGCCTCGGCTCCTCCCAGCCCAGTACCGCGTAGGCCTCGCGGATCTCGCAGGCGTGGACATTGGTGGGAGGCGAGGGGATGGTCACGAAGCCTAGAATCAGAGTCACCCGGGGCAGAGATGAGTGGGCCCTGAGAGACCCCCAACCTCAGCCCCTCGTTTCCTAGAGGAGGAAACGGGGGCTCAGAGAGGGGCGGGGACTTGCTCCAGGTCACCCGGCAAGGCCGGCAGAGCTGGGGCCGGACGGCGGGCTTCCCCATGGCCTGCCTAGGACTGTCCACCCCATCCAGGAGGGGCACTCTCACCTGAGAACCCTGGCTCCTCCGACTAGAACCCTCCCTCCCATCCCCCGCCCTCCAGGGACAGCTTCCGTCTCTCTGCCGGGCTGTGGGCCAGTTTCCAGGACCACGAAGGGGGCTGGGGTCTTGAGGCAAAGGGTCAGGAGGTTCCCACGTACCCACGTACCTTCCAAATCATCTTTGTTGATCACGATCTTGCTCCCCAGATCAAAGAGGATCTCTAGGATGGAGAATGGAGCAATTGGGGGCGAAGAAGGGGCGCGCAGGGGACGAGGGGGCAGGGGCAGGAGGGTCTGGGCAGGACCTGCCCTGCTCAGGGGTACTGATTCCTTCCCCCTGTTCCTGGCCATGGCCCTTCATTGTGTGACCTCAGGCAGGTCCTCTCTGGGCCCAGTGTTCCCGGGGCCCAAAGAGGAGCACTGCTGCTCGAGAGCGTGAGGGATGCTCTGTGGTCCTCTAGGGACGTGGAGGGCAGAGAGGAGGAGTGATGTGCCTGGGGCCAGAGACCTGGGCACAGCGGAGCTGGGAGGCAAGCCTAAGTCAGGTGGCCTCCTCAGGGCTGGGGGGCTGTGCCCCTCCCTCCCCCGGGGCTCCGAGGCAGGGCCGTTCTCCTCCTTCAGATGGAGAGCCCCTGAGAGATGCTGTGGTCCTCCCTCAGCTTAGCATCTCCTGTGGACGGGTTTGTGCTTCTCCCATCGGACTACCCGTGCCCTCCCCTCAGGCCCGGGCTTCCTAAGGACGACACTGTGCTTCTTCCAACAGACCCGAGGCGCCCGAGGCCGTGTCTCCTCCATCAGATCAGAGTTCCTGAGGGCTGGGCTGGGTCTCACCCTCGGAATAGGGTTTGGAATGGGCTCTGCCACCCACCTCCTGGGCTGGCCTATCCCTCAGGGCCTTGCACCCACCTGTCTTCCTCTGGGCCTCATCGGGGTCACGCAGGACAACCGGTTCTGAGGCCTTAGAGGGGAGGCTGCCGCCCGCCTTGTTGACGGCTCGCACCCGGAACCGATAGCTCTGGCCTTGGACGAGACCTTGGATCGGGCACCGACAGGTCTCGCCGGGGGCCTCGTGGCAGGGCACCCATTGCCCAGACTCGCCCCGGCACCTGTGGGAGAGACGCCAGCTGCAGCCCCTGCCTGTGACCCACACCTTCCCTGCCCGAGCCTCTCGCAGGGCCATCCCGCTGTCCGCGGTGCCTGCGGATGAAGGGCCTGCTCGCCACTCAGAAGCCTGGCTCCAACCGCGGCCCCAGGCGGCTGGTCATCCTCCACCTCCCGGGATGGAGCTCCCAGCCTTTCAGGGAGCTGCCCCAGGTACCTGAGCGGTGCTGAGCCCCCACACCCATCAGCTCCCTGCATCCCAGCAGCCCCGGGTTAGGGTGTGCTGGCCGTCACTCTGTAATGGTCAGAGAGGGAGGGGACTGGCCCAAGGTCCCCAGCGATGAGTGGTGGATTAAGATTTCACCCCAGGGTGTCCATGCCTTAAATCAGCTGGTGGAGTTAGGATTTCACCTGAAGGCTGCCCATACCCTAAGTCAGTGGTCGGCAAACCACGGCTCTCGAGCCACATGCGGCTCTTTGGCCCCTTGAGTGTGGCTCTTCCACAAAATAGGCCTGAGAGAGTTGATTTTGAAGAAGTGCCGTTAGAAGAAGTTTAAAAAAATATGGCTCTCAAAAGAAATTTCAATATTTGTCCTGTTGATATTTGGCTCTGTTGATTAACGAGTCAGCTGGCGGATTAGGATTTCACCGAGGGCTGTCCATGCCGGAAGTCGGACCCTCAGAGACGGATACCATTGCCCACAGCACCGTTATGGGTGGGATGGGGCCGTGGTCACACGTGGGTCCAGATCCTGACTCCACGCTCATGAGCAATGTGACTTCCGGCAACGTCACCGCCCCACGTGTCTGTCTCCTCAGCTGTAGGACGGGGCACCAAGGAGCCCCTGCCCCTTAGAGGGGTGATGGAAGGACACAGTGACAAGGCGCGAAGCCCCAGGTCAGGGACAGGACTGCGCGCTGCATCAGGCGTGGGCCTCAGCTGGCAGCGCTAAGAAGGCGGGTGTCCCGGCCTCCCCTGCCCGGTGTGCCCCTCCCTCTGGGGTCACAGCGACTCATCTGTCACTCAGGGAGGGAAGTAGTCAACAGGGCACACGTGTCGGGTCTCAGGCACTTAGTGTCTCCGCCCCCTCTCCCCGCCTCTTCCTTCCCCTCCCCCCAGCCCCTGCTGTAAACAGTCCAGAGGCCAGCGGCTGCCTACAGGGTGGAGTGTCACTGAACACCCTTTTATTGCCCCTAAAGTGCGCGGCACAGCTGACCTTCTGCCCTGTTCCCTCTCCTGTGGCCCCATTCCTGTCCTCACAGCTAGGGAGGGCCCCCCACGCCCCACCCCTGCCCCCAGGGACTCTGCCACTCAAGCCGCTGACTCACTGCTCGATGACGTAGCCGGTGATGGGGCTGCCCCGGGTGTTGCTGGGCGGGGTCCAGGTCAGGAGGAGGCAGTCTCTGTTCACGTCCAGGCATCGGACATTCAGTGGGGAGCCCGGGGCCCCCGTGTTCTCTGCTGCAGCATCTGTAACCCAGGAGGGGTGAGGGGGTGGGGGGAGCCAGGGGACAGGAGGCTCTTCCAGTCCCTGTCCCCCGGGGCAGCGGCTCCCTCCCGTTCCCCATCCAGGGGCTCAGCTTTGGTCTGGAAGCCCAGGACCCCAATAATAGCGACCTCCTCTCAAACCACAGCCTCTGGGGTGGGGGGACGACTCGTGGGGGCCCCTCCACACCTCGCAGTGGGCACCGTTCATCTCCGAGCCTCAGAGCAGCGCCCCGTTTCCCAGAGGAAAAGTGCGTGGCCCAGGGTCACCCCGCCAGGGAAGGGGCGAAGCTCGGAGGCAGAAATGAACCGGGGACTAGAGTCACACCGGCCCCCGCTCAGCCCTCCCTTCCCAGCTTCCACCAAATCCGAGACCGTCACACCGTGTTCTTTGGAAGGTCACAGAGGGCCATAGAGAGCCTTGGGTAAGGTGACCAGACGTCCCGCTTTCGGCGGGACAGTCCCGATTTTTAACCATTTGTCCCGCGCCCCGCCGCGTTTGAAAAAAGTCCCAACCAGGACTTTTTAAAAACGCTGCGGGACGCGGGACCAATTGTTAAAATTTGTTGGGCCGTCCTGCTCTTTGTCCCAACCGGGACTTTTTAAAAACGCCACGGGACGTGGGACAAATGGTTAAAAAGCGGGTCGGCCGGTCGCCTTAGCCTTGGGGAGACTCCAGCCCAACACGCCCATTTCCAGCAGGAGAACGGGGCCCCCACGGAGAAGGGGTCTTGCCCAAGGCCCCACAGCAAACCCGTCAAAGACAGAGCCTCCTGCCCCGCCCCCGCCTCACCTCTCACAAACACATAGGCGCTCTGCTCCCGGGGGCCCAGGGGCGACGGCACCCGCACCGTGTAGAGCCCCTCGTCCTCCTTGTGCGCACAGGACACCGTCAGGGACGCCTGGCGGTCTGCGTAGAGGGTCTGCCGGCGCCCGGAGGACCTCACCCGCTTCCCTGGTGAGGAGAGGGGTCCCGGGTGAGCCCATGGGGGACCCCGGCCTCACCTGGGAACCTGCAGACGCCGTGGGGGTCCGGGCAGAGATGGGTGGGGCTGGTGTGGCCCTAGCCTGAGGCCCAGCTGGGCAGTCAGGGAGGGGGAGGGGACCTCCATGGCCTTGCCAAGGGGGCCAATGAACTCCCCAGAAAGCCTGCGGGTGGGGCAGGGCCCGGGGTAGGGGTGTGGGACCTCAGCCAGGGCAGGGAGGGTTTAGGCCGGGTTGGTGGCTCAGTGAGCAGTCGGAGGTTCTGTGCGAATGGGGACACAGGAGATGGGCCTGTGTGGGGGTCAGGGGCTGGATGAGGGGGACCGGGGACTCGTGGAAGGGGCTGGGGGCTCCAGGAAGGTGTGGGAGCTCCGTGAGGGGGGATAGCGAACAGAAGGGGGTGAGGGCTTGTTGAGGGGGGTTCAGAAAAGGGGAAGGGCTCATTGAGAGAGCTGGGGAGTCCGTGAGGAGGGTAGAGGGCTCATGGGCGGGGGGGTTAGGGGTCATCGAGGAGAATGGGACGGCAGGGAGAGGAATGGGGACTGAGAAAGGGGCTCTGGGACTCTGGGACTCAGGGCGGGGGCCCTGCCCCAGGGCCACCCTGGTGGGCCGTCCTGCTCTTTGTCCCACTGAAGGCCTCTCCCCCTGTCGGCACCTCTATTCTGGAAGCCCCACAGGCTGGGAAAACATCTACCCTTGTTACTGCAGCTGTTCCTGGGGCTCCCCAAGGCCTCGCCTCCTCCACCCCTCCTGGCCCGGCAGGTGCAGCCTCCCAGCTCAGAGGCTCAGCGCTGCGGTGCTGGGGGGGGGGGGGGGGGGAAGGGAAGGAAGGGGAGGGGGGGCTGTACTCCTTGTCCTTTGGCTGCGGGTCCCACCACAGGTGGGGAGGCGGACCAGCCATCCTCCTCCCGGGCTGGGCACCTCCCCGCCGTATGGGACCGGCCTTCTGCAGCCTTGCCGGTGCCGCCCGGGCCTCCCAGCTCACGGGTGTGTATTCACCAGCACCCACACCCCGGCTCGGAAAAGCCCTGCACGCCTGTCCCAACCTGCCCTGAACCCCTCGGCCCCCCTGCCGCCCGGCCTGGCCTCTGTTCCCGCTGTGGATGCCCTCGCTCACTCTCAGGGCTGAGCCGGGGCCTGACCACGGCGGGCTCTCTGAGAGCCAGCAGGCCTGCGCCTCCCCTGCCCCGCCACACGGATGCCCGGGGCCCGGGCTGGCCTCGGGGCCAGGGCTCCCGTCCCTCTTCCACGCCTGCCTCCGAAGGCTGGGCCCGGGACCGGGGTCCTACCGTCTCGGAACCACTGAAGGTTCTGCTCCGCGTCTAGCACGTCGTCTGAGAACGAGCAGGTCAGGGAGAAGGGCTCCTTCTCGCGGGCGAAGACCGGGGCCAGCACCGAGGTGAAGTCCACGCTGGGGCCGAACGCCAGTCCTGGGGGGCCGGACAGGGAGGACAGAGGTCTCCTGAGGCTGCTGGCCTGGCCTGGGGCTTAGGTGGTGTCCCCGCTCCCCAGCCACAGTTCTTTTTAACAAGGAGGGGGGCCTGGTCCCGGGGCGGGGAGAGAGGATCTAGGTGGGGCCAGATGAGCCGAAAGGGCAGCGACCCTAAGGTCACGTCCATTCGTCCTTTTGCCTTCATCCTCTTCACTCAGGTTTGGCCACTGGGCAGCTCAGCAGCTGCCCTGGGACCCCAGAAACCAGTCTGCAGGTGCTAGCAGCTCAGAGGAGGACCCACGGGGACATCTCTTAGTGGGCAATGGACGGCTGTATTCTAAGGGGGGCTGTGGGCGGCCTGATGGAAAGCCCCAGGCCCTCTCTCCTCCCCCTCCCTTCCCCCGAAGGCTCAGCCCGCCCCCAGCCTCCTTACTTTTAAAGATCTCCGAGTGGAAGCCGGCATCCTTCCCCAGGTAAGCTGAAAACCAGAGCACGGGGAGACTGAGGCGGCTCAGACCCCGTTCCTGCTAGCCTGCGGCAGCATGGCCCTCGGTGTGGGTCTCCCCTTAGAGGTGGCCCCCCTTGGGCTCTGGGAAAGTTCCTTCACCCCCTCTGTGCCTCAGTTTCCACCTCGGTGAAGTGGGGACTGCGATTCCTACCTGGGTGTGGTGGGGTTCTGAACAAGTGAATTCACGTGAACAAAGCCCTCAGCCAGAGGCGTTCAATAAACCTCAGGCAGAGGTTTTCTGCCCGGCCGGCGTGGCTCAGTGGTTAGCGTCCACTTATGAACCAGGAGGTCATGGTTCAGTTCCTGATCAGGGCACATGCCTGGGTTGCAGGCTCCATCCCCAGTAGGGGGCACGCAGGAGGCAGCCGTCAATGATTCTCTCTCATCATTGATGTTTCTATTTCTCTCTCCCTCCCCCTTCCTCTCTGAAATCAATAAAAATGTTTAAGTAAATAAATAAATGGCTTCCTTCCCGACACACTGCCAGGATCACACAGTCTTCACAGAGGCAGAGCCTGGTCGGACCAGGGTTTCAGGGTGGGGGGACAGGGGCGGGGCAGTGCTAAGGGAGCCATCCGGGGGCTTAGGGGTGAAATCCAAAGAGATATTGGCACAGACCACCAGAGAATGGTAAGAACGCTTCTGTCCACATAGTAAGCACCATGTGCTGCACATTAACTTGTTTAATTCCACCAGGGGCCTGCGGGTTGGTGCCCTTTTAACCCTCTCACACAGATGAGCAAACGGAGGTATAATCGCCCAACCACCCGGAAGCTGGCATGTGGCAGTGGCCCCTGGAAAGGGGTCCAGGACCTGCCGCCCGAGGTCACACAGAGTCATTGGAGGACTCAGGATCAGAACCCAGAGCTCCTGTCTCCCACCAGGACCCCCACAGATGAGAGCAGGGGAGGAGTGGGGGTGACAGGCAGTGGGTGTCTTAGTGAGAACCTGGCTGGAGTCTGGGGGCCAAGAAGCCTGGTGGGTCCACAGTTGCTGGCCTCGATGGAGAGGGGAGCGGGCTGGAGGAAGTGAGGGAAGGACGGGCGGGCCGAGGGGGCAGGGCCCTGAAGCCTGACTTTGGGCTTGCTTTGGGCACAGCCAACGGGGCAGTGGCGGTCAGGAGCGAGTGGGTAGGGTTCGGCCTTTGTCCCCGAGGACCCCTCAGCAGGGCAGGTGGGGCAGGTCACGCTCAGAGGCCCTGAGCTGGACCTGGGCCCAACCCCAGCCCGACCGGACAAGCGCTCCTCGGAGACGGCCGTACAGGTTGTGCAGGCTGAGGGCAGGGACTCGCACTTGCTCCAAGGAACCCAGGGAAGCAAGCATCCCCCTGGCTGCCCCGGTCATCCGGTCCCAGGCCCAATACCCCTGTGCCGGGCCCTTCCTGGAGTCTGACCGCAGACACAGGTGCCCGTCTGCTCACCCCGGGTTTGCCGCGGGCCCCTGGCCTGTGGGGCGGGAGGACTTACTGCGGACCAGGACTTTGGCGAAGGAGGAGGCCTGGCCGTAGGCGTTCTGCACCTTCACCGTGTAGGTGCCGGTGTCCTCCATGGTGCACCTAGGAGGAAAGAGGGAGACGTGACCCCAAGACTGCTGGGCTCCGTGGGAGACTCATGTCCCCAGCTGCGGGGGCGGGAAAGTGGGGCTTAACGGGGAGGCCTGGGGTTGGGGAGACTTCAGGCTCTGGCTCGGGCTCCTCTGAAAAGCCGTGCGCCTGTGGGCTGGCCGCTGCCCCTCTCCATGCCTGTGTCCACCTCCGGGAACTGGGGAGCTGACATCCTCTAACCCCGTGGTCGGCAAACTGCGGCTCGCGAGCCACACGTGGCTCTTTGGCCCCTTGGGTGTGGCTCTTCCACAAAATACCACGGCCTGGGCGAGTCTATTTTGAAGAAGTGGCATTAGAAGAAGTGTAAGTTTAAAAAAATTTGGCTCTCAAAAAGAAATTTCAATCGTTGTGCTGTTTTGATATTTGGCTCTGTGGACTAATGAGTTTGCCGACCACTGCCCTAACCCATCCCAGGTGGCAGTGCTCTGAAGATCTGATTGTTATTGCTGACTCTGCAGGAATAGAGGCAGGAACAGAGAGGTTCGGTGCCCAGCCCAGAGTCACACAGCAGCTAGGGTTCAACCAGCTTTAGGGCGGAAAGCCCTCTCCCAGGCCCGGCCTCCCCTGCCAACACCTGCGGATCAGAGGCCTGGAGCAGGCTCAGGGCACTCGCTGCCAGTCTGTGGCAGACCTGGGCCCGATGCCAGGTGTTCTCAATCTCAGGTCTCCCCACCACCCAGGCCAGCCCTGTCATGTCCCAGAGGCACCTAGTGACAGAGTCATTGGCAGGATGTGGCCCCTCTGGCACCCATCAGCCAGCAGAGAGGCCCCTGGGTGCCCCCTCTCCCCCGGCTGCTCGGGGCAGGGAGCACTCTTATTTTGAGGGTCAGTCCCACCTGCCTCTACCCCTGCCCCTCCAGGCCTGCATGCCTCCCCTGGCTTCGCAGCCTCCAGGCCCCTCCCTCGGTAGTACTGTATGGCCAGGTGTTGATCCGTGGGTCCCTCCATTGCTTCTGAGGGGAGAATCCATGTCCTGCTCACACCTGGGTCTCTGAAGCCCAAGCTGGTTGAAGTGTCAGGAAGAACCCAGGTGGAGGGAACTGGCTCGAACCCGGCCCTGCCCTGGGAAGCTGTGCAGGACCCTGGCCGCTCTCCACCTCTGTCTCCTCACCTGCAACAGGCTTCCTGCAAGGACAGTGGTGGGCGCTTGGCCCTGGGGAGAATTCAGCATGTGGCAGCTCATGAGAAATGCGTACTTGGGGACTGCCTTTGTGCCTCCCTCCACACACGTGGCCTCTTCCTGCAAAACCTTGCTTTAGACTCACCATCTCCCGAAAGGCCTAACTCTCCCTTCCCACTGCTTCCCCTTGCACTTGAGTGTGTGAGTACAGGCACGTGTGTGTGAGTGCATGTATGTGTGTGTGAATGCCTGCATGTGTGTGTGTGTGTGTGTGTGTGTGTGTGTGTGTGTGTGTATAAGGATTTGTGGTCTCTCTCCTCCAGCAAGGAGCTCTCCCAACTTGCCTAGCTCAGCATTCAGTCCTTGCTACTAGCCTCTGGCCCATGTTTCTCGTTGTGTATTCCAGAGCATGTGAACCCCGTGTGTGTGTGTGTGTGTGTGTGTTACATACTGATTCCTGGGCCGCACTCCGGACCTACTTCATCGGAATCTCTGGGGGCAAGAAGAGAGTCTATCTGCGAATTGGTGTTTTAATGAGCACCCAGACACGTCTGAAGGTGCTGCACGCTCAGCACACGGCTCCCAGGAAGGGCTGGGGATCGGGGCCTGGGACCATGGCCCCCAGTCTCACCTCCGGATCTCCAGGGTCAGCAGCCCGTAGTTGTTGGTGATCCGGTACTTTCCGGGAGGGAAGAGGCGGGGGTCGATTTGCATGTCGTTTTTGTACCTGTGGAGACAGGACAGCGGGCTGTGGCAGGCGGTGTGGGTGGGTTCGAGTGGGAAGGATTTGGAACCTCTCGGACCTGGGCTCCAACCTCAACATTGCGCTGCTCGTGTGATCTTGGGCAGCACTCTCACTGATCTGAACCTCGGTTGTTCTCATCTGTGAAATGGGTGTAAGCAAGGCAACCAGCCTTGAAGGGTTGTTACACGGATTAAATGGGATGAGATGTGGAAAGCTTTTCTCCAGTGCCCTGAGCATTATGGGCGCTCACAAGTCCATTCCTCTGCTGGGGGGCAGAGAAGAGGGGGGCTGTAACGAGGGATTGCTGCTCCCCCCCATAGCGGGGTACCTCCAGGGAACAGGCCCTAGATTTTCTCTCCTCTGAGGCTGGTGGCCAAGGAAGGAAACTCCGTCCCTACCTCCCTGTCGACCCCTCAGAACAGTGGTTCTTTATCTTGACTCTTAAAACACAAGAGGCAACTTTTAACATCTCCATGCCCAGATTTGAAACATAGACTTTGGGAATTCGCATCCAAAATGACTAATTATTCTCCTAGGGGTGTCGAACTCAATCAGAGAAGGGGCCAAAATCTAAAATCCAGCCTAAATCGCGGGCCGAATGGTTTACTGAACAGTCATAAACTGTCATTGTGATGGAAACGCAGCGGAGTGCAGTGATGACAGCGCGGTGCGGGCCACATTGCAAGGCCTGGCGGGACGGATTTGGCCCGCGGGCCTTGTGTTTGACACATGTGTGGACCTAGAAACATCCTCTTATTCTAAAGGGACAGGAATGATCCCTGAGCCTCTAACTATATAACATCTTTTCTGGCCCCTGTTTCTGCCAGGTCTGTGGTGGGCAAACTGCGGCTTGTGAGCCATATGTGGCTCTTTTGGCCTCTGGAGTGTGGCTCTTCCACAAAATACCACGGCCTGGGCGAGTCTAATTTGAAGAAGTGGCGTTAGAAGAAGTTGAAGTTGAAAACATGTGGCTCTCCAAAGAAATTTCCATCGTTGTCCTGTTGACATTTGGCTCTGTGAACTAATGAGTTTGCCAACCACTAGCAGCTAGGGTGTAACCAGGTGCCGAAGTATTGTCAACAGAAAGGAAAACAAGTGTCACGTGGCTGCTCCTGCCCCTTTCTGTGTCATCGTCCCGCCACCCCGAGGCCGACTGTGGCCGAGACTGCCGTCTCGCAGAGGAGTGACCCGGGGGCCGAGCTGCCACCGCCGCCCCGCCCTGCCTGCAGCAGACACTTCTATGAAAGACAAATAAACTATCTTATTTAAACCATCAAAAAACTCTCCAGCCAGCTGAAACCGGTTTGGCTCAGTGGTAGAGCGTCGGTCTGCGGACTGAAAGGTCCCGGGTTCGATTCCTGTCAAGGGCATGTACCTTGGTTGTGGGCACATCCCCAGTGGGGGGTGTGCAGGAGGCAGCTGATCGATGATTCTCTCTCATCGATGTTTCTAACTCTCTATCCCTCTCTCTTCCTCTCTGTAAAAAAAAAAAAAAAAAAAAAAAAAAAAAATCAATAAAATATAAAAAAAATTAAAAAATAAAAATAAAAAACTCTCATGCCCAGGCTGCATCCCAGAATTAAAATCAGAATTTCCGGAGGTGGGGCCTGGGCCTCGGTGTTTTTGAAACTCTCAGGTGACTCCCGCGGGCGGCCCAGCGGGTCCCGCTGCTCCCGGATGCCGCTGCTTGCTTCCTGTGCACCCCGGGGTCCCGCTCCCCCTTCCGGTCTTGCCTCTGCCCACAGCCCATGGAGGGAGGGCTGGAGCCTGAGTCAGGGCTGGCGGATAAACGTCTGTGAAAGTTACGAGGCCTGGACGCATATTGCTGTGTGACCTTGGGCACGTTGGTGCCCCTCTCTGGGCCTCTGCGTCCAGGAGGCTGTCGCACGGACAGCCTGCCCCCGTGGTGGCTGCAGTTGAGAGCAGGCCTCCGCCGAGAGAGGGCACCCTGGCCTCAGCACGTTTGCCCTCCGGGACCTGGCTCTCCCACGCCGTGCCCTGTTTGTCTCCATGGCAACCAAACAGTGCCATGCCCACGCTCTACCCCATAAACCCCGGGCTACACCCTCTTCTGAAAGGAACCCAACTAGGTCTTCTGTGGGGAGGTGGTGCCTCCTGTGCGTGCCAGCCTCTCCACCTCCCCCAAGCGTGGGGGCCAAGGTCAGGCCTCCTCCCCATCAGGGACATTCCAGACATCTCGGCCTGGCCGGCTCTGGGAATGACCTGGACCGCCAGGGGCCTCGGTGCTCATCCTGCCCTCTCTCTGGGCTCCTCCGGCCGGTGCCGTGGGCCCTCGCTGGCATGGGCCGGGCTGATGCTCCCTAGTGGTCGCCAATCATAAAATAGCATCGAAGGAGAGGGTGAGGACAGGTGCCCCACCAGAGCCTGGCTTAGCGACGGCCACATAAGAGTTACTGACGTTTATTTTTTTTTTTACGTATTTGGTGTTAGATCTTAATTTTTAAGGCTGCTCGGCCTAGGACAGTGGTCGACCAACTCATTAGTCAACAGAGCCAAATATCAACAGGACAACGATGGAAATTTCTTTGGAGAGCCAATTTTTTAAAACTTAAACTTCTAACGCCACGTCTTCAAAATAGACTCGCCCAGGCCGTGGTATTTTGTGGAAGAGCCACACTCAAGGGGCCGAAGAGCTGCATGTGGCTCGCGAGCCGCAGTTTGCCGACCGCGGGCCCAGGAGGTTGATTCTGACATCAGGTGGAATCATGTCCAGGACCCGCTTCTGCAGCATTAACATGGCCAGATGGAGGCTCGCCTACCCTGCCCTGTTGCGCCCCTGCATTCAGGAGGTGCTCAATAATTGTTGAGTGAAGGACTCTCTTGACAAGCCTGGTGGGCCAGGATCTCTCCCCACCTCCCCTGGGAGCTGGGTCTCCGCTGGGGCCTGGACAGAGCTCCAGAGGCCAACCCCAGGATGACGTGTGGCCCCGTGGGAGGTGATGGATGATGGAAAACCAGCCCCGGAGCCAGGAGCCACAGAGCCGCCTGAGGCCCCGGCTCCCACCCCTAACAAACCGGGAATGCTGCTGTGGCAACGTCGCCCTGCTGTGGCAACAGGGCCGGCAGGGGAGAAACAGGCCCCTTGTGGAGAGGCTCCCACAGAAGGTCTGTCTTAGAGGCGGGCTGAGCGCCAGGCGGGCAGGGCAGGGCTGGCTGCCGGGCCAGGACAGCTGAGGCGCTGACCCCCGCTTGGCCCACCCAGCTGTCGGACACCGTCCTCCTCGCGAGCAGAAACTTGCAGGAAGGGAGCGCGTTGGACCCCACGGCATTCCAGTGCCTGGCATGGAGCCCGGCACACCTGTTTGAATGAATGCCGCCTGGCAACGGCCAGCCCCTGTTGTCAACACCCTCAAGATGCCTGGCGTGAGTGCTCCTGGCCTGAGTGCTCTCTGCGTCTCTGACTTCTGAAGCATCACGTGTGCGTTAAGGGAGAAAATGAACTATAAGTATGACTTCCCCGCTCTCGCGATGGGTTGGGAGGCAAAAGACCTGAATGTGGCCGAAGCCGGTTTGGCTCAGTGGTAGAGCGTCGGTCTGCAGACTGAAAGGTCCCGGGTTCGATTCCAGTCAAGGGCATGTACCTTGGTTGCGGGCACATCCCCGGTAGGGGGTGTGCAACAAGCAGCTGGTCGATGTTTCTCTCTCATCGACGTTTCTAGCTCTCTATCTCTCTCTCTTCCTCTCTGTAAAATATCAATAAAATAATATTAAAAAAAAAAAAAGACCTGAATGTGAACCCTAGGGCACACGACCTCTCTGAGCCTCGGTATCTTCATCTGTGAAATGGGGACGATATCCCCTCCCTCAGGGGTGGGCCTCGAGGCTCAATGAGAAGAAAGTGCTGGGTCAAGTGTGAGATGCTGCTTTTTCTTCTGTGATCTCATTTGTGTGTGTGTGTGTGTGTGTGTGCTTATCTTCTCTCTCCTACTAGACCTTGGTCTGTTCACCCTCTAGGTCTGGCTTATATGCCACCTCCTCCGAGAAGCCTTCCTGGATCCTCCAGGTTGGGGGAGGTCACTTCTTCCTCTTCCCCTTCATGCTTTTAGCTCAAATGCCACCCATGAATACATTCCTCCGTGTGCTGACGTTTCTCTTCTGGGCTGGGAGTTCCTCTAGGTGCGGCTGTGTCTGAGTCATTTCTGTACCACCGTGGCCCAGTCCGGGCCTGGGACAGAGTATACTTCTTGCAAATATTGGCTGAACATCCTGTCTCATCTTCTACCGTGGGTGATAATGGGCCTCAGTCTCAGGGGAACGCCGGAAGCAGTGGGCTCAGCTGTGTGAGGGACACGCCTCCTTCGGTCATAGAACCGAGACCCCGAACATGGCCGTGCCCACTCCCATCCCCACCAGCTTGCTCAGGAGACACCTGCCACCCCCCCAGGAATGACATCTGCTTTCTGAGCACCTTTCAAGGTCCCCAGCACATGCAAGCTGGGCAGGAGGTCTCCCACCCATTTTACAGAATTGGAAGCTGAGGCAGGACGGGAGAGATTAAGAGATGTAGCTAAGATCACACAGAGAGTGAGTCCAGGGAGAGGGAGCTGAGCCTGGAGTGCAGGGTTCCCACTCCAGGCCTGAGTTCCTTCTCATTGTAGGGCCCCTGCCCTCCCCCCCGCACCTCCTCTCCTGCTCCCCTGCCCCCTGCCCCCTGCCCTGCCTCCCGCCATCATCCTCTAACCCAGGAGACCCCAGCTGGGAGCAGCTGCCTTCTCATGCCCCCAGAATCATATTTTCATGAGTGCTGGCTCCCTGGTGGCTCCGTCTTCTGGCCCCAGGCTGGCTGGGAGGCAGCTAAGAATAACCCTCCTGAGCCTCCTGCAGCTGCTGCTCTGTTCGGGGGGGTGGGCAGGGCTCAGGGTCTGTGGGGCTCCGCTTTCCTAAGGCAGCAGGAGCTGCTGGGGGAGGGCCTGGGCTCCGGAGTCAGGAACTCACACTCACGTAACCATGGAGATGAGGCGAGGACCCTTCCCTCCGGCCCCGGTGTCTTACCAGGTGACCTGGGGCGCCGGCGAGGCCTGGACAGTGCAGGTCAGCAGGACGGTGGTGTGCTCCCAGACGGCGTGGGAGCGGAGCGGGATCCAGAACCAGGGCCCCCGGCCGGAGCACAGCTCCCTCAGCTCCTTGGCCTCCCGGACCTTCTCCTCGGTCTGGAGAGGGAGAAGGGCTGTGACCCCACTGAGCCTGGCACCAGCTCTCCCCCATCTTCATGGCCGCCTCCTCCGAGAAGCCTTCCTAGATCTTCCAGGTGGAGGCAGTCACTTCCTCCTCTTCCCCTTCATGCTTTTAGCTTAAATGTCACTCCAGCATGAGCTGGAGCCCCTCAGCAGCATCGGAGGGGCAGTGCGGCCCGGGACCTGGGAACCAGCGGGCCCGGGTCACGGCCAAACGTGGCCGCTTCCTAGCTGTGAGCCCCTAGGCACGTCCTCAGGGTCCTCTTCTGAAAGCAACATCCCCCCACCCTCCTGTGGGCTGCAGTGAGGGTTCACCCAGTTAATATGTGAAAACCACGGGCGCTGCTCTCCTGCCCAGGGAGTGGGTACGTAGAGTGACTTCAACCCCGGACATTTGTCAGGAGTAGATTTTAGATTTCTCGAGGGCCTGCTGAGCTCTGGGCCCTGGGAAGTGACTTTAGGAGCTCAGTCTCATTAATTCACATCTCAGCGAGGGCTGGTACAACCACGGGCGTCTAGTTTGCAGGTGAGAAAGCCTCAGGAGGAATCAGCTGCTTGTCTAAGGTCACCCAGCGGGCGGGGGGCGGGCGGGGTGAGGGCACCGGGATTCAAACCCAGTCCACATCCAGGACCAGGGTTCTTCCCTGATGTCCAGCTGCTTCTTGAGAAGGGGGTAGAGAGCCCAGCCGGTGTGGCTCAGTGGTTGAGCACCAACCTATGAACCAGGAGGTCACGGTTTGATTCCCAATCAGGGCCCATGCCCGGGTTCCGGGCTCCATCTCCAGTGTGGGGCGTGCAGGAGGCAGCTGACCAGTGACTCTCTCTCACTGTTGATGTTTCTATCTCTCTCTTCCTCTCTGAAATCAATAACATATATTTTTAAAAAGAGAAAGGGGGGTAGAGTGAGGTGGGTGGCATGTGGCGGGTCTCAGGCCCCCAAGGTCCCCAGCCCGTCCCCTTACCCGCCGCCTCAGCGCCCTCCGGTCGCGGCTCTGGCGCAGCAGCCACTGGGTGCGGAGGAGGGCGATGTCGGTCCTCTCCAGGTCATTGCCGAAGCCCACGCTCTTCTGCCCTCGCTCCTCCCGCTCCACCGTGGAGGTCTGGCGCCTCAGCTGGGCCTCCCTGTGGAGACAGAGGACCTCGGGGGCTGAGGACCCAGCACTGGGGAGGGCAGTGCCGTCCCCACGCCCAGCATTGCCACCTGCAGTTTACGCTCCGTGAGGACAAGAGCAACGTTTAATCCCGTCTTGCCTTCAAAATACCGTGAATGGGCCCTGCTTACAGTAGGTGCATAATAGCTGCTCTCTATATGGTTCGCAAGGCCCTTTCACAAACCATCGTTCCTCCTGTTTGCACTGCAACTAAGTGGACAGGCATTAGTCTAGCCATTTTATTTTTATTTACTTATTTTTAATATATTTTATTGATGTCAGAGAGGAAGGGAGAGGGAGAGATAGAAACGTCAATGATGAGCCGAAACCAGTTTGGCTCAGTGGATAGAGCGTCGGCCTGCAGACTGGAAGGTCCTGGGTTCGATTCCGGTCAGAAGCATGTACCTTGGTTGCGAGCACATCCCCAGTAGGGGATGTGCAAGAGGTAGCTGATCTATGATTCTCTCTCATCGATGTTTCTAACTCTCTATCCCTCTCTCTTCCTCTCTGTAAAAAAAATCAATAAAATATATTAAAAAAATAAAAAAAATAAAAATTGTTATAAAAAAAAAAAAAGAAACATCAATGATGAGAGAGAATTATTGATTGGCTGCCTCCTGCAGGCCTCCCACTGGGGATGAAGCCTCATCGCGGCAGCTGCTGCTCTGTGCCTGGACCGGGACTCGAACTGAGACTTCCTGGCTCATAGGTCGAGGCTCAACCACCGGGACACACTGGCCGGGCTAGTCTCGCCATTCGGCAGGACAGACTCCTGCGGCTCAGAGACTTGCTTCAGGCCCAGGGACCCAGGCCTCCCAGCCCAGGGCGAGGCCTGCTGATGTTCTCATACTCACAGGCCCTTCCCGTCTTGGGACTCGTGTCTGAAACGTGGGGCTCCTTTACCTGCTCCCCCTCCCCAGCCCCTCCCGCACCACGAGCAGCCGGCTGGGGGAGGATGGACCCTCCCCCCCTCTCTCCAGGACGGCCCCTCACGACTGCTCGTGGACCGTGGGCTTTGTGGCCAGACAGCCCTGGGCTTTGACCTTGGCCTAGCCCAGTGGTCGGCCAAACTCAACAGAGCCAAATAGCAACAGGACAACGATTGAAATTTCTTTGGAGAGCCAAATGTTTTACATGTAAACTTCTTCTAACACCGCTTCTTCACAATAGACTCGCCCAGGCAGTGGTGTTTTGTGGAAGAGCCACACTCAAGGGGCCAAAGAGCAGCACGTGGCTCTCGAGCCGCAGTGTGCCGACCGCGGGTCTAGATGTGTCCCTCTGGGCAGCTTGAGGCGCAGAGTGGGCGCCCAGGAGCGAGGCAGGGCCTCGGGGCCTGGATGGGACGGCCCCTCTGAGCCTGGAAAGATGGCCGCACTTACCAAGACAGCTCGTAGGAGGTTGTGAGAGCCAGGGCGGCTGCCAGGGCGTGGTCTGCGGCGCTGAACTGGTACTCTTCCTCGCTGCCCCGAGAGAGAGAGAGGCGATGGCGGGGTGTGGCTAGGGGCCTGGCTGCGGCTCCCTGAGTTTAGGGCTGCAGCTGCCCACCTCGGCCCGGAGGCCAGCAGGCGTGGCTGGGCTCCCTCCTCAGCCTGAGGTCTCAGGGAGCAGGGCCCTGCCTCCCCCTCAGACCGGGGACCCCAGGGCAGGGCGGTGGCCAGGCGGGGTCCCCGTGCTCCCACCTGCTGCGGAAGGTCCTCCTCTGCACCGAGGAGCCCATGTGCAGGCTGTGCTGCCGCTGCTCCCGCTGCTCCTCCTCCTGGCGGCGCTCCACCCTGTGCACCTCCACGGCCTGGGGGGGCCGGGGCTCCCCCACATTTCCAGGGCTGTGGGGCAGCGTCATGGCTGCGGAAGCAACAACCTGCCAAGCCGAGGTTGCAGGGTCACTGCACCAGGCGTGGGCCCAGCCAGTCCCCACGTGGTCCCAGCGCCTCCGGGAGGGCAGTGGGGGGAGGGCTGTGGGTGGCGGGTGGGGTTCTCTCTCCAGGGGGCAGACAGGGGAATGGAGGCCTGAGAGGGAGAGGGACTCGCCCACGGTGACAGAGGCAGACTTGGTCCCCCCGCTGAGTGAGCAGAGCCCTGCTTTGGGGACCAGGCGTCCAGCCCCAACCTGGTCCTTGCCGCGCGGTGTGACCTGGGGGCAAGGCCTTGCCTTCGCCGGGCCCAGCCGCCCTGGTGATTGACAGCTGTAAAGCCCAAGGAGTGCTCTGGGACTCAGGACGGGCAGCTGTCCTTGCTCTGCTCCCCCTGCATTCGCCACGCGCAGTCCTGCCCCTGAGCCTTCACCTACGCTAGGGGTGTCGAACTCAATCAGAGAAGGGGCCAAAATCTAAAATCCAGCCTAAATCGCGGGCCGAATGGTTTACTGAACAGTCATAAACTGTCATTGTGATGGAAATGCAGCGGAGTGCAGTGATGACAGCGCGGTGCGGGCCACATTGCAAGGCCTGGCGGGACGGATTTGGCCCGCGGGCCTTGTGTTTGACACATGTGACCTACGCTATTCACACTTCAAAGCACAACCTGAGCATGCTCAGTGAGCACAAAGGCTGAGTGAGGAGACTCTAGGGTCCCCCCGCCCCAGTGATCCCAGCTTCTCATTCTGGTTTACAATGTGAGACCTTGGGCAAGACTCTATGACTTGGATCCTCGTCTAGAAAATGGGTCTGTGGACCTCTCAGGTGGTTGTGGAGGTTTGAGGAGTGCCCAGCACATAGTAGGTGCTGTCATAGTAGGTACAGCGTTTTTTCTAAGCGCTGCCGAACAACTGCAGGCCACGTAGGCTTCCCCTCCTCTACTTCCTTTTGCACTTTTTTATCTGGACGTCACAAGCTAGCTCCGACTCAGAAAACGTCTCCTCTCACCACTCATCACTTCACATCTGCGCACCTTGAGCTTCAATAAGGCTGCAAACGAATTAAAAGTCGTCACAGCACATGCTCATTGGGGCCAGGCCGTGCATTCGGAGTGTTCAGACGCGTGGCTCCCAGTCCCTATGTTCTTATATGTTACTTCACTATTTCCACTGCCCCATTCTATACAAGTCTTCACCTCACATTTTGATTGCCATAATTTGATCAAAGACCTAAATCCAAATTCCAACAATGTTACTTCCTAGTTAGGATTACACAAGATGACGTGTAAAGACTCTAGAATAACATCTAACATTAGTAGGCATCAATAATTTTGATTCATTTCATTACTCCTGGTGTCCCTCACTATAATGTACCCTCTTCAGTAAAAACCTACAATTCCCTGTAAACAGCCGGGACCGCACGGCCGCACTGCCATCGGCCACTTCCCTCGCGGGGAGGGAAGTGCTTGCCCACGGCCACTCAGTGCATGACTGGCACCTGGCCTGCCCCTCTCCAAGCTCTCGGCCTCTGCGCCACGTATCTGCTCAGGCCAGGCCTGGGCCGAGGCTGGGGCCACAGCAGGCCACGTGGCCTTTCTCCTTGTAGGGGGGTCACAACGGAGTGGGTTCCCCCTGGAATTCCCGGGGTTCAGGTCTGGGCCCAGGTGGTGCCAGTAGGGTGGGATCCAGTGGGTCTGGAAGAGGCTCAGGGGTCCGGGAGCGAACCCTGGGGAGGAGGACACGGCCCCACGGTCGCTGCTGTGGGTTCTGTGCCGAGGCCCCTCCCAGAGGCGGCTCCGGGTCCCCCCGGGGCCCCATGAGGCTGAGGCTCTGGGATGCCGGCAGAGTCCCCGGATCGGCCTTGAGAGGCTCTCCGGGTGGGTTCTGGGGGGCAGGACCTGGGAGGGTCCCTGCCCGGCTTGGACCTGATGCAGACCCTGGGCAGGAAGAAGCAAGCTGACGAGACTAACACTCCAGCCTGGAGCTACCAGCGTCCATGAGGCCCAGCTCCGGGGGTCCCTGGAGGGGCGTGTGTGTGTGTGTGTGTGTGTGTGTGTGTGTGTTCTGACCTGGTGTGAACAGGGCACCTGAGAGACATGTCTCTAAGTTCATGGCATGGCAGGAGGGCCTGCTGGCCTCCCGGGACCCTGGGCCTGAGGCCTGTGTGTGGGGTGTCAGGGCTCAGGCCGCCAAATGCCACCCGGTGGGCACTTACTGCCGCCTCCCCGTTCCTGCCGGTGTGCTCCTTCGTGTGTCCACAGGGCACCCCCCGGGAGAGCCGGGGCCACCGAGGGGTGCTGGCCGGGGCCACGGCTGCCCCGAAGCTTCCTTGGCCTCGTGGCGTCCCATCTGGTCGTCCCCAGGAAGAGGGTCTGCCTCCCCCGAGAACGGCTGCCTCTGCTCCTCCCCCTCAGCCCGGAGGAGAGCGGTGGGTGCCACCCCGGGGCGGGGGCGGGGCGGGGGCGGGGGGGGGGGGGGGGCGGCTTTCCGGACACCGTGGCCCTGGCCCCACCCTGAGGTTCACGTTCCCGGCGTCAGTGCTGGCTCCCTTCCCCTCGCTCCGTCCGTTAGCACAGTGCGTGGGCTGGCCCCCCTCCCTGGCCTCCGGGGCCTCCCCGAAACCGGACGCCCGCTTTAGCGGATGAGCCATCGCTTCTTTTTAAAGCGCTGCCTGAGCTCGGGATTAAGCACCAGGGGCACAGCCTCTGGCCTCGCCCCAAGGCTGTGTGTGCCTGGTGGGCAGGGTCCGCCCGTGCCCTCTCCGGGGGGCGGGGGGGGCGCAAAGCTGGGGCAGGAGGTCCTGCCACATGGCACTTGCCTCCCAAGCCTCAGCCCTCGGAGAGGCAAGGCGAGGGGAAGAGAGGTGCTGGGGGTGTGTGTGTGGGGTGTGTGTGTGTGTGTGTGTGTGTGTGTGTGGGGTGTGTGGGTGTGTGGGGTGTGTGTGTGTGTGTATGTGGGGTGTGTGTGGGTGTGTGTGGGGTGTGTGTGGGTGTGTGGGTGTGTGGGGTTTGTATGTGGGGTGTGTATGTGGGGTGTGTGGGGTATGTGTGGGTGTGTATGTGGGGTGTGTATGTGGGGTGTGTATGTGGGGTGTGTGGGGTATGTGTGGGTGTGTGTGGGTGTGTGTGGGGGTGTGGTGTGTGTGTGGTGTGTGTGTGTGTGTGTGTGGTGTGTGTGTGTGTGTATGTGGGGTGTGTGTGGGTGTGTATGTGGGGTGTGTGTGGGTGTGTGGGGTTTGTATGTGGGGTGTGTATGTGGGGTGTGTGTGTGTGTGTGGTGTGTGTGTGGGTGTGTGTGTATGTGGGGTGTGTGTGTGTGTGTGTGTGTGTGGTGTGTGTGTGGGTGTGTGTGTATGTGGGGTGTGTGTGTGGTGTGTGTGTGTGTGTGTGTGTGTGTGTGGTGTGTGTGGGTGTGTGGGGTGTGTGTGTGTGTGTATGTGGGGTGTGTGTGGGTGTGTGGGGTTTGTATGTGGGGTGTGTATGTGGGGTGTGTGTGTGGGGTGTGTGTGTGTGTGTGTGTGTGGGTGCAGCTTGTGCTGGGCCCTGTGGGCGGAGCAGAGACAGCCGTCAGTCTTTCCGCCCTGGTTCCACCAGCTTCTCAGAGGCAGGCGTTCTGACCTTGCTGCTGAGGAACTGAGACCATGTCTGTCCCGTCTGCCTCAGTTTCCTGCCAGGGAGCCAGGCTGGGTGAGCGCCCTCCGGCCTGTGATTTGGGCCCAGCGGGCGGCTCCCTTCCTGTCGCCGGGCTGTCCTGCAGGCGGGCATGGCTCAGGTCTGCTGGGCCTGCAGCCCACACTGCCCGGCCATGCAGGCCCCCCGGCCCCCAGGCCCCCCGGCCCCCCAGGCCCCGCCGGCCCCCCGGCTCCCCAGGCCCCCCAGGCCCCCCAGCCCCCCGACCCCCAGGCCCCCCGGCCCACCAGGCCCCCCGGCTCCCCAGGCCCCCCAGGCCCCCCGGCCCCCCAGGCCCCTCAGGCCCCCCAGGCCCCCCAGCCCCCCCGACCCCCAGGCCCCCCAGGCCCCCCGGCCCCCCGCCCCCCAGGCCCCTCAGGCCCCCCGGCTCCCCAGGCCCCTCAGGCCCCCCAGGCCCCCCGGCCCCCCAGGCCCCTCAGGCCCCCCAGGCCCCCCGGCCCCCCGACCCCCAGGCCCCCCAGGCCCCCGGCCCCCCAGGCCCCCGGGCCCCCCAGGCCCCCGGCCCCCCAGGGGCTTTTGTTTCTCAGCTGTCGCATCTCAGAGGGCTCTGCTCAGAAGACCCGGCCACACAACGGGGAGGGGTTCGGGGGGTGGAGAGAGACCCTCCCACTTTCACTGGGTGCTGCCCAAGCCCATGGCTGCCTCCTCTTACCAGCTCTCCGGTGCAGCTCCTTCTCCAGCACACACACCCCCCCCACACACACACCACCATCCCCACCCCCCCACACACACACATCACACACACACCCCACACACACCCCCACCACCACACACACACCACACACACACCACACACACCACACACACACCACACACACACCCCACACACACCACCATCCCCCCCCCACACACACACACCACACACACACCACACACACACACCCCCACACACCCCACACACACCACCATCCCCCCCCACACACATCACACACACACCCCACAAACACCACCACCCCCCCCACACACACACCACACACACACCACACCCCCCCCACACACACACCCCACACACACCACCATCCCCCCCCCACACACATCACACACCCCCCCCCCACACACCACCATCCCCCCCCACACACATCACACACACACCCCACACACACCACCCCCCCCCACACACACACACCACCATCCCCCTCCACACATCACACACACACACACACATCCCACACCTCCCACACCTCCCACACACACACCCCACACACACCACCATCCCCACTCCCATACACATACATCCCCACACACACCACACACACACCCCACACACACCACCATCCCCCCCCCCCACACACATCACACACACACCCCACACACACCACCATCCCCCCACACACACACATCACACACACACCCCACACACACCACCATCCCCCCCCACACACACATCACACACACACCCCACACACACCACCATCCCCCCCCACACACACACCACACACACACCACACACCCCCCCCACACACACCCCACACACACCACCATCCCCCCACACACACACATCACACACACACCCCACACACACCACCATCCCCACCCCCATACACATACATCCCCACACACACACACCACCATCCCCACCCCCACACACACACATCACACACACACCCCACACACACCACCATCCCCCCCCACACACACATCACACACACACCCCACACACACCACCATCCCCCCCCCCCACACACACCACACACACACCACACACCCCCCCCACACACACCCCACACACACCACACACCCCCCCCACACACACCCCACACACACCACCATCCCCCCCCACACACACATCACACACACACCCCACACACACCACCATCCCCCCCCCCACACACACCACACACACACCACACACCCCCCCCACACACACCCCACACACACCACCATCCCCCCACACACACACATCACACACACACCCCACACACACCACCATCCCCACCCCCATACACATACATCCCCACACACACACACCACCATCCCCACCCCCACACACACATCACACACACATCACACACACACCCCACACACCCCACCATCCCCCCCCACTTCCCAGTGAGAAGTGAGGGTCCCTCCCGCCCTGTCCCGCCCGGAGGTGCTCACAGCAGCAGCCGGTCCACTTGGTGAGTCACTTGGGCGCCTCTGGGAGGAGATCCAGGGACGAGGGTGCCTGGTGTCTTCTTGCCCTGGGCTCACGGGGACGGGAGGAGAGTGTGATCCCGGCGCCTGCTCGGCCTTAAATATAGCAGCTGAGGCAGTGATGACAATGGATGGGGACGGTGAAGGGCGAGGGGGGGCTGCTCCCTCCGGCCAGCACAGCGCAGGCGGCAGCAACAGGTGGAGCCGTCCCCACCCACCCGGCCCCCTGGCGGCTCCTCGCTCGCTCGCTCGCTCGGCAGGGTCCCCAGCTCGGCTGGTTGTATGAAAGACGATCAGGGGAGCCTCTCCGCTGCCGGAGCTCTGATCTGTTCCCCCACTGACCGAGCCTTGGGGAAGACACCAGCTCCTCTGATCTGACTCCCCTTCTGAAAAGTGGGGACAGTCAGACGGGGCACCCAGACTTCATGAAGACAGAGGAAGGCATGTACTGAGACATCTTCACTGGCCAAAATGGAAGTATGTGGCTTTAAAAATTATATATTGATTTCAGAGAGGAAGGGAAAGGGAAAGAGACAGAAACATCAATGATGAGAGAGAATCATTGATCTGTTTCCTCCTGCACGCCCCCATTGGGGAGCAAGCCCACAACCCAGGCATGGGCCCTGACTAGGAGTTGAACCATGACCTCCTAGTGGTGCATAGGTCGACGCTCAACCACTGAGCCGCACCAGCCGGGTATGTGGCTTCTTGTCTCTCCACCACCCCCAGCAGCTACTCGCCCAGCTCCTGTGCGGTCACGGTCACGTGAGTATGGGGATGCGGCGCAGGCAGAGGGAGTGGGAGGCATCCCTTCCTCACTGTCCGAATGCCTCAGGCTCCCCGAATGGCCGCTGAGGACCCTTCTTCCCAGCCTCCCTACACCCCCTCCCTCAATCCCTTTCCCTCACAGTGGTCATGGCTGCCCTTTGCCAGGCCTGGCGGGCACTGAGAAGGCAGACGTGAGTAAGGTAAGACCATGATGTGGAGGCATCTAGACGGGCAGACAGGCAGCTACCCCGGAGCCAGGTCTCAGGGGATGACCAGGTCTGGGGAAGGCTATCCTGGCCCTGTCCTGGGTTTCAGGGGCCCAGCAACACCGTGCCTATCACCCCTGCCACCCTTCTTAGTGCCTTAGGGCCTCTCATTAGAGAGGGAGAGAGAGAGAGAGAGAGAGGGAGAGAGAGAGAGAGAGAGAGAGAGAGAGAGAGAGAGAGAGAGAGAGAGAGAGAGAACACAAGTAATTTCTCAGCCAAAATCCAAAATCTCAGTCTCCTGCTCCACCGCCCTTTTTAACTTTTTATACTATGTACTAGAGGCCTGGTGTGTGTGTGTGTGTGTGTGTGTGTGTGTGTGTGTGTTCCTCAGCCTAGCCTGCACCCTCTCCAATCTGGGAACTCTTGAGCCAGTTGGACATCCCTCTCACAATCCAGGACTACTGGCTCCCAACCACTCACCTGCCTTCCTGATTGCCCCTAAATGCTTCTGCCTGTCAGCCTGATCATGCCCTAACCCACATGTGTCAAACACAAGGCCCGCGGGCCAAATCCGTCCCGCCAGGCCTTGCAATGTGGCCCGCACCGCGCTGTCATCACTGCACTCTGCTGCGTTTCCATCACAATGACAGTTTATGACTGTTCAGTAAACCATTCGGCCCACAATTTAGGCTGGATTTTAGATTTTGGCCCCTTCTCTGATTGAGTTCGACACCCCTACGCCTAACCACTTCCCTGCCAGCTTGATTGAAGCCTAACTGCTCCTCTGCTGGCCTCATTACCCCTAACTGCCCTCTCCTGCAGGCCTGGTTGCTCCCAGCTGTCCTCCCCTGCAGGCCTGGTCTCCCTGTCCCCCTCCCCCAACTGCCCTCCTCTGCCAGCCATCTTGTGGTGGCCATCTTATGTCCACATGGAGGCAGCCATCTTTGACCACATGGGGTGGCCATCTTGTGTGATAGTGTGATGGTCAATTTGCATATTACTCTTTTATTAGATAGAATTGTATTTGTATTTGCTGCCAGTGTATATAAAATAATCATTGTTGTGAAATAGAAATTCATGAAAATTTCTGTTAGGTAGATGTTAAGCCGAGGTTTGGTGTAGCATGGCACCTGTTGTACAGGCTTCAGATTTAGCTCTCTTTGAAGGTTCACTGATTCGAGAAGAGTGGTTTAGAACACCTTCAAAGTTCATTTTGCTACAGAAAGGAGCTCGCTTTCTGGGGTCTGCAGGGACTGGCACTTGAAGACACTCCCGTCAGCAGGGGTCAGGTTGAGCATTCTGCAGACAGAACTGTTTCAGATCTGCAGCTGCTGGCAAACCTTCCCTCGGGGACCCCGGCTCCGGCCGGAGCTGGGGACTCACTTTCTTTACAGCAGCGACACTGGAGGAAGCAGACCTGGTGAACAGGAGTTGGGGCAGGTTGGTCGGTCGTGTGTCGCCAGTTGTGGGTCCAAGGGGCCAGACAGCGGGGCAGCGACTCCAGCTGAAAACCCCTTTCTTAGATTTCCCTCCCACATGACGCAGTGTTAAGAGCATCTTTTGGGGGGGGGGGGGCACTGGGCAGCTCTCTCCCGTCTTGTATTGAGCCAATCGAAGGCTTCCCAAGATCCACATGTAGACATTGGCTGTGAGGGTGGGTGTGAAGGTGTACACACAGGAAAGAGGAGCTTGGGATTTGTCCTGCAGCCCTGACCCCCCGAGGCAGCCTGGGGGGGCGGGCCACCACTTGCTAGCTGTGTGGCCGTGGGACGTTGCTAGCCATCTCTGTACAGCGGGGTCCACGAATCCTGTCTTGCTATCTGATCGCAGAGATTCATCTAGGAAGCTGAAGCCTGAAGCACAGGTCTGGCGCCCAGGAGACTAGTGTCTGCAGAATGAGAGCCCCCTGACACCTGCATGACTCCAGGGCCACTGAGAGCCTTCTCCTCCCCACCCGTCCGCTGACCCAACCCCAGGGATGCCCCCTCCTCACAGGAGGCCCTGGTGTGCCTGATGGTGAATGCAGCCAACCCTCACGTAGTGAGGCTAAGTGGAGGTTAGATGTGGAGCATGCAAATCCCAGTTCTGGTACCTGTACTCACTCACAGACCTGGGCATTATTTTTTGTTTTGTTTTTGTTTTTATTGACTTCAGAAAGGGAGAGGGAGAGAGAGATAGAAACATCAATGATGAGAGAGAATCCTCCATCAGCTGCCTCCTGCTTGCCCCCTACTGGGGGATCAAGCCTGAAACATGGGCATGTGCCCTGACCAGGAATCAAACGGTGACCTCCTGGTTCATAGGTAGACACTAACCCACAAGCCACACTGGCCGGGCAAGGGCTTTGTTCTTTCCTTGGTAAATTGGAGGTAAGATCTAAGGCAGCAGGGAACTTGCCTGCCTGTCTTATTCGCTATATCCCTAACCCAAGAGCTCTGGCTGGCATATAGCTGGGCCCTCGGTGTCTGCTTGTTTAAAGATGAATGGATGAATGAATGAATGAACAAACTCTTGTCTTGCAGAATGAGTGTGAGGTTACAGTGTGTAAAATGTCTGCTATAGTCTGTGACCCATGGTTAGGTGAGGGTTAGGGTTAGGGTATATTCTTCAAAGCACTGCCTTCCTTCTCCCCCTCCCTTCTCTTCTTCTCCTTCATATTGCTTATGCACATGTAGGGCAGTCCTCTGACCGCCACTTCACCTGCCAACCACGCCTCACCGCCTCACCATTTCCCCAGACAGCTGATGGCTCTCCTGTGGCCACGCGGAGAGCTGTCTGGCCCAGAGCTTCTCCCCACGGCCTCCCTTATCCTGCACTCCCTCTGTCCCTCCTGCACTTCAGGTTATTCCCGGTCACTGTTCTCCTCACACTTACAGGCCGAATGGATCTTCCTCGTGCCCCTCCGTCTGCAGGGTGGGCGGGGAACGTGGGCCCCAGCCGCCCGGGGGAAGGAGCAGGGGGCTGGTCTCAGAGCTGTGTCCCGTGTCCTGCCAGACGGGTGCCAGCAGGCGAGGCCGGGCTGTTGTTTTTGTCTGTCCCGCTTTCTGGAAGGCAGGGCAGGGACTGCCACAGGGACAAGCCTCGGTGTTGACATCTGGCCACAGCTTCCTGGTCTGGGCTGACACTCAGACGGGGAGGGGCCAGAGGGGCCTGGTGTCTGGGGACCAGGGAGGAGCTCCAGCCCCATTGGCCCCCCTTCTGCGGCTGAAAACTCAGGCAACCAACCCCTCTATGACCCTGGGGTCCACAGCTTGGGAGGCAGGGAGGGAGAAGGGTCTGCAGGCAGCACAGACTGAAATACCACCCAAGTAGTCCTACCCCCATCCAGGGGGTACAATGGGGGTGACTCCAGGGAGGTGACTCGAGGCCATGGACAGGGAAACTGTTGTTATAAGGGTACTATGCCCTCATAGTCTGAGGTGAATCGCTAAGAATGCTTGTTAAAAATCTGGATTCCCCAGGAGCCATGGATTTGGCAGGAAAGTGTGTGTGTGTGTGGGGGGGGGGGGGGGAGGCAAGAGGTGGCAGTGGAGGGGAGACCAGGGAAGCTGTATTTTAATTAAGCTCCCAGGGGATTCTCAAGATGAGGTAAGTTTAGGAAACAACCTGGGCAAGTCACTTCCCTGAGCAACGTTTCCTCCTTTGCAAATATCAGTAATACACAATGAGTCATTACCTGCTGAAGCCTCCTCATCTCCGACCGCCACTGTTCCTCTCCTCCTGCTGGGCTCTGCCAGGCCTGGAGGCAGCTCAGAGAGTTCAGGGCCTGGGTCACTCAGGAATGCCCAGGTCCCAGCCCCACACAGGGGGGAGGGGGGGGGGCGGCGGCGGCTGAGACACTGCCCTCTAGTGGTTTCGGCTGTAACTGCAGGCCTGGGCTGCCTGCCTAGGAGACCAGAGACCTGTGGGTCGCAGCCTGCAGCCTATCCAGGGCCGGGTCCAGCCTGAAGAGGGTCACAGGTCCCGGTCATTCACCTCCCTCCCTCCGCAGGCACTCAGACTCCACCCTCAGGAGTCACGGAGTCCTTGTGGCATCTGTCCCTGGGAGGAGCGCACAGAGCTTTGTGGCCCTGTGGAGTGGAAGAGAGGTTTATGGCTTTTAATGAAAAAACACCTCTCTGCTGCCCCCTCCCACCTACCTGGTGAGAGCCGTGCAGCTGTGAAGCTGTTGTTCATTACTTAACAAGGTGCGGACAGACAGCCTTGGGCCAAGGTCACCCCCAGCGACAGGAAGCAGCTTGTTTGCAGAGCGGGCAGAGGGGGAGCATTCATTAATGTCCACTTAGTGGCTGCCGAGAGGAGAGTGGGCCCGGGGTGCTGCGGAGGGCGGCCCCCACGTCTCTTGGGGAGATATTGGGCCTGAACCGGCAACCCTGAAGTGTTAAATATTAATTACAAACAGATAAGGACACCACCACCTGGTGCTGGTCGCAGGAGGGGAGGGGGCGTGCCTGGGGCAGGGGGAGGAGGACGCTGCACACGCTCCAGAAGGTCACACCGAGGCGGCAGGAGGCCGGTCCTGCTTCTCAGGAACGTTCAGGCCCGGCTTTGGGACAGGAAGGTGACGGGGACCCCACGGGGCCCTCCCCTCCTTGTGGCTCATCCGCCAAGAATCCAAACGGGCGTGCAAAGTCCTTTCTCTCGGTGAGAACAGGAAGCACCAGGTTTGAGCTCCGACCGCGTCATGGGCTCCATGGGGCCCCTGGGAGAGTCCATTCTCCACTCGGGGCCTCAGTTTTGTTTTTAAAAAAATATATTTTATTGATTTTCCACAGAGAGGAAGGGAGAGGGGTAGAGAGCTAGAAACGTCGATGAGAGAGAAACATCGACCAGCTGCCTCCTGTACAACCCCTACCGGGGATGTGCCTGCAACCAATGTATGTGCCTTGACCGGAATCGAACCTGGGACCTTTCAGTCCGAGGACCGATGCTCAACCCACAGAGCCGAACCGGTTTCAGCGGCCTCAGTTTTCTCATCGGAGTTGCAAATGGCACAAAGGGTGTGCTGGCACCCCGAAAGCACAGAGCAAGGCCCTTTCCCCACATGAGCAGCTGCGGGAGGCGGGAGGGCGAGGCAGGCCTGGGGGCTCCACACAAAGGGGCCCCCTGAGCATGCCGACACCCCCAAAACAGCTGCCACTTACTACCTGGGGAAGAAGGTTCCATTGTCCCTGGACCCTGCTTCCCGAGGCCCCGCGATCCCTCCCATCCCTGGCTCCTCCGCCAGACAGACCAGCTCCTCTGGCCGGGCCTGGAGCGGTCCTGGAGGAAGCGGGATACATTGAGGAAAATGCCTGATCTGTAGCCAACATGACAGGGGCCGTGGGTCCTGTGCTGTCTGATAAAAAAAAAAAAAAAAAAAAAAAAAATCACAGCAGGAAGTGGCTACCATTTATTGGGCCCTGCCCCTGAGCCAGACACTTGGACACACTTTACAGACGGTATTTAACTTCACCCTCACCACCACCCGCGAGGTAGGCGTTCCCATTCCCATGTACCAAGGAGGAAACGGGGGTTTTGAGCGCTGACTCGTCTGCTTTCAGTCACCCGGGTGGTAAGTGGCGAGGCTGGAATTTGCACCCAGTCGGGCTGACCCCGAGGCCGAGTTTTCAAGGTCGTGAGGTCAGTGCTGCTATTGGTTGTGTCTCCTCCAGGGGCCACGTGGGCCTGTTTCCTTTCCAGCCCTGCTCTCAGGATGGCGTCTGCAGCTCCCTCCACGGAAGACCCTTCCTCCCGGGTGGTGTGGAGGGGGACCTGCACTTCCCTCGGGCCCAGCCTCTAGCTGAGGAATGAAGTTGCCATGCTGGACTGCAGGCAGCAGCCCTGGCTGGGAGTGAGCCCCAGGCCGCACCCCGCCCTGGAGTCTTGCCGTGGCTGGGCTGCTTCCCGCAGAAGCGCAGGTTGCTCCGGTTCTGCCCAGCCTGCTGCTCCGTCCCCAGCTCCTTCTCTCACCTTCTCTCACCTCTCTCACCGGGAGTCAGAGGAGGCCGACCTCCCGGTCTGTCCGAGGAGACTCTGAAGCTGGCCAGGAGCAGGCGAGGAGGCATAGGCGCCTGGAGGACCTTGTGCCCAGCGTATGAGGGGCTGGGCCCCGGCCTCGGGAGTCCCCCTGCGTTACCTCCCCGCACTGACTGTCCCGCCTTCCCTGCAGGGCTCTGCGTACACACTCTTTGGCACACACACGTTGGCACAGGCTGCGTGCCCGTCACTCCCCATCTGATGTCCTCACCGTGCCTTCCTTCCGAGCGGTGGCAGGCCCACGCCGCCCGCCCGCCCTCCCTCTGGCTCCCTCTGCGCCTCCACCGAGGCGGCTGGGCTGGGGGTGCCGGCAGTGGACGGACGTGAGGTTGGGCTGGGGGTGACGGGGAAGCCCCAGGCTGTCCTGCTGTCCACTCAGGCCTCCCACTGCACGGTCAGGGCCAGGTCTCTGAAGAGGGAGTCCAGCTCTGTGGGCTGCTCCGGGGCTGAGGCCCCAGGGGCCACCACGCTCGTGGCCTCAGGCTCGGACCCGGGCCCATCGTCCTTGGGACACACGAGGGACTCCAGCAGCCCCCCGGGACATGAAGCCTGGTCCGTGGGACGACGCGGGAGGGAAGGGGTGTGCAGGGGGAGGGACGCCGGGCGGCCCTCAATCTGGACGGAGGCGAGGAGGGGCAGCTGGCCCTTCAGGTACCCCGGAGCTCCGGGCTCCCCCTGGTGCAGCCCCGCAGTGCCGGGTGCTCTGTCCGTGTCAGCGCACAGGTGCTGGGGGAAGGACTTGGCCTCTTGGGGCTCCTCCCAGGCCCCGGGAGCCACCCCCTGCAGGGAGAGGCCAGCAGCTGGGGGCTCTCTCTGGAGCTGGCCCTTCGTCCGGAGGGGCTTGGGACTAGGGCCCGTCCCAGGAGCGGAGTCTTTGCCAGATGCCTCCATGCACACCCCGTAGGACGGCGGCCAGCTGTCCGGGGCGGCCTGGGGGGTGTAGGAAGAGACGGCCTGCGGAGCGTAGGATGGGGCTTTGGCCTCAGGGGTGGCTTGAGGCGTGTAGGCCGGGGGCCCGGCCTCAGGGGCAGCCTGGGGCGCGTAGGACGGCGGTGAGCCCGTCTGGGGAGGCAGTGCCTGGGAGGGCTGCCCCAGGTAGGTGACCTCGGGCCGGCTGTGCCGCCTCATGGCCCCCGTGGGCTCCTTGGGCACAGACGCCGTGACTTGGGAGTACTGGCAGGGCTGGGCCAGGCCTCCGGGGCCACTGAGGTCCAGGACGGGGACCAGCACGTGCTCCTGGATGAACCGCAGAGGCTGGAAGGTCAGGACACGCTGGACGTCCTGCTTGGGGACAACAGCAGCCCCGTTAGGGCCCCATCCAGCTCCCCAAGGGCGCTGGGGCGGGGAGGGGGGGTGGGGGGGAGGCAGAGGCCAGAGCAGGGGCCATCGGGGGCTTTTCAAGTGCGTATCCCCAAGGGACCTGGCATGGAGGAGACGCCCGGCCCACCTGGCCAGGCTCTTCATGGTGGAGGGAGAGAGAACTGAGGCCTCGTGTGCTGACCCTGAGAGATCTGCCCTGGGCCTCCCACCCTCCCCCTCCTGCCCAGGTGGTGCTCACCAGGGAGTTGGGGGGCTGGGGCGGCTTGGTGACGTATCTGTAGCTCAGGTAACAGAGCACTGCGACCAGGAAGCCCATGGAGAAGAGGAAGGCCCCGGAGAAGGAGTAGGTCCATGTGGGGTCTGCAAAGAGGCCAGAAGGGGAGGGTGAGGCCGGGGAGGCTGAACGGGGAGGGTGAGACTGGGGAGGCTGGTCCATCTGAGCGAGCGGCGAGCGGAGCAGCGTGGGTGCCGAGCTCCCAGGCTCCCCCTCAGACCGGGCCTGGGAGCCTCTGCTACCGGGAGGGTTGTAAGAGCACATGAGAGAGTCTCCTCCCCATTGCCCCCCATCCCCCCCCCCCCCCCACTCACCCTGAATATTCAGTTTGTCAACCCTGTTTTCCTGCTGTTTGGATATAGGATCTATGCTCCCACCGGGACAGATGTGCTTTTCATAACGAGCTGGGAGGCCCAGTTGGAATTCTGTTCTCGGGCTCCTTGGGGTACGGGTAGGATTAGGGTTGGGGTTAAGGTTAGGGTTAGGGTTAGGCCCCTGCCCACCGGCTGCAGCTCACAGCGCCAGGGCCTCGCATGGGTGAGGACGCCCCAGCCCAGAGGCCAAGCTCATCCAGGCCCCCGACCAATAGCTGCCATGGGCACCCTCTGGGCCGGGTCTGCACGCCAGTGGGGTGTCTCCCCTGAGGAGGAAGGGTTCCGGAGAGAGCTGCCCGGAGTGGACACCGGCTCAGGCATTTCCACAGGGAACCTCGGGGTGTCCCAGAGGGCGGCCACAGGCTCCAGGGGGACTTGTCCACTTGGACCGAAGGACCCCTCATCTTTGGGGAGGGCCACACCAGAGCCAGGGCTGGGGGGGGGGAGCCTTCTGAAGCGCCCCCTCTCTCCCTGCTCTGAGGACAGCCTGCCTCCCGGTTGAGGGGGTGGAGGGTGGCAAGGGGAGGGGCCGTCCTCCCTCCTCCCTTCCAAGCACAGAGCTGGGTATCGGGGACCACCTTGCTCAGGAGGCTGCGGGGAGGCACTGCCCTTTCTAAAAGGGAAGAAAACAGCCCTGGCTGGTTTGGCTCAGTGGATAGAACACCAGCCTGAGGACTGAAGGGTCCCAGGTTCGATTCCGGTCAAGGGCATGTGCCCTGATAGGGGTGTGCAGGAGGCAGCTAGTTGATGTTTCTCTCTCATCGATGTTTCTAACTCTCTATCCCTCTCCCTTCTTCTCTGTAAAAAATCAATAAAATATATTTTAAGAAATAAAAATAAATAAAAGGGAAGAAAACAGACGCCTGAGGGCCTTCGTGCGCTCCCTCTCCTCTCCCCCCCTCTCCCACGGTCCCGGCTCTGGGGTTGGCCCAGCCCAGCACGCCACACTTCCTGTCACCAGCCCAGAGGGGACCGGCGAGGGGCTTGGGAGGAAGAAGCCATTGGAGCTTTTTGTTTAAAACGGGCGCTTGGCATTCTCCACGGTCCTGACTCTTCAATGCACACCCTGTTCCCGCCCCGTGTGGCTCAGCTGGAGTGGCTGCACTCCAGCTGCCCGTGACCTTGGCAGTCACAGGGAGCGCTAGCCCACCCCTCGCTCCTCCCCCCGCCTGTGCTCCGCCGTACCCTGCCCGGCCGCATGACACTCCCGGCACGCTCCAAGGAGAAGATCTGACCCGACCGTCTGTACGTGACATGCCTCATGGAAAACCACTGTCCTGGTACCAGCACAGGACAGGAACATGGAACTTTCCACACGCCCTTTCACCCGCGAGGGGACAGGAAGGAGGAATAGAGACAACACTAGTGGGTGGGGGGTGAGACGCCCGGCTCGGCCCCTGGAATGCAGAGCATCCTCCTCTCTGCCGCAGCTCTCTCTGCTCTCCCACGCAGGAGGGACAGCAGCTGGTGATCACGGAATTCTTAAACCTGCCATGCCCTGTGCGGGGCGCTCTACTTACGTCATCCCGTCAAGCACAGAGAGCCAGGGAGATGCCCTGCTTACGTACTACCCTGTTTCCCCGAAAATAAGACAGTGTCTTATAGCAATATTTTTCTCCCAAAGTTGCGCTAGGTCTCATTTTCAGGGGATGTCTTATCTTTCCATGCGCTAGGTCTTATTTTCAGAGGATGTCTTATTTTCGGGGAAACACGGTAGTATAACGAAGCTGAGTCTCAGAGAGGTTCAGCGAATTGACCAAGGTCACACAGCAATGCAGTGGGAAAGTCAGAATGGACGTGCGTAACTCCAAAGCTCATCCTCACAGACCCAACATCAGGGCGCCTCGGTTTCCTCATCTGCGGAAGTTAGACGCGGAGTGAGGTGACCCCTAGAGTCCTTTCCAGCATCAAGACACCAGGATGTTGCGCTGTGACCGTCCCAGATGCCCTGAGAGGTAGATCCAGTGGAGAGTCTAGGCTCTGGGGGTAAGACAGGCCCAGGAGACGGGGTCAAGGTCAGGACGTAGCATTCTGAAACGGCGGGCAGGGGAATAAGTGTGCGGCGGAGGCGATTAGCTGTGAACGGAATGGCTAAGGGGGTTGGAGCTCGGGCTGCAGGACCCGATGAACCTGGTTAGCTTGCTGGCCAGCTGTGTGGTCGCCTGCAGGTTGCTTAACCTCTCTGAGCCAGAGTCCCTCCTTTGTGCAATGGGGATGGGGCTGCCCATCTCGCAGGATTGTTACACAAATCGAACGGGATGATGTAGGCGAAGAGTTTAACACAGTGAGTGGCAATAGAGTAGGGATTTAATAAATGGTGGGCATTGTTATTAATACACCTTTTTTTTTTTTTTTTTTTTTTTTTTTTTTTGAGAATGAGGTGCCTTCTTTGTGCCAGCAGGCAATAGCCAATAAGAAGTGTGATTTAGCCCTGGCTGGTGTGGCTTAGTAGATAGAGTGTTGGCCTGTAGTCGGAAGGGTCCCAGGTTTGATTCCGGCCAAGGGCACCTGCCTGAGTTTCGGGCTTGATCCCCAGTGGGGGACATGCTGGAGGTAGCTAATCGATGATTCTCATCATTGACGTCTCTTTCTCTCTCCCCCTCTCCCTCTCTGAAATCAATAAAGAAATATATATATATATATTTAAAAAGAAGTGGGATTTACGTAAAGGCGGCATCACATCGTGAGCTAACTTATGAGAGAACAATCCATTGGAAGGATGAGGGAGCAGTGGTCCGCCCGTTGTCAAAAGCAGGTGGAGCAGGGGCGGGCCAGGAACGGGTGAGATTTGCCTAGTGCGGGCCGGGGGAGAGGGTCCACGGCCATCTACACGCTCCCAGCTTAGCGCCTGCACCACTGGTTTCCTTTCTCTACTTCTCCTCTGGCCAAATTCTATTCTGGTCTCCTGGGTGGCCCTGTCCCCAGGGAGGGCGTGCCCCGGGCACGTGGCCAGTGCTGGCTGTTCCACCGGGCAGTCTCCCCGGACACACATGCTCCGAGGTGGAGGAATCAGGCTCCTGTGGGCTCCTGGGGCAACTGATGAGTTGAGTTTCCGCACAAAACTGAGGACTTGCACCGACCTGCGGCCGAGTCTCCCAGCTGCCGTCCTACCCTGGGGCCCCCGCGGGCAGCTCCTGGTTTATCGGGACAGAATCACCGGCTCATTCATCTGCCAGTAAACCCGATGACTAAGGTGGCGCCTGGCTCTCCAGATCCAACCCCCTGCCCTCCCTTTCACCTTCCAAACTCGCTGCTCTGAGCATCACATTCCCATCCGTCTGTGAAAACAAACAGCAGGAAGACGTCACCCCGCTCATGAAGAGAGTCCGGTTCCGAGGTGCCAGAGGAAGGGAAGGGAGAGTGGGGCCAGGGTGCCCAGCCAGTGACTCACCCCAGCACAACGGGGAGAGCGTGGCCCCCAGAAGGTTCTATCCCTCGGCGGGCAAGCGACTTAACCACTCTGGCCCCGCCTCCTCCTCTGTCAAATGAGGGCCACGTCAGGGCTGCGCTTGGTCGGGCCTGGACCCTGGTTAGCTCGGCACAGATGCGAGCTCTCACTGCTCTTGTTATGATTTGACCCTGGCAGATATGGAGGGGCCTTTTTATCTCCTCTGCGCTCCCCCTGCAGATAATCTCCCAGGGCCCGTCGCCGGGTTAATATGAGGCGCCGTTGCTGTGTCGGGGTGCACACTAAGCAGGCCGGAGAGAGGAAATCCGGGCCCAGGCTGAAGCGAGGAGATTAAACACGGGCCCGTGATAACCATCAGCTACTGCGTTTGTGGACAAACAAAGACGGACTTTAATAACCACCCTTCGCAGCTTCGGAGGGCACTGCCCGCCGCGCCTTGGTTACAGGGAGGAAAGCGCAGTCAGGACTTGAACCGGGAGCCCCGCCTCCCTCGGCTCCAGCCACACTCACCTGGCAGCGTCCTCACGCGGCACGTGTGGGGCGCGCTCTCTTTGGACCAGGATGGGACAAGAATGGTGATGGTCCCCAGGAACTCCGTGTCGGGCGGCAGGCCGATGAACTCGTACTCTCTCTGCTTGCCTCCGAGGTGCTGGAATTGGCGGGGACTCAGAGTGACTCCTCTGATCCACCCACCTTCCCGCCTCTGATCCACCCACCTTCCCGCCTCTCATACACCCACCTTCCCGCCTCTCATACACCCACCTTCCTGCCTCTCATACACCCACCTTCCCGCCTCTCATACACCCACCTTCCCGCCTCTCATACACCCACCTTCCCGCCTCTCATACACCCACCTTCCCGCGGAGCCTGGGTCGCCTACACGCTCACACCTCCGCCTGGGCCACTGCACTCAGTGCACGGGCACCAGCTCCCAAACCGGAAAGGGCACTCAGTCTGCCAGGCTCCGTCCTCATCCCCCTGCCTCCTGCTTTCTCCCCAAACCTAGTCAGTCACCACGCCCATGGGGTCTCACTCAGAAGAGTGTCTGATACATAGTAAACACTCAGTAAAGACTAGCTGCTGTTATCACCACTACCACCACTGTCACCAACATCATTACTGCCACCATCACCATTACCTGACCACAACCACCACCACCACCACCAGCATCATCACCATCACTGCTACCACTGCCACCATCACCACCACCATCACCACCACCACCATAACTGCTACCACCTTTCCACTACCATGACCACCTTACCACAACCACCATCATCACTACCATGACAACCACCATCACCACTACCATTACTGCTACCACTGCCACCATCACCACCACCACCATTACTGCTACCACTACCACCATCATCACTACCATGACCACCACTACCAGCAGCATCATTACCATCACTGCTACCACCATCATCACCACCAGCATCATCATCATCACTGCTAACACTACCACCATCATCACTAATATAACAACCATAACAACCATCACCACCACCACCACTGCCACCACCACTATCATGACCAACATTACCACAACCACGATCATCACTACCATGACCACCACCACCACCTTCACCACCACTACCTTGAGAACAGAAATAGTCAATGGAATTATGAGTTAGTGGCACATGCTGGGGGGAAATACCACATATTTTCTGAATACAAAAGGAAATAACTTGTGTATTGTTTGACAATTCATGCCCTTGCCTTGCATCTCTCATTATTACAGACCTAAGAAACTGCCTGTATCCAGTTCCCACAAACAGTGGAGAACCAGCCAAAAGAAATGCAGTGGTAGCAGCGGAGTCCAGCATTTCTGGAAGTGGACACCTGAGGGTGTTACTCAAGGTTGTTCTCCAGCATGTTAGAAAACATTAGGCAAAAAGCTAAGAAAACCAATATCGTGCAAAATAAAAGGTCAAATACGTTTGGGAGAAGTTGTGTCAAACACAAATGTGAACTGGGGTCTTGGGTGGCCAGGACTTGTCAGAGACTTTAGCGTGCTCCTGTGTACGTGACTCCGCTGGGGAGAGGCTGTGGACACGGGTTGGGAAATACTAATTTATGTAACACATCTCCTTCCTCCTTAAAGCAATGCAGATCTAACTGAGAGGGAAGTGGGCTTCCCGGGCAGGGAAGGACCAGGGTGGCTCATATAGTTGCCATGTTTTTACCATTTGGTAGGTCTGGTTGATGTGGAGGTCTAAGCGGTAGAACAGGTCATGGAAGATCTCCTCCAGGGTCAGCTGGTGGCCATCCTTGGCCCGGAGGGGCGTGGAGGTGGGATGGACAATCATCTGGATGGATCTGACTGTGGGGATACAGGTCACATCAGGTGGCTTGATGGTAGCTGGAAAAAGGGAGAGAGAGGAAGGAAAAGAAAGAGATCGGAACCAGCCTGTAGTGCGTGAAGCTGTCCTGGAGGAGTAGTCTGCTTCCTGCTCCTCCCACGCCAGCCCCAGCTATGCATGACCTCCTGGCTCATAGGTTGACTCCCAAACAGGAGAGAAAAGAGCAATTCTGCAAGCAGCTGGTATTTGGGTTTAAAGATGGCAAAAGGGTGACCAAGAGTCAGTAGGAAGATCTTGGGGAGAGGGACACTGGCCCCTAGGTGGTTGATCATGCCTTTGGCTCAGCACCCTTACATCCTGGGCCCACCAAGAGTCTGCCTGGAGCACCCTGCCCCCTAACCCCCTGGCAGACAACTTTAGGGACTGATGATAGTTCAATGACATGTTTGGGGTGCCCAACATTATTGATTCAGCTCAATGGGCAGGCCTAAGACTTTAGTCTTTCTTCAGACAGACTTTCTAAATAGACCCCTTTGGCAATTGAATGAATGAGATGGTTCTTCTCTCCTTTAAAATGGACATATCCAAAAAACTTGCCCTCAATTTTAGGGATTCATGGACTCCACTTTCTCTAAAGCTAACTTATGAAAGCCCTCAAGGGTCCATTGACCTCCAAGATCAAAACCATCTGAGCCAAAAGAATGTTCACTTGGTGTTCATAAAACTGAAAAACTGAGTCAAATGTCTTCAAAAGTGAATTAGGGAAGTAAGTTAGGGTATCTCTATAGAATGGATCCTTTTTTAAAAATGTATTTTTTTATTGATTTCAGAGCGAGAGAGAGAGAGAGAGAGAGAGAGAGAGAGAGAGAGAGAGAGAAGCATCAATGATGACAGAGAATCATTGATTGGCTGCCTCCTGTATGCTTCCCACTGGGGATCAAGCCCACAACCCAGGCATGTGCCCTGACTGGGAATCAAACTGTGACCTCCTGGCTCATAGGTTGACCCTCAACCACTGAGCAACACCAGGCCTAGAATGGATCATGCTTAGCAGTGAAATATAATGCTATGAAAAATATTTAATGGGCATGAGCAAATAAATGCCCAGGATACCACTCTATGAAAACAAACAGCCAGGTTACCAAGGAGTAGATACAGTTGCTAGCAACTACAGTTATATTTAAATGTTCAAATTATTTGGGGTTACTGTTATGTTTCTTTGTGTATTTCTACATTTTCAACAATTTCTATAATAAACATGTATTAATTGAACAAGATAAGAAAAGAACAAAATAGCTTGTTTAATTTAAAAAAAAATCTCTTTATTGATTTCAGAGAGGAAGGGAGAGGGAAAGAGAGATAGAAACATCAATGATGAGAGAGAATCATTGACTGGCTGCCTCCTCCATGCCCCCTAATGCAGGTCGCCTACACGCCTGCAACCCAGGTATGTGCCCTTGACCGGAATCGAACCCGGGACCCTTCAGTCTGCAGGCTGATGCTCTGTCCACTGAGCCAAACCAGCCAGGGCTAATTTTTTATTTTCTTAAACAAACCATGTGGTTGTTGAGTTAGTAAACATTATCACCTGCTTAACTAGCATGGGGAATTTGGCAATGCGTATTCCTTCCTTCCTTTATTCCTTCCTTCTTTCATCAGTTTCAAATGGAGCATCTCCCATGTGCCAGGCACCCTGCTAAGTCTGGGAATCCGGTGAATTCCACACCACGCACGCCCCCACCGAGCTCACGTATCAGCGGTGGAGGCCGGTGTCATACGGGGAAGCAAAAAGGAACTGGAGATCAGGATATGAGCCTTGAAGACCATGAACAGCTGATGTCGATAGAGAACACCAGGCGGTGGCCTTGTAAAACCAGGGTGGGGGCAGGGAGCGGGGATGCTCACATAGGAGGTGATGTGGAAGCTGAGATCAGACTCAGGATTGGAACAGAGTCAAAGGAGGAGCGTGGCCCTAACTGGTTTGGCTCAGTGGATAGAGTGTCGGCCTGCAGACTCAAGGGTCCCAGGTTCGATTCCGGTCAAGGGCATGTACCTTGGTTGCAGGCACATCCCCAGTAGGGGGTGTGCAGGAGGCAGCTGATCGATGTTTCTGACTCTCTGTCCCTCTCCCTTCCTCTCTGTAAAAAATCAATAAAATATTAAAAAAAAAAAAGAGTGTGTGGGTGTGTGGGTGTGTGGGTGTGTGGGCGTGTGGGCGTGTGGGTGGGGGGTGGGGTGGGGTGGAGACCAAGTTCAGAGGCCTGAGGTGTCCTCGAGAGAAGGTGGAGTGGCCTGAACCAGGGGGTGTGGGATGGAGATGAGGATGAACAACCCCCCGGAGGTGTTCTCCATCGGGATGCCTTCCCTAAAAGCCACCTCCCCCGCAGCCCCGCTCCCACCCATGAATGCAGAGCCCCGCTGGGCCCGGGTTCGAGGGCCCACTCACTGTGCTGCAGTGAGCTGAAGCGCTCGGTCATCTTGGTGGCGGACCGGCCCCCCGCGCCGGTGGCCGTCACCCTGCCGTAGTAGAGCTCCATGAGGCTGCCCGTCTCCGCGGTCAGGTTGCAGAATTTCCGGGTGATCCGCTGGCAGCCCTCCTTTGCCAGCCACGCCGGCTCCCCGTACCTGCGGGCCAGGGAGGGGCCGAGCACACCGGGCATGAATAGGCATGGTGTCAAGCCTGTGGCTTATTAGGAATGATAACGCTATCTAATGTTTACTTAGCATGTTCTGTGTCCCAGGCCTTTTATGTGGATGATCTGTTAGTCCTCACATCGATCCCGTGAGATCCAGACATTATTCTCGCTCCTTTTCAAATAAGGAAGCTGGGGCTTAGGAGTAAATTAGGCCCAGGTGGTGGTTGTTATTTTTAAAAATATATATTTTATTGATTTTTTTTTTTTTTTTTTACAGAGAGGAAGGGAGAGGAATAGAGAGCTAGAAACATCAATGAGTGAGAATCATTGATTGGTTGTCTCCTGTACACCTCCTACTGGGGATGTGCCCGCAACCAAGGTACACGCCCTTGACCAGAATCGAACCTGGGACCTTTCAGTCCGCAGGCCGTCGCTCTATCCACTGAGCCAAACCAGTCAGGGCGCCCAGGTGTTTGAAGCAAGCTTGGGGGGAGAGGGGGGGCAGGATTTGAACCCAGCCAGTCTGAATCCACATCCTGGGCTCATTGTCACCATAACCCTTTGGGGCAGGCACTGTTACCCCACTTTACAGATTAGGGAACTGCGGCTCAGAGAGGGGGAGTGACTAGCCACAGGATGAAGTGGCAGGACCAGGAATGAAAGCTGGGTTTGCAGACCCTGAGCCCATGCCAACCTGCCTTCCCTGTGGGGACTGAGGGCATAGGTACCAAGGGGTGGGCACAGTTTTGTGTTGGCTTAGTCTCACCAATAATAATAAAACAACTATTTGCGGGGCCCCAGTGTCCATGACTACCCACCTAACAACCTTATGATGAAGATACTATTGCTATTCTTACTTTATGGATGGGGAAACTGAGGCTTGGAGTGGTTACCCAATTGTCCAAGGTGATATAGTTGAGGGCTGGCATTCAAACCAGACCCATACTTTTAACCATTATTTCCTCCTCCCTTGCAAAAGAATCCAAGAGCAGAGCTACACTGGTGGGGGACGAGTGAGCATGTGGAAGGGGGCGTTTTCCTGGCGGGGCTGGTTTCAGAGCAGGGTCAGAAGAGGTCATGTTGGGAGGGAAGCCTACGTCTTATACTCGACGCTGTAGACTGTGTCTGGGGCGCTCTCCAGCCCGCTGTCCCAGGTCAGGATGTTTTCGAAGTTGCTGGACTGGAATGTCACCCGCTGGAGGAGATCTGAGGTGTCCTCAGCAATGTGAGCTGCAGGGAGGGGGAGCAGGGTGAGCAGAAGGCCGGTCCACCCCACCCGCCGCCCAGCACAAAGTGTTCAAGGAGGGAGAGTGAGAAACAGCACCCGCCCCGTCACCAGAGACTGCGCTCAGGGACCATCACTACTCTCTGTCACTTCTTAGTTTCTTTTATTTATTTATTTTTAAAATCTATTTTATTGATTTTTACAGAGAGGAAGGGAGAAGGATAGAGAATCAGAAACATCAATCAGCTACCTCCTGCACACCTCCCCCTGGGGATGTGCCTGCAACCAAGGTACATGCCCCTTGACTGGAATCAAACCGGGGCCCTTCAGTCCACAGGCCGACACTCTATTCACTGAGCCAAACCAGTAATTTTTGTTTTATTGAGCTGTAATTTTCATTCCATAAAAGTCACCATTTAAAGCGCACAAGTGAGTGGTTTTTTAAATTATATTACAAAACCGTGCAACCACTACCACAATGAAATGCCAGCCACTACCACTAGCACATCACCCTGTGTCCGTTAGCAGTCTCCTCTCCATTCCTCCCCTATCCCATGCTTAGACTACCACAAACCCGCTTCCTGCCTCTACGGATTTGCTATTTGGACTTTTTATATAAATAGTTATACAGCACGTGGCCTTTGTGTCTGGCTTCTTTCACTTAGCACAATGTCTTTAAGGCTCATGCATGCTGTAGCGTGATGCGTGCTGAGTAATATGCCATTGTATGGACATACCGTATTTTGCTTATCCATTCTTCAGTTGATGGATGTTGGTGTTGTTTCCACTTTTTGGTGTTTGTGACTAACGCTGCTGTGAACATTTGTATACACATTTCCAAACGGACATGTGTTTTTAGTTCTCTTGGGCTTTCAGATGGAAGTGGAATAGCTGGGTCTTATGGTGACTCTATGTTTACGTTTTTGAAGAACTGCCAACCTGTTTTCCGAAGTGGCTGCACCATCTCACATCCCCACCAGTAATGTCTGAGTGGTCCAGTTATTCCACATCCTTTCCAACACTTGTTGTTATTCTCATTTACTTCCTTTTTAAAAATATATCTTTCTTTATTTCAGAGAGGAAGGGAGAGGGAAAGATAGAAAATGAATGAGGAGAATCATTGATCAGCTGCCTCCTGCACGCCCCCTACTGGGATCAGTCCTGCAACCCGGGCATGTGCCCTGACTGGGAATTGAACTCAGGACCCTTTGGTCCACAGGCCTATCCACTGAGCCAAACTGGCTAGGGTGCTCTCATTTGCTTCATAACACCACCTGAAGTTGGTATCTTCACTCATATTTTTAGAGATAATCAACTAAGACGTCTAAGAAGTAACTTGCCCAAAGTCAGTAATTTTGATAAAAGATAAAGATGTTTGTAAACTCCTGCCTCTCTGCTAGCCAAACCAATTCCTGTCTTCCTCCTATCTGCCTTCTTAGGAAGGAAAAGGCTCTATTGAAATCAGAACAGAATGCGGCTTCCAGTGGGGGGGTAAGGTCAAGGGCAGGAGGGAGAGAGGTTGGGATTTGAGGGGTGGGGAGGAGAGGGGCCTTAGCCTCCCGCAGTGAAGGGGTGGGGTCTGCAGTGGGAAGATGGCTCATTGGGGTTAACATCCTGTGGGCTGTTCGGGTGGAGGGAAGGCAGGTGGCTGAGGCTGGGGCATGCTCAGGAGGCCCGTTGGGTGGAGTCTCCACCGCTAAGGAGGGAACTGAAGTTGGCTCCATGAAATGGGGTGGCCAGGCCCCTCTTTTAGGAGGTGTCAAGGGCTAACAAGTTCTCCCCTCTCCTCCCACCCCACTCATTCCCTTTCCTCCTCAAATGCATCCTCCGCTCCTCAGCCTGTGTCATGTCTACACTTCCCGGATGAAAGTCTACATTGTGAAATCCCGGGGAAACGTGTGTTGCAGAGGCTGACAAACTGTAGATTTTATAAAAGAACGTTTGCACATTTTTATGAATAAATAAATTATGTCAACCAGATGGGAAGCTGAGGAAAAACAAACAAACAAAGGCAATTCAACACGCTCTGGAATCAGCCCGAGAAAGCTGGGGTGAGCGAACCCGGGTCCCGGAGTGACCTTACCAACCTCCCAGGGACTGCTTCCGCTGGGTTCCCTGTCTTAAAGGGCCAGGAGCCTCCATGGCTCCCAACCAGAAAGGGTGGGGGTCTAAAGGAACACGTCTTGGTGTCTCTTGAGGATGCATATCTTACCAGCTTATCGAAGGCCCAGAGTGTTGGGCCTGGTGTGATGGCAGGGAGAGAAGAGACTGGAGGGGCCGGGGCGGCAGCTGGGAGCACTGTGGGTCCTGTCAGCACTGGGTCCCGTCAGCACTGGCCGGGAAGCTCTGGCCCTTGGTGGGCCCATCCTGCTCTTGAATGGCAAGGCCTGGCTCAGGCCGTCTCCCCCTCCCTGGCAAGGATTATGCTTTTACTTCCTGAGAACGTTTCCCGAGTTTTATTAAGCTTCTTAGAGAGCAGACACACTCTAGGAATTCACGCTTCTGCCAGGAAGTTCTCCTTAATGACGAATCAAAACATCCACCAGCCCCGCCGGGTGGCTCAGTGGGCCCGAGAGTCGTTCTGTGCACCAAAAAGGGTTGCAGGTTCAATTTCCAGACAGGGCAGACTTAGGTTGTGGGTTTGATCCCCGGTTGAGGTGCATATGGAAGGCTTCTCTCTCACATTGATGCTTCTCTCTCTCTCCCTCTCGCTCCTTCTCTCTCTCAAATCAATAAAAACACATCCTTGAGTGAGGATTTTAAAAAATCCACCCAATTGTATTGTAAAACTATGCCCTTTCAGCCACTTCGGAGAAGGCCAGGCGCTTTAGGACCTATCCATGCTGCGCCCTTGGCCCCGGAGGGAGAAAATGCTCTTCCAGCTCTAGCGAGGACTGGGAGAGGCCCCCTGGGGTGAGGAGGGAGGCAGGGGTTTTCCCACCCCATCCCAGTGTGCAGCTCAGTCCCAGCAGAGAAGAAACTGAAACTGGCCGCCCTGGGCCAAGCAGGTGCAGGGAGATGCCCCTGAGCACCGGCTCCCGGGGCAGGTGGGGGCCACGGAGCGATGGGCACTCACCGGCCAGGGATCCCGCAGCCAGGATGGTCAGTAGCGTCCTCATCGGGCCTCCGGGCACACAACCCTCTTGGCCTCCCCTCCGGGCCAAGTGCCGCCGAGGGAGGCTGGGAAGCTTTGCCGCCCTGGCAGCTGGCTCCACCCGGCTCAGGGCTCAGGGCCCAGGGCGGGGCCGGCCGGGGAGGGTGGGACCTGAGCAGTGGGGCGCGGGTACAAAGGTGCCTGGTATGGGTGCTCCGGAATTCCAGGTCCTGGGTGGGAGTGAAGGGAGTTCCTTTCTCAGATGCAGAAAGCAGCGACGGTGACGGGCCGGCCTGTTTGTCTGGTCTGGTGGCTGATTCATCTCAGGGCGACTCTTCAGTGGTTATCAGGGCGCTGAGAGGCAGGGAAGGCAGAGAGAATCCATGCGGTACGCCTTATCAGAGGGCAATTTGGCACCGGGTGGCAAAAGCCTGGCGCGCGTGCATGTTGCCCCAGTAGCCCCACTCCCAGGGGTTTTCCCTAAGGAAAAGAACTGGACCAGGGAGCAGCAAGCATATTCCAGAACGTTCCTGTGGCCAAGGCAAAGCTAGGACTCCTTGGCTTTGCTCCGGCAGGAGGCGTAGGCCGTCTGCTGCCCCCTGTGCCCCGTTGAAAGCAGGTCCCCGTGCAGGAGGATGGGATGCGGGTCGCCTTGCTCCTAGGGAGGCTGCTGGCACCTGAGCCTTAGGGTCTGGGATCTGCTAAAGGTCAGGGAGGAAGGTGCAAAGCTCAGACTCCAGGAACTGTCCACTGTGCTAACGATGGGGGCAGCATTGATGAGGGACCTGTGGTTTGGGACAATGGAGAGTCCACCTGCTCACCCACACTATCCTTCTCCCAGGAGCCGTATCCACAGGGATTCACGTGAATTTCGTTGGGATGGGTGTTTAGGAAATAATTCTCTAAAGAATTTAGGAACTATTTTCTCGTTCTCACTGGACCTCAGGGAACATGGAAGGGGCCTGGACTCTGGTGAGGGTGGACATGGCCAGAGCCCTCTGGCCCTGGGGAGGGTTTGGCTGACCCCAGGGGCCCGGCGGGCTGAGGCCAGTAGCAGGAGAGCTGGCTCCTGAGGGAGCCTCAGAGGGCCTGCCTTTCGGAAGCAGCAGGCTGTGACAGCCAGGGATCTGCAGTGAAGTTTTCCTTCGCTGTGCTTCAAAAGCATCATTGCTTCCTGTCAGCCCTCCCTCTTCGGTAAAGTTTGTTTGACAAAACAGCCAGATGTGAGCTGTGCTTTGGGAGAATTGAGGGTTGGCTTGTGCCAGTCACATCCTGTAATTGTAGGAAACTACATTCCCCAGACTCCTTTGTCAACTGCTTCCCGATAGGTTTGACCAATGGGACACATGGAGGAGCTGGAGGAGAGAAGTCAGGGTCCTTCTTCCCCTCTTTCTTTGCTTTGAGTGGCATCCCCAGCAGTGGCTGTGTGTCCTCGGGACTCCGGCTCCCTCCAGCCAGGCTGCACCAACGTCTTTCTGTCAGGTGGCCAGCTCCTGGTAACATCTCTTCTCCCAACCTCCCCCAATTTTGCCCTTTAGCTCAAGGGGCGGAGCAGATTCCTCCTTGGTTCATCAGCTCTTCCATCATCTGGGTAACCAAATCCCTGGTATTCACGTCCCTGGGGTCGGGAGACTGAGAGGTTTCTGTGCTCCTGAATGGACCGTGATGGGTGCAGGGCCTTTGGTGGCTTCCGGGACAAGGTGTGTGGGGAGATCATGGCCAGAGAAACAGGTTACAGAGGGAGAGGAGCAGTCGCCAGAGCCACCCTGGCCACCTTGCAGTCGGGGACTCTCAGAAGCATGCGGAGAGAGGAGCTTGATGCTAGAACCAGCCTTCCAGTCGTTCTGAGGGACTGTGGCTATGTAAGAATGAGGAAAGGGGGACACTGAATTGTTAAAGAACTTGGGGATACACAGATGTCATTTTTTCCCTTTTTTTTTTTTTTTTTTTTTTTTTTTAGAATATGTTTTTATTGATTTCAGAGAGGAATGGAGAGGGAGAGGTAGAAACATCAGGGGTGAGAGAGAATCATTGATCGGCTGCCTCCTGCACGCCACCCACTGGGGATCAAACCCTAAACCTGGGCATGTGTTCTTTCTTTCTCTCTCTCTCTTTTTCTTTCTTTCTTTCTTTCTTTCTTTCTTTCTTTCTTTCTTTCTTTCTTTCTTTCTTTCTTCCTTCCTTCCTTCCTTCCTTCCTTCCTTCCTTCCTTCCTTCTTTCCTTCCTTCCTTCCTTCTCTTTCTTTCTTTCTTTCTTTCTTTCTTTCTTTCTTTCTTTCTTTCTTTTTTTTTTTAAATATATATTTAATTGATTTTTTCCCAGAGAGGAAGAGAGAGGGATAGAGAGTTAGAAACATCGATGAGAGAGAAACATCGATCAGCCACCTCTTGCATATCCCTGCAACCAAGGTACATGCCCTTGACCGGAATCGAACCTGGGACCTTTCAGTCCGCAGGCCGACGCTCTACCACTGAGCCAAACCGGTTTCGACAGGGCAGGTGTTCTTGATCACAATCGAACCTCTTGTCTTGAGGGGGTGGCTGACTGGAAGACGGGCTGCTCTTGGTTGCTGGGGGTATGCAGGGAGAGGCGGTGACCACGGGGGGATGGCCCCTAGACCACTTTATTCTCTGGTCTCTGAAACGCAACGGTGCTTGTCTCCGTGAGAGAGAGAAGGTTCTGGGTGCAAAGAGCACACCTGTGCTTCTCCGTGCCCTCCACGGGCGGAACGTAGAGAACTTACAGCATCGACAGGTGGAATTGGCCTTTGTAGCCGCAGATGCACCTGCTGCTTCTCCCTGGCGGGACGGCCGGGAAATGCACCTGCTTTCTCTCTGATAAACTTCTCCAGTACGCACTGTGCTGTCCTGCCTCCGAGCCACTGTACAAACTGTACCCGCTGCACAGAATAGCCGCTTCACCTCCTTTGTTGCCGCCTCGCTCTTGTTCCTTCTTCAGATCTCTTCTCGGATTCACTTCCTCCAGGAAGCCTGGCCTATGTGAGCCACTCACATGGGTCGGTTAGGAGCCCCAGCTCTGTGCTCCTGTGGCCCCCAGCCTCCTCATCCTAGTGCGTGTTGCACCATATTATCTCCCTCTCCCCCCTCTCCCTGCCCCTCCCCCTCGTTGGTTATGAGGACAAAGCATATGACTTGCTTTCCTTGACATCTCAGCACCCACCACGAGCTGGCCCAGAGCAGGGACCTGGTAGTGTTTGCTGACTGGATGCGTGAGCTGGAGTGAGCTGGCCAGCTTCCATCTTGGCTGGGAACATCCCGAAGCTGCAGAAAAAGCACATCCTAAAACGACAGGTGCTCAGGAATGTGACCTGCTCCCATCTCGTCTCTCTTTCAACACCCAGGGACTCCAGAACCGGTTCTGAAGAAGCAAGAGCACCCCCAGACAGCGGGGTGTGCTCTGGGGGAGGGGGAGAGCGATGCTGTCTCTGGGGCCGTGGCCCAGCAGTGAGAGAGCTGATGGGGTCCCTGGGCGTCCACGGATGGGAAGAGCGAGGAACGAAGCGTTGGCAGCCCACCCGTAGCCTCTTTTTGGAGAAAAGCCTGAGAATCAGACTCACTGTGGCATCTCCAGGCCTGGGCTGGGCCGGTCAGGGACACTGCCTTGGTTACTGCAGGTTGGGGTCCTAGGTCTGTCCTTACCCTGCACCTGCCTCCACCTGACCTTGAGTAGGTCTTGTCCCCTCTCTGGGCCTTTGTTTCTCTGCCTGAAAAGGGCAGCTTGGCCTTGAAGCCCTGTAAGGGCCCTTGGAACCCGAACAGCCTCTGCTTCTATGTCACTTGGGATTGAAAACCTCCCCTGACATCACAGAGTTCCCTTCGTGGCTGTTGTCGATGACACAGACTCACTCAGCAGTTACTGACTGCTTGTCATGTCAGCTCTCTCTGGGAAAGAATTCTTGAAGCTTATTACAAGCTTATAAAACCACTAAAGGCCCAGTGCATGAATTTGTACACCAGTGGGGTCCCTCAGCCTGGCCTGTGGGATCAGGCTGCAACTGGCTCTCCAACATCCCCTGAAGGGTCCTGGATTGCGAGAGGGTGCAGGCCAGGCCGAAGGAGCCCCCTGGTGCACAATCAGGGCCAGGGAGAGATGTGGGAGGTTGGTCAGCTGGGGAGGAACCAAGGGGAGCTCCAGGGCGTGTCTGGCCCATCTCACTCAGTCCTGATTGGCCAAACCCCAGCAGCTAGCTTACATACCAGTCGAAACGTCTACCCACTGGTGGTCAGTGCACGTCACAGAAAGCAGTTGAGAGGCCTTAGCATATCATTAGCATATTATGCATTGATTGGTTGAACAGCCGACCCGTCGACCAGACACTTAGCAAGCATATTAGGCTTTTATTATATAGGATGCTTCATAAAAATATTCAGAAGGTCCTTGTCTCATGCTGGGATTGGGGGATCCTTTCATAGGGTCCCTGGGAGCCAGGAAGTGGGCAGACAGACCCAGCTTTAACTCCTGGCTCTGCCACTTGCCTATAGTGTATAGGTCGCTTAACCTTTCCCTCTCAGCTTTCTCGTCCACAAAAGGGAAGCAATCATCCAAGCCTCAGGGCTGCTGAGAGGGTTAAAGCAGCTGATGTGTCGGAGGACTCCTACTGCTGAGTCTCCTCTGTCACAACACGAGGATGAGGAGCCGAGGACCAAGCGACGTCCTTAGAAAACGTTGCAAAACCCCAGGCTCCTGGGTGTGGGGGTGGGGGCAGTGGGAGGGGCAACGAGGACAGAGATACATGTTCCCTGAGAAGTTCCAGTCACCACCGGTGTCTGAGGCCGAATTCCGGGGCAGAGAATGCGGGCCCAGCATGCACAGTTCAGACTGGAGGTTGAATAAGGTTGTTCAGAGGCGGGCACTCCATGAAGCCGCAGGGATGGGTGTGGGGGGAGGGGGGCATTCGGAGCCCTGTGGGAATCTGGCTTCCAAGATGACCCACTTAGTGGCCTGAGGCTTGGGGAGGGGGGCATGCAGAGCAAAAAAACCCATGAGACTCACTCACCCTGGAGGCGTTGACCTCCGGAGGGGCCTCCCACCCCCAGCTGACGGTTTTCCCACCCTACAAGGGTGTACCCTGAGACACTCCACCTGAGATCAGCACTTCTCCCCCAAACCCACTAGAGAGGCGGGAGGTGTGTGTGTGTGGGGGGGGGGTGGCCGGGGGGGGGGTTGACAAGAGGGAGCTGTCACCTCTGTATCCTGTGGCATCACATGACAAGGGGTGGGGCTCCCTGGGCTGGCATGGGTCCTGGCGCCAACCAGTATCTCGTGAGTAACAGACTCATGGAACTGACTCACTCTTTGAGATAGAGACGTAACTTCCGGCCTGTCCTCCCCTCACCCTCCCTTTATCATACTGTGCACACGGCAATGAGCTCAAGGAAGAAGGTGGCAAGGAAAACAGTTACACCAGGGGATCAGGTGCTGTTGTATGGCCCTCTACTGCCCCCTCCCTCACCATTTCCCTCACTGAGCAGCACCCATCCCCTCACCTCGGACCAGAAGCCGGACCAGAAGCCGGGCTGAGGAAGAGCAGCCATCCACATGCAGCAGGAATTATCTCTGGCCCTCTTATAATTCTAGTTAGTCATATAACTGTGTAAGTTAGCCGTGGCCAGCTCCTTAGAGACTCCAATTCATAACCTTCCTTCCTTCCTTCCTTCCTCCCTCCCTCCCTCCCTCCCTCCCTCCCTCCCTCCCTCTCTTCCTCCCTGCCTTCTTCCCTCTCTCCTTCCCAAGCTTCCACCCGGGCCAGGTGCTGGTGCCAGGAGCAAAACAGTCCCTTCCCTAAAGGAGTTCTCAGGATGTGACCCCCATTACCCAAACCTCCCCTCTCCCAGCTGCCCTGTGCAATCGGCAGCCCTTGCCCCCCTCTCTGTCCAGCAGCCGGCCACCAACAGGCCAAGAGAAGCTCAAAGGGCATCAGAGGGCAGGGGGGAGGCAGGCGGGGACCAACGGAAGTTGTGCCGTTTTCTGGAAAGGGCCTTCTGCATGCGCATCCATTCAAGGGGGCAGGGCCCCAACAAGACCCAGGCTGTGATAGGCACGCAATGTGAACTGGCGAGGTGCTTGGTTGTAAGTAACAGAAGGTCCTGGGGGATGGCTTAAAACCAGGATGCAGGGGAGCCCATGAGGACGGGGCCACCACTGGGCCTCAGGGATGGACCAGAGCCAGGGCTTATCATCTCATCTCAGCAGCTGGTGTGGCGGCCTCATTCTTGTCTCCTCTGCACACTGGGTTTTCCCGTTCCCCGGAATGCAAACTGGGGCAGTGGGAGGCGGGAGCCTGTTCCGGGGCCAGCCCAGCGTGGGTCTAGCGCCTGCACTGGCACCAGTAAAAGGTGACAACCTGTAAGACAGCGCCGGGCAGTTACCAGGTGGCCTGACAGAATGGCCGGAGGCCGGGAGAACCTCATTGGCCACCACTGGAATGCGTTTGGGTTTGCAAGGCCAGCCGAGAGAATGCTCTGGATCCTTCCATGGACCAGAGCTGCAACAGGGTGAGCTGCGAGGGTGTGGGCACAGCTCGGGCCTCGCGGTAGCAGGTGATGTGGGGTCCCACCCCCTCCCCCATGGCATTCGCTTTCCTCGTGCACTCACCTTGATGGATTCCAACTGCAAGTACCTGCAGCTCCTAGGGAGGGAGTCTGCAGATAGATCCCCCAGCTCCTGCCTCTGGCAGACAGACCTGCAGGGGGCGACACTGGGCCCGGGGCAGTGACCTATTGGATTATGCGCCAGGACTGGCTGCCCTTCCCCTGTCTGGCTCCCCAGCACCCCTAAGGATGCTTTCTGGAATGACAGCAGGGCTTTGTACCCCACAATCCTGGTCTCTGGCTCAGCGGCAGGGGACCCAACCCAAGACCCTTGTAGTCCAAACAGCTAGATGAGGAGCCTTTGAGAAATAAGAGCACACGTGTTTCCATTCAGTTCTGCCTTTTTTTCTCCAAAAAATAGGACTCTTTATTTACAACAGGATACCAACAAGCATTAAGACGTTATTTAAATACGATATAAACATAGAAAATTAGAAATAAATACAAAAATCTAAGAATAATATATAAGCTTACAGGTGACCCTTGAACAACACGAGTTTGAAAGGCACGGGTCCATTCACACACAGATTTTTTCCCTAATAAATACAACCGTGAGTCCACAAAACACAGGATTTGTTCCTGTATTGTTATTTATTGCACTGCCACAGTAAACCTACTTTTGCCCACCCCTGCAGGCAATCGGCTCTCCGTATCCCTGGGTTTTGCATCCACAGATTCAACCAAATGTGGACAAAAAACAGTATTTTTGATCCATGGGTGGGAATTCACGGACGCGGAGGGCCGACTGCATGCATTGTTCCACACCACTCATTATAAAGGGTTAGAACAGGTGTGCATTTTGGTATCCGTGTGGAGGGGGTGTCCTGGAACCAATCCCCCACGGATTCTGAGGTAAGACTGAAGTTCTGGGGGGCTTTGAAAATTGTGTGTGGATTTTCAACTGTGCAGGATGGGCCAGCACCCCTCACTCCTTCCAGAACCAAGGCCAATGTGGCTCAGTGGTTGAGGGTCAACCTATGAACCAGGAGTTCACAGTTGATTCCTGGTCAGGGGGGGTGTGCAGGAGGCAGCCAATCAATGATTCTCTCTTATAACGGATGTTACTCTCTCCCTCCCTCTCCCTTCCTCTCTGAAATCAATAAAAATATGTATTTTTAAAAAATGAATTACATGGTCAATACATAACTTTTAAAAAGTCAGCTGTGCTCTGAAGAATGGTGCTTCTGCTTAAACCCGAGGCAGCAGCGCTCTGCCTGCCGGCCCTGCGCGTGGCCCGGACCGTGTGTGTGAACGGGCTTTGCCCACCGGCCAGGTTACTGCACTGTTTACCAGGCTCTCTCCGAATGTCTCCCAGTGTTTAATGGTTTAATCACTAAAAGGGGCTGAAATTTAGATTAAAAAAGCTCAGCTTATCTCTGAAATTAAACTTGGGGGGGGGGAGCTTAAAAACCAAGGTTTAATAATAGAAAGTGATTCCTACACCAGAGTGATCATAGCTCTTCTGTTTTCAAAACAAAAAACCCCACACACTTCATGAAGTTTTCCTTCATGAAGCAGCTCCGCTGGGTTGGAAGGACGTCAGAATTAATCAGAGATTAAACATGGTGGCGGAGTGAGTGGACCAAACTGGAAATGTAACTAAACTACAGAAAAATCAACTGTTAGACGAGCTGGAGAAAAGCCCTGAGAAGCAAGGATGGAAAGTGGAGACGGCACAGAGACTGACAGGAGGGGCGGCGAGGCAAGAGGGCTGCCCGGCGCCCACAGACAGCCGCTGAGGTTCAGGGAGATGTCTCCACTGTGGGGTTCCCACTGCGAACGCTGGGTCTAAGCCCAGAGCACAGAACTGAGAACGGGGCCCACAGAACACCTGGCTGTGAAAAGCAGCGGGGTTGCCCTAACCCAGTGGTCAGCAAACTGCAGCTTGCGAGCCAGACGTGGCTCTTTGAACCCTTGAGTGTTCTAACGCCTCTTCTTCAAAACAGACTCGCCCAGGCCAAAAACCGACTTCTGATCACGGGCCACAAAGTTCCAATCACACTGTATGTGCGCGCCCACATGTGGTATTTTGTGGAAGAGCCACACTCAAGGGGTCAAAGAGCCACATGTGGCTCGTGAGCGGCCGTTTGCTGACCACTGCCCTAACCAGTTTGGATAGAGCGTCGGCCTGTGGACTGAAAGGTCCCAGGTTCAATTCCGGTCAAAGGCATGTACCTTGGTTGCAGGCACATCCCAGCGGATCGATGTTTCTCTCTTATCAATGTTTCTAACTCTATTCCTCTCTGTAAAAAATCAATTAAAAAAAAAAACAACAACAAAAAAAAACCCCAGCAGGTTGCCGTCGGCCAGCAGAGAGGCTGGAAATGCAGGCGCCCTCCTGAGACTCCGAGACTAACCATCAGCCTGCAGACAGAGGTGGGTGTCAGAGGCTGTGAGCCTTTGCCTGATCTCCTTCGGGCCCCGGGCTGGAAAGGCAGACCCTGGGGCACATCTCTGCCCTTCCCAAAGGCACCCACCCAGCAGAGGGAGCCACAAGCTGTGGATTGCTGAGAGTGCCAAACAGGGGACTCAGGGCCAGTCACAAACAGCGTCTGACACTGTCCTGAACTAGAGACTGGGAGCCATAGCAGATCTACCCAATACACAGACACAAACCCAACGGGCAGCCAAATGGGGAGACAAAAAATCACCCCCCACACCCGAAATGAAAGAACAAGAGCGTTCTCCAGAAGAGCTAAACGAAATGGAGATTAAGAAATTTATCAGCTGTAGAGTTTACAATAATGATGGCGAAGATGCTCCACAGCCTGAGAAAAGATATGGTAACTACAAAAAAAGACCAGTGGGAAGTAAAGGCTGACAGAGCACTAATAAGGTACACGCTGGAAGGAACACACAGCAGATTAGGGGGGGCCGGGGATCGGATCCGTGAATCAGAAAGGACCTCAGCCTTTGTCTGGGCATTTGCCTGGGAGCTGGCCCTGAGTCCGGCCTCGCCCAGTTTACTGTCTCTTCCCCCACAACCTCCCGTGCTCAGTGAAGTGGACAACTGCCACCCTACAGAAATGCACACACATGTGCACGTGTATGTGTGTGTGTGTGTGTGTGTGTGTGTGTGTGTGTGAGTCCCAGCAGTGAAGGCCTCCTGCCAGCTTCATGCCCCTCGGAAGCCCTTGCTGTGACCAGCACTGAGCTGACACGGCCAGGATAACAGGGGTGGGACCCGCTGGCCACAGACCAAAGAGCTCACCTTAGGGACAAACACAGGAAGTCAGCACCTCAGCTTCTCCTCACAAGGTCTTGTTCCCTCTGGGTGAGCACACAGCGACGCTCATCCCTACACTGATGGGTGTAGGTTCACAAGGTGAACACCCACCACCACCAGGAACCACCTGTTTCTAGAAGGTTCTCCATAACGAGAAGGGAAGACGGGACTTCCTATAACCACAGCCGTCACCTAAAGTGCTGTCTGCAACAGGGGTCGCAGCCCACGAGGCCACCTGCCTGCTGGGTTGCTACCCCACCCCCAACAAATCAGACCCCCGTGGAGGATGGACCATTTGCTTTTTCACTGGGGAGAGGGAGGTCCCCCTCGGCTGGCTTCTGGCTTCTGCGAGCTCCATTCCTTGACCAGGAGGTGCAGACCGGGAGGGTGGGAGACATGAGGTAGATGAGAGGTTAGACAAGCTGAGGTGAATGCTTCCCGGTGCTGAGTCCAAGGTCACAGCTGGGAGATGCCCAGAGGTCCCCTCAGAGCCTGGGCAGGTGGAGAATCCTACCAGCCACCGAGAGAGAAGAGGGAGCAGGCCGTGTCGCACGCCCCTCTCTCTCAGGACCCGCCCCCCTCCCCATGCCCAGGTGGGAGTCGCAGACGAGGAAACCCAGGAGGAGGAGAGCGGCCACCCAACCAGGAAGTGGAAGAACCGGGTTTCGGACTCTGGTCTACCTGAGGGTACACCTGTGCGATTCCAGGCTGGAGACTGGGATTTGAATGACGGCCGCCCTCTCCCTTCCCCTCCAGCACCCTCTGCCAGCTAGATCTTTCCTCCCGGGACCCCCCCGAGGGGGCTCATGCGTCTGGAGGCCCAGCCTCGGGGAGGAGGCTGACACAGCGGTGCCTCCGAGTGTCCTCTCCCCACCCCAGACGGCCCCGGTGGTGTCGCCCCAGATGCCTGCTCTGACCTGGTCTCACCTGCTTCGTGTTGTCCGGGGGCCCATCCTGTCCTCTAGTCCGCTTGTGGCTCAGCCCAGGGCCGCGGGGCCGCGGGAGGGGTGGCTTCTTACTGCTCAGCCCGGCCCGCAGACAGCCTCCCGCCGGGGTCCGGGGGCGCTGCGGGAACCAGGGCTGCCCCGGACCACGCTCCCAGGCTCCCAGGCTCCGTGGCACCTCCAGGAGGCTCAGTAGCACCAGATTCGGCAGGAAGCCGGGGGACAGCTCACCTGGCCATGTAATGTCCCAGCGTCCTACTCCTGGCTCCTGTCCCCCAGCTTCCAGCACCTCTGTCCTCAGTTTCTGATTCCCCTCCATCCTCCTCCTCTTCCTCCCCTTCCTCCTCCTCCTCCTCCTCCTCCTCGGCGGCGTTGCTGTCCCAGGAGAAGGTCAGTGTCCGGAGAGAGACGTGAGGCTCCCCGGGGACGAGCTCCCGCCTCGGTGTGGGGGAACCCCAGCTGGCCCAGGAGATGCTGCTCTCCTGGAGCTCCTCCAGGGAACCCATGTCCTGGGAGGACTCGGGGGCCGGGAGGGGCTCCAGGCACCTGCTCCCGCCCGGCCCTCTGCCCGGTGCCTTCTTGGCCACGTAGCCCGAGGACCCGGCCTCCTCCAGGAGGGAGGAGCCGCCGGCGCTGGCCCCGCTGCCGTCGGAAGCATCGCAAGCAGGACAGCCTTCGGCCTGGTCGCCTGCCTCCGGGCGCCCCGGGGCCTGGTGCTCCTGCTCCAGGAAACCGGGGGGCACGAGGTAGGGCTGGACGATGACGTTGTCATCCTCCTCCTCCTCCTCCTCCTCCTCGTCCTCGGCACCGTCCTCTGGCCCAGCCTGAGTGGTGGCTGCGGCCCTGCCTCTCGGGGTCAGCCTGACCCTTCTGGCCAGTTCCTTCTGGGGACAGAGGGTCAAGCCCTCCAGAGTCTCCGGGCCACTGGGCTGGAAGGTTGCCGCGGGGTATCTGTGTCCAGAAAAGTCCTGGTTTGGGGGAGGGGAGACGAGCAGAAGGTCAGGCTTTCCCGAGGCAGGACGGCTCCCCCTGGGATTCCCCGGAAACAGGCCCTGAGCCAAGGACGCACACGGACACCGTGTCTCTGGAGGTGCTCCCAGGAGAGGCCAGCAGGCGGGAGCAGGTCAGACGGGGCCGGGGAGCGGCCACTAAGATGGGTGTCATCAGGCAAGTGACACCTAAGGCAGCCGGAGCTTAACCTGCCGGAAACTCGGCAGCCAGTGCAGTGCCATGAGGTGAGGGGGGAAGGGGGAAGCAGTGCCCCTCCCTGGCACTTGCAGCCTGCCACGTGCACGGGCAGAGCAGACACCAGAGGCCAGAGACGGCCCCCAGGGTGCAGGTGCTAGCTGCTAGCTGGGAAGAACTTTTAGAAACGCTTCCTCCCTGCTCTGGCCGGCATTGCTCAATGGTTGGAGCACCGGCTTGCAGCACACCGGAGCGTCTCAGGTTCGATTCCTGGTGAGGGAACGTACCTGGGTTGCAGGTTCGATCCCCACCCCTGGTCAGGGCACATGTGGGAGGCAACACAATTGATGTGTCTCTCTCACATCGGTGTTTCTCTCTCTTTCTCTCCCCCCACACCCCCTTTTCCTACTCCCTCCCTTCCACTCTCTCTAAAAACATCAATGGGAAAATATCCTTACTCCCCAGGCAAGGATTAAAAAAAACACTCTCTCCCACATGGCACTCAGAATTCATCCTCAAAGCCCCCACCCCAGCCCAGTGCCCGCTGAGCCTCACCTATGGCCCAGCTTCCCGCATGAGCCCGACGCACCTGACCTGCCAGGCTTCCCAGGCCTCCGCAGCCTCCGCGGGCCAAGGGAGTGAGCCGGTGGACAGGGAGGGACAGGAAGGGGACTCCGGGGTCGGCCTGCGCCGGGCTCACCGGGGGCAGACTGTGAACTAAGTGTGGGGACCCTCTTACGTCTTCCCCTTTGGGCACCTTTTCCTGCCCTCCCTTTGTGGGCCGGCCTCTCTGCACCCCAAGGCTGGGGGTCGTGCTCTCGGCACCGACAAATCCTGAGCGGAGACGAAATTACTTAACTCACAGGGACTTGAGGCGCTTCTCCCTCCCAGGCATGGGCACTGGGCACCAAAGGAATGAATTACTGATCGTGGGAATGTAGATGCGAGGAAAGGAGGTGTTCTGCCATCTGGGCCGCCTTGCCAATCCGTCCGAGCGACCGCTGAGTCTACCCCGCTCCCTTGCTCAGGCGCACCCCTGGGTTTGCCGTACCAGAGCCCGGGGCATCTTCGCCCGCTGGAACCAGGGGTTCCCGGGGAAGCTCCTCCAGATCACGCAGCCCATGGCGATGACCAGCAGCAGCAGCAGCAGCGGCGGTAGCGCCAGGAGTGCCCAGTGGACTCCTGGGGAAATAATAAGGATGAGGAAGCAGCAGCAACGGCTCTGGTTTACCGACTGCCTCCGTCCCGGGGGCTTCCCGTACACACACAGTCCTTCCTGTTTACTTGTTTTTTCACACCTCATCCCAGTCTTAGTCCTCCTAAGAATAAACCCAGGCTCCAGATGGGAGAAACCAGTTAGGGAAACGGCCCAAAGACACACAGTGAGTGTGGTGGAGCCGGGGTTTCCATCGAGGTGAGCCTGTTTCTAGGCGCATGCCCCTAACCACCACATCATGAAGTTCCTGATGCGGTCCCACTGTGCACCCACCTGGGGTCCCCAGGGAGAAGCAGGTGGGCTCGGAGAACTCGCTCCATTTAGGGTCACCGAAGGCGTAGATGGTCCTGGCGCTGAGGCAGTGGTACCCTCTGGCATCCGCCTGCAGGGGGATCTGGACTGGCTGGCCATGGGAGGTCTCTGGAAACTGGGTCTGTTTGGAGAAAGAAGCAGAGGTGAGCAGACCTGTTGTGGGAACCAGCTCTGCCCAGCCAGAATGGGGTGGGGTTGGCAGCTGTGGTCCTGCAACTTCTATTCCTGCAACCAAGTTCAAGTGTCCAAGAAGCACTGCCCAGCACTGTCTGGCTTCTTTTCTGCTGAGTTTCGAGGTAGCGATGGTCTGGGTTCAAAAGCATCCTTGCCATTCAGGGTCACTCCCTGACCCGACCCCTCCCCCCTGCCATTCAGGGTCACTCCCTGCCCCCTGCCCCCTGCCCAGGGCCTGCTGGTCTTTACTTTGAGGGGCATATCCCTCAGACTTCCTGCCCCAAGGGCATCACATTTATTTGGGGGGCATCACAGACACAGAAAACTCTTGGGCGCCCGTGCAATGCAGTAGCCACTGGCCACATGTGGCTTCTGAGCACCTGAAGTGTGGCCAGGCCAAACTGGGATGGGCTCTGAGTATAAAATACACACTGGCTTTCCAAGACTAAGGGAAGGAGAATGTCAGATATCTCAATAACTTTTACATTAATTGCATGTTGAAGCGGTAACATTCTATTGGATGAAATAGAAGTCTATTATGAAAATTAAATTCACCTGTTTCTTCATTTCAGGTGTCTACCCTATGCCGCCATCTTGGTTTCTCCCTTTTCTTTTTATTTAATTTAACAAGGAACATTTAAAATTACATATCAGGCTTGTATTACATTTCTTTCTTCCTTTTCAAAGATATTTGTATTGATTTTTGAGATAGGGGAGAGGGAGAGGAAGAGAGAGAGAAAGAGGGGGGAGGAGAGAAACATCAATGTGAGAATGGAACATCTGTGGGCTGTCTCCTCCACCCCCTCCACCAGGAACAGAGCCCATGGACCAGACATGTGTCCCGACAGAAATTGAACCAGCAACCTTTTGGTGATGTCCAACCCACCGAGCCACACCGGCCGGGGCTGCATTCCATTGCTTTTGGAGAGTACTGGTTGAGGCCGTGGTCGGCAAACCGCGGCTCCAGAGCCACGCACGGCTCTTTGGTCCCTAGAGTGTGGCTCTTCCACAAAATAACCACCTGTGGGCGCGCACGTACAGGGCGAATGAAACCTCGTGGCCCATGCGCAGAAGTCGGTTTTCGGCCCGGGCGAGTCTAATTTTGAAGAAGTGGCGTTAGAACACTCAGGGGCCAAAGAGCGGCGTGCGGTTTGAGAGCCGCGGTTTGCCGACCACTGGTCTAGAGTCTCTGTAAGGTTCTGGAAGGCATGGACCACATCCAATGGTGTACGTCCTGGGAACCAGAGGTCAGGAGGGTGAGTGTGGGTTCAGAGAAAGAAAAAGGAGTAAGGATGGGGTCAGTCAACTGTACAGCCTGTGGGCAGACCTGGCTGCCGGCTTTTTAAAAAGCAACACTGGAAAACACCGAAGCCTGCGTTTACATACAGTCTCTGGTTCCTTCCGTGTCACAGATGCAGAGCTACGTAGCCGTGACAGACTACAGCGGCGGGCGGTCGCCAACCGGAGTTCCGCCAGGTGCGAAAGGTTGGCGACCGCTGGACCATAGGGTCTGCAAAGCCACAGGTATTTACAGCTGGCCCTTTAAAAAGTACGCCAACCCTGCTGTAAACACAGACAGACAGACAGACAGACACCCAGGCACCCACAGAGAACAAGTCTGAAGCTGGACAGATACCAAGGACGTAATTTGTAGTCATCTCTGATACTTTTGGTTTTCCTTGTAGAGCTCATGTGTATTTTCTGATTTTTTTTTTTCCTATAATGAATCCAGTGGCTTGGCAAGCAGGCCTCCTGCAGCTCACCATAGTTCAATCAGATTTTATTATTAAAAAACAAAAAACAAAACAAAAAACAAACAAGCAAGCGGTTTCAAAATTTAAACAATATATTATCAATAGTTAGAAAATGGCTGTGCCGGCCGGAACCGGTTTGGCTCAGTGGATAGAGCGTCGGCCTGCGGACTGAAAGGTCCCAGGTTCGATTCCGGTCAGGGGCATGTACCTTGGTTGTGGGCACATCCCCAGTAGGGGGTGTGCAAGAGGCAGCTGATCGATGACACTCTCTCATCGATGTTTTTAGCTCTCTATCCCTCTCCCTTCCTCTCTGTAAAAAATCAATAAAACATATTTAAAAAAAAAAAAAGAAAAAAAAAAAAAAGAAATGCTGAGATATTGGAGAAAATGGCCTGAAATTATTCTTTCCCTTTTTTTGCTGTGCTGTAACCACCTAGAAGGTGCAGGGACAGGACGCCCTGCACTCGGCCTGGCAGGTGGAGAAGGGCAGGGACGTGCCACGGTGAAGGGTATGCAGGAAGGCTTCCCGGAGGAGGCGTGCAGGCAGGAGGGCGGCAGGGTGAGGAGCAGCGGGGTTCGGTGGGGCCGTGGAGGAGGGGGGCACAGGTCGGGGGCAGGAGAGGGGCTTCCCACCTTGTTCCCAGTCCCCTCCTTCCAGAAATCCACTTGGTACTTCAGGTCCGACGGGGGCATGCAGGGGGGCAGCTGGTAGGTAGCATTGACCTTCAGGACCTCCTCTGTCTGAGTGACCACCAGGATGGGTGGGGCCGGCTCCACTGCGGAAACAGAACAGGACGTGTCAGGACGCTCCGGGCCTGCTCCTCGCCCAGCCCAGAGCGCCATCTGGGAGAGGGGAGCGGGCACTGGTGCTTGTCAGTCACCTGCTGTGCAGCAGGAGCCTGCCAGCCATTTTATTTTATTTATTTTTTATTATTTTTTATTATTTCATTTCATTTTATTTGTTGTATTGTATTGTATTGTATTGTATGTATTTTATTATTTTTTAAAATATATTTTATTGATTTTTTACAGAGAGGAAAGGAGAGGGATAGAGTTAAAAACTTCGATCAGCTGCCTCCTGCAGATCCCACACTGGGGATGTACCCGCAACCATGCCCTTGACCAGAATCGAACCTGGGACCCTTCAGTCCGCATGCCGACGCTCTATCCACTGAGCCAAACTGGTTTCGGCATTTTTTTAAAGCCCTGCCGTGACCCTGGAGAGGACAGCACTAGTCCCATTTTACAGAAGGGCACGCTGAGGCTTAGGGAGGTGAATGACCAGGCCACACTCGTAGTTAACCTGCCTTTGTTCGTGTTGTCCCTCGTACCGTCACATGCCACTGGCCTGCCAGAATCCTGCCCTTAAGCACCGGCTTCCTACGGCTGCTCCCACACATCACCGCCAAGGTGGTGGCGTAGAGCAGCCACATCTGTTGTCTCGCAGCGCTGCAGGTCCGAGTCCGGGCACAGGGACCATGTGTGATGCTCTGGGCAAGGAGCTGAGGGGAACAGGGAGATGAGGCCTCCATGGGTCCTGACCTGCAGGAACTGAAAGAAATTAGGGGGAGCCCTAGCCGGTGTGGCTCAGTGGATAGAGGGTCGGCCTGCGAACGGAAAGGTCCCAGGTTCGATTCCGGTCAAGGGCACATGCCTGGGTTGTGGGCTCAATCCCCAGTGGGGGGACTTGCAGGAGGCAGCCGATCCATGATTCTCTCTCATTATGATGTTTCTATCTCTCTCTCCCTCTTCCTTTCTCTCTGAAATCAATTTTGAAAAATTATATATATATATATGAAATTAGGAAAAAATGAAATATAAAAACTGCCGAAACCGGTTTGGCTCAGTGGATAGAGTGTCAGCCTGCAGACTGAAGGGTCCTGGGTTCGATTCCGGTCAAGGGCATGTACCTTGGTTGCGGGCACATTCCCAGTAGGGGGTGTGCAGGAGGCAGCTGATCGATGACTCTCTCTCATCGATGTTTCTAACTATCTCTCTCCCTTCCTATCTGTAAAAAAATCAATAAAATGTATTTTTTTTTAAAAAAGAAAAGAAATATAAAAACTACCAAAACTTTAGAAAGAAAGTGGCCAGGGCCACAGTGGAGGGCAGAAAAAGGCAGGAAGGGTCATTCAGGGTTAGGGTGTGCTGCAGGAAAATCAGGGGGGCTTCAGGGAGGAGGCAGCAAAAAAAAAAGTAACTAAAAAAAAAAAAAGGCAATCTCCTGCCTGAATCGTTCCCTCCATTTCTATCTATCCAACCATTCAGTGGTTCGTCCACCGTTCTTCCAGCACGACTTCCCCTGTTCCTGCCTCCCGTCTCTCCTTCCCAGACAACATCCCCTCCTTCCTCTCCACCCTTTCTAGCCAATCAGCCTACGTTTCTGCTCACCCAGCCATCCTTCTTTCCTTTCCACCTATCTTCCCTCCCTTATTTTCCTTCCTTCATTCGTTTGTTCATTTCTCTTCCCCCTCCTCCCCTTCCTTCCCAGCCCTCCCTACACAGCCAGCCTTGCTTCGGTGCTCTCTAACCACTGACCCACCCACCCATCTGCCTCTCCTTCTTGTCCTCCCTCTCCCCATCCACACTTGCTTCCTCCTAGTATAAACAATGCCTGTACGGTTCATGATCAAGGCTGTGCTCGATAGAAGATCAGAAATATCATAGTAAGAGGTACTGGCTGGCCGAAACCGGTTTGGCTCAGTGGCAGAGCGTCGGTCTGCGGACTGAAAGGTCCCGGGTTCGATTCCGGTCAGGGGCATGTACGTTGGTTGCGGGCACATCCCCGGTAGGGGGTGTGCAGGAGGCAGCTGGTCGATGTTTCTCTCTCATCGACGTTTCTAGCTCTCTATCTCTCTCCCTTCCTCTCTGTAAAAAATCAATAAAATATATTTTAAAAAAAATAAAAGAGGTACCGGCTGAACTGTGGCGCTGTGCCCCGAACTCCCTGCCGTGAAGTGGCCAGGGCGCTGCCCCGGGGAAGCGGGGGACAGACGGTCGCACGGCTGTGCCACTGAGGCAAGTGCTTGGACGGAGGGCCTCCCACCCAGACCCCGACGCACAGACCCACCTTCAAAAAGGTACTCCAGGTACTTGGACTCCACCCAGGGGGACCTGGCGCCGGGGGCAACCGCCTGCACACGGCCCTTGAACTTGTTGAACAGGTCCTGCTTCTCCAGGCACATCAGGGAGCACGTCAGCTCTGTGGTTGGGGTGCACCTTCTCACCTTCCGCCACCGTCTGGGGGTTGCCAGGAAGCTGAGGGAGGAAACAGAGGCGCATTGGGCCGTGGTCACGGCTTCCTGGGACAGGGGGACTTACAGGACAAGGGATCCACCCCTCTGTCCTCTGTCCTCCGTCCGTCTCTCCAGCTCAGGCTCCGGAGAGACACGCGCGGGTGGGACCTGTGGCTCCGGCCCCCACCAGCCCTGGGACCCTCTGCAGGTGACAGCCCTGGGCCCCGGGCTCCTCCCCTGCCCTGTGTCATGGTGGCTGCTACTGCAACAATTTTGCACGTTTATTCGTTCGGGCACTTATGGACCGACCACCTGCTGTGTGCCAGGCACCCCGCCGGGGGCTGTGTGGGCGTCAGAGGGGGACATGCAGGCCCACGACTCCGACCTCCTGAGAACGCTGAGCTCAGAGACCTGAGCTCTGGGCATCCTTCCTGGGGGAACGGCCCTCGGAAACCTGCGCGCGGGCGGGCGGGAGGAGGGATGCCCGGCACACTGACCAGATTAAGTCCTGGTCAGGGCAGAGGCCACAGCGACAGGAAGGGTGTCAGGGGAAGGCCCGGGGGGACCAGCAAAAGGAAAAGCCCTGCGATGGGGAGGATCCGGACGAGAGCCAGGAGGCCAGTGCGGCCGAAACCCAGGGCCAGGGAGGAGGACGCTGTGCACAGACGGGGGGTGAGGGTGGGGAGGGGCCTGGGCAGAGCAGGTGGCCACACCGTCCTGGTAAGGAGTCTGGCTTTCATTCCAAGTGTGATTGGAAGCCACGGGGAGGTTCTGAACAGGGGACTGATCGAATTTATGTCTCTATTTTTTTAAAATATATTTTTATTGATTTTTTACAGAGAGGAAGGGAGAGTTAGAAACATCAATGAGAGAGAATAATAGATCAGCTGCCTCCTGCACACCCCCTACTGGGGATGTGCCCGCAACCAAGGTACACGCCCTTGACCGGAATCGAACCTGGGACCCTTCAGTCAGCAGGCCAATACTCTATCCACTGAGCCAAACCAGATAGGGCTAATTTATGTTTTTAGAAAATCACTGGGAAACCAGCAAGGAGGCTGCCGCCATGATCCGAGAGAAGGGGTTGAATTCAGGATATATTTTGGAGCAAAAATAGACAAACTACAGGAAGAAACAGAAAACCCATAATTACAGTGAGAGAAAAAAAAATCTTAATACAACTAAGCAATTAACAATTAAACAAAGTAATGAAAAATATAAAAAAATGAACAAATAGTTTGTCTAATGAACACACAGAGGACAAACGGAACAAACTGGGTAAGCCACAGCGTTGAAGCCCTAACCCCCAACGTGCCTGCATAGTAGTCTCCCCTCATCTGAGGGGGGATGTGTTCCAAGACGCCCAGGAGATGCCTGAAACTGCCGAGAGTATCGTGCCTCTTTTCCTACACATACATATCTTCGATAAAGTTTAATTTACAAATTAGAAACAGTAAGAGCGTAATAATAACTAATACTAAATGATATTACCATGACACTACCTGATAATAAAAGTTATGTGAATGTGGTCTCTCTAGCTCTGATAAGCAAACTGGTAATGGAGACGGCCGCTGAGTGACTAGCAGGTGGGCGGCGTACACAGCGGGGATATGCTGGGTCAGGTTGTTCGTGTCCTGGAATGGAGCGGGGGTGGTGGTGCCAGATTTCACCACGCTCCTCAGAACGGCGTGCCGTGTAGCACCGAGGAAGTGTTTGTTTTTGGAATTTTCCATTTAGTATTTCTGAACTGTGGTTGACTCCGGGTAACTGAAACCATCCGAAAGCCAAACCACGAATAAGGTGAGGCTGCGGCATTTGGGGACAGGCCCTTTAAAGATGTTATTAATGTTAAACATGGTCATAGGTTGAAGACTGGTGTTCTTAAAAGAAGAGGGAGGGACAGCAGGGACAGAGGAAAGGCCAGGTGAGGAGGTGGCCACCTGCAAGCCCAGGAGAGAGGCCTCAGGAGAAAGCAAACACACCGACACCTTGATCTTGGACTGCCAGCCCCCAGATCTGTGAGACATGAATTTCCGTTGTTTAAGCCTTGCCCCCACCCCGGTTTATGATATTTTGCTGTGGCAGCTCTAGCAAGCTAAGCTAAACACACTCAGGTTTTGGCATCATGGTGGGGTGCTGATGCAGCAAATATTGGAAAAGGTGTAAGTGGTTTTAGAACTGGGTCATGGGTAGAGGCTGGCAGAGTTTTGAGGTGCATGTGGGAAAAAGTCAAGACTGCCTTGAAAAGACTGTGGGTAGGAATATGGATGTTCCAGGTGGTTCTGGGGAGATCTCAGGTGGGAAGGAGGAATGTCTTATTGGAAACTGAAGGAAAGGTGAGCCTTGCTATAAAGAGGCAAGGAGCTACAGAACTGCAGGACTAGCATCCACCTATGAAAATTACTAAAAATTCCATAATGTCAGTGTTCAGCCTGAGTTTAGATTTCACCACTGTCCCTTACATGTCTTTTTATAAATAACTAGTTTGGATCAAAATCCCAGAGAAATCTCCATGTGGTGGGGGGGAAGAGAGAGGCAAAGAGCATGGTTGAATCTCGTTCTAGTGGTTTTTGGAAAGTAGAAGTTAGAAATGATGAACTTGGGCCCTAACCGGTTTGGCTCAGTGGATAGAGCGTCAGCCTGCAGACTGAAAGAACGGTCCCAGGTTCGATTCCAGTCAAGGGCATTTACCTTGGTTGTGGGCACATCCCCATTGGGAGGTATGCAGGAGGTAGCTGATTGATGTTTCTCTCTCATCGATGTTTCTAACTCTCTATGAAAAATAGAGAGTTACTTCGTCTCTGTGAAAAAAATCAATAAAATATATATTTTTTAAAAGAAGTGATGAACTTGGTGTTCAGCTGAGGAGGTTTCAATGGAAAGTGTTGAAGATGTAACCTGGTTTCTCCTTTCTGCTTGTGGTAAAATGAGGAGGGAGAAGAGCAATAAATAGAAAATGGAAGATTTGAAAAATTCTCAGCTTATGCATATCGCAGGAAGCGAGAAAGCAGACTCTGGAGAGCATACCAAGAGTGTGGCTAAAGAAAGCTTGGTTGTGGCTGATTTCAGGTTTTAGGTTAGAAATCGTGCAAATGAGCCTGAAACATCTTGTCATAACAACAAAAGATACCAAAGGCGACTGGAGTCAAGTTCAAAGTACTCAGGAGCCAAGGTGAGGAGCCTTTTGCTGGCCAAGCTCCACTGAGTAGAATGAGTTTCCACAGATGGAAACCATTAGGCATAAGAATAATAAAAGGAAAAAGGAGTCCATGACTATTTGGGAGGTGACAGAGAACCAAATCATTCTCTTGAAAACTGGTAAATAAAAGGAGGGGGGAAAAAGCCCAAGCAGGGCTCCTGTCTTGCCTGTTTGAAAAGTACCTCTGAAGATCCAATACCGTAAAGAAAGCACCTCTTTCTAAAATAATTGCCACTATAGAATAAAAATAATCCAATTAGAATAGAACCGTTCTGCAGATCTCAGGTGTTTAGACAGTGCAAATGAGAAGGCAAATATCGCAAAGGTCCAGAGGGTGGCCTTCGAGCTCTTTAATCCACTTACCACAGCCCCACTCTTTTATTTTTTTTAAGATTTAAAAAAAATATATATTTTATTTAAATATATTTTATTGATTTTTTTTACAGAGAGGAAGAGAGAAGGATAGAGAATTAGAAACATCAATGAGAGAGAAACATCGACCAGCTGCCTCCTGCACACCCCCTACCAGGGATGTGCCCGCAACCAAGGTACATGCCCTTGACTGGAATCGAGCCTGGGACCTTTCAGTCCGCAGACCGACGCTCTATCCACTGAGCCAAACTGGTTTCGGCTATTGATTTTTTTTTACAGAGAGGAATAGAGAGCTAAAAACATCAACCAGCTGCCTCCTGCACATCCCCTACTTGGGATGTGCCGGAAACCAAGGTCCATGCCCTTCACTGGAATCGAACCTGGGGCCCTTCAGTCCACAGGCTGACACTGACTGAGCCAAATTGGTTAGGGCCCAGCCCCATTCTTTCCAGCCGTGTGACCCTGAGCAAAAGGCATTCATGGTGCAGAGTGGAGCCCCTGCCTCCTTCCTCCAAAGACGGTGGGAGATTAGACACGGTTAAGGCACTGGCTCAGTGCTGACCTAACCTAACAACAGTGTCAGGTGCTCTCTGCTTCCTGACACGGCTCTGCACGGCTCCTTCTTCGGAAAGCTCTCTTGCAGCCTGTCCTCCGAGCCAGGCCCCCGTCACTCACACCTGGGTGCTAAGGGCAGAGGGACTGCGATGGGATAGGAAGAGCACCAACTCTGGGGTCAGACAGACTTGGGAAAGATTTCCTTCTGGCTCCGTCGCCAGCTTCCTGGGGCAAATCACAGCGGCTTCCTGGCCTGTACACCGGGGAAGCGCAGCCCCGGCTGGTGACGGGGAGGGAGTGACCCGCTCCTGGAGGCTCCGCCCGCCCGTGGCAGGCAGACGGGGCCCTGAGCCCAGGGCAGCGTGCTCCCCTCCCTGCGACCTCCTCCTCCCCAATGGGAGATCAAGCCTCCGGAGTGTGAGCTTTGATCCGCTTCCTCTCCCGCTACAGACCCTCCCGTCCTTGTGCCAAGACGGGGAAGCCGTGGGCATCTTCCGTTGCCTCTGGGTGGGCAGTGGCTGCCTGGCCTGCCACGCTGGGAAGGACACTGGCGAGGAGGCTGTGTGCAGGCTCCGTGGGGAACAGGGTGACCGTCTAGTGATTGATGCCCCGCACGGGCTCTGCAGGAGACTCCTGCCCCCCTCATCCGCCCGAACACCTCCAAGCCCTGAATCTAGGCCCCCAGGAATCCAGTTGCTCCACCCAAGCCCTGCTCCGACTTTTCTCAAAGATCCACCCTCACCCCCCCGGCAGGCCCATCCCCCGGGCACTGCTCTCTGCTCAGCACCATCCCCACCTTCAGACCGTTACCCAGCGCCCCCTCCGGGTACCTGCCACATGCCATCTCCCCGAGGACGCAGAGAGCCTGCCAAGGCTGCCCCACGGAGAGCAGCTTCCCCAGGAAGGCCCTCCCGCCCCTGCCACCCCCTCAGGCTCCCCCCACCGGCCGGAGGCTCCCCCTCACCTCTGATAGGCCACTCGATAGGTCACGTCCTGGGGGTTGCCTGGCCCGGGGAGCCACGTCAGGTACACGCCGAAGTCCCGGGAGAGCAGCGTCACGTTCTGGGGAGGGGCCAGGGGGGGCCTCCCTGCGGGGGAGAAAGAGGCGTGAGGCCCGGAGCTCAGGGCTCATCCTGACCTGGGCCTTTCGGAGCTGCAGAGCGGCGTGGCGGGTTAGGAACCAGGAGCCTCTGGTGGCTGAGGCGTGGGGGCCGTGGTGGAGGCTGGGGGTCAGGGTCCCCGTGACGGCCACACCAGAGTGGCTGTACTGCAGCCTCGTACCCTCCACATGCCCCGCAGCCCACCTGCCCACTCTGCCCCGAGGGTCCCAGGAGACCACAGAGCAGGGCCATCTGGGTCTCCCGGCGACAGGAGGGGACAGCCCCAGGGTCTAATGAGCAGGTGCTCTGCCCGGTTCCCAGCCACGTCCCAGAGCCCGCCTGCAATGGTCCCTGCACGTAGTAGATGCACAATAAATATCTGAACCAGGCCATGGCCGGTGTGGCTCAGTGGATAGAGCGTCGGCCTGTGGACTGAAGGGTCCCGGGTTCGATTTCGGTCAAGGGCATGTACCTTGGTTGCGGGCACATCCCCAGGTGGGGGCGTGCAGGAGGCAGCTGATGGATGTTTCTCTCTCATCGATGTTTCTAGCTCTCTATCCCAGTGTTTTTCAACCTTTTTTGGGCAAAGGCACACTTGTTTCATGAAAAAAATCACGAGGCACACCACCATTAGAAAATGTTAAAAAATTTAACTCTGTGCCTATATTGACTATATATAAAGTAATTCTCTTGAATAGGAATCAAATAAACACAAAGAAAGTATTTTATAATTACTTTATTATGAAATATTAAGTAAACAAAATAGTGAAAAATTATAAAATTCTTGTCTTGTCTGCACCTACGGCACACCAGGCAACATCTCGCGGCACACTAACAGCGGTTGAAAAACGCTGCTCTATCCCTCTCCCTTCCTCTCTGAAGAAAAAAAAAAAGATCAAGAAATAAAATATCCGAACCAATCCTGGGGTAACTTGGATGATTGTGAAGACCTTCCAGCGGGGCTCCCTGCTCCCAACCTTGTCTCCACACGACAGCAGACGTTCAAGTGGAAGTCAGATCCTGCCCCGCTCTGCCCCACCCCTCTGCCCCTTGCTCCCTCTTCTCCGGCCACACCGGCCTTTCGGCTGATCCTCAGGAACGCCAGGCACGCACTGGGAACAGCCACGAGCAGCCAGCAGTGCGGTCTGGGGGACACGTTCCCCCCCACCCTCACTTCCCCTTGTCCCGCTGAGAACCCTCTCTGCCACGTGCATCTGATTACACAGATGCCCAGGCCATGCCCTGCCCTCGCCTGCGGAATAAAGTCCACCGTCCTTATCACAGAGCGTGAGGCCCTGCCCGGCCCGGCCCGGCCCAGCCTGGCCCTCCGGCTGGCCTCTTCCCCACAGGCTCTCGGGCTGCGCCAGTCCGCCCTCCTGACCTTCTCAGGAACCACGGAGTTCTTTGGGGTGCCTCTGAACCCAAGCGTCTTTGACTGCCAGGCATTCAGCACCTAATCTTTCATGTATTTATTTTTGTTAGTTCTCACCTGAGGATATTTTTTTCTATTGATTTTACTAAAGAGAGAGTGGAAGGGTGGGAGGGGGAGAGAGACAGACAGACAGACAGAGAGAGGGAAACACTGATGTGAGAGAGACACATCGATTGGTTGCCTCCTACACATGCCCCACCTGGGGCTGAGGATGGAACCTAAAACCCAGGTATGGGCTCTTAAATCAAACCTGCAACCCTTTGGTGTGCGGGCCAATGCACTAACCACTGAGAACACTGGCCAGGGCCATCATCTAATCTTTTAAAGCCTCCATTCGAATGCCACTTCCTCCAGGGAGCCTTCCCTGACTTCTCTAAGTGGCGATGCTAGCGGCGAATGTGTATTGTGTCCTAACTGCATTGCCTGCATTTCCTCTTTCAAACCTCCCCACCACCCCTAGGTCAGCGGTCGGCAAACTGCGGCTCACGAGCCACATGTGGCTCTTGGGCCCCTTGACTAATTTTTAGCAAAGGCCAGCTCAGGAGTACCCTAATTCAGTTAATAACACTGTACCCACCTATATATTATAGTCTAAGTTTTTTTAAAAAATTGGCTCTTAAAAGATGTCAGTCGTTGTCCTGTTGGTATTTGGCTCTGCGGACTCATGAGTTTGCCGACCACTGCCCCGGGCATCTGGTACTAATCGTGATCATCACGTTGTGGGCGAGGACACGGGGGCCCTCCCAGCTAATGAGCTGTGGAATCAGAACTCAAATGGAGGCCTAGCCAACCCCGAAGTCTGAGCTTCTGACCACACAGGGCCTGTTCAGCTTTAGTCTCCCAACACCAATGGGCCGTTATTGGTCAGCAATGTCTACGGGCCACTGGGTGCCAAGGTTTCAGAGAAAACAACTCCATCCCTGCCCTGCAGGCGCCTGTGGGCCCAGGGAGAACCAGTGCCCTGCAGTGCCCCCTGGGCCCCGACAGAAACCCACCCAGATGACAGAACAGTTACAGAAGGGCTTTGGGGAGAGACAGGCAGTACTACTGACGGCTCTCCACTGGGCTCCCTACCCCGGCCTTCCGGCCCCGATAGGCCTGCCCGTGTCCTTGTGTTGGAGACGGCTCGCTGGGATGCTGGTGCAGCCACTGCTCCCAGCTTCCGGATTTTCCAGCAGACGACTGGCTGGAGGCCACCGTGCGAGCCTGGCCACAGGGGAGAATGCTGCCCGCCAGAGGCGGTTCTGGCATTTTACACACAAACCTCCATCAGTCCTGAGGACGAACCGCCCGTGGGGGAGTGTTACTTCCCCTCCGTGGGGGGCGGGGGGAGCACTAGGCCTGGAGACAGACGGTGAATCATTCCCTCGAGGCCACGCAGCTAGTTTGAGTGGGAGCCAGGATGTGAACCTGGATCCAGCTGAACTTCGCCGTAACTCCGTGGTCGGCAAACATGCGGCTCTTTGGCCCCTTGAGTGTGGCTCTTCCACAAAATGCCACGGCCTGGGCGAGTGTATTTTGGAGAAGTGCCGTCAGAAGAAGTTTAAGTTGAAAAAATTTGGCTCTCAAAAGAAATTTCAATTGTTGTCCTGTTGATATTTGGCTCTGCGGACTAATGAGTTTGCCGGCCACTGCCCTAACCCATCACACCACAGTTTGTGTTGCATAAATTAAAAAATCCCTCGGGAGCCCAGCCGGTGTGGCTCAGTGGTTGGAGCATCGACCTATGAACCAGGAGGTCACTGTTTGATTCCTAGTCAGGATACATGCCTGGAGTCCAGGCAGCATCCCCAGTAGGGGGCGTGCAGGAGGCAGCCCATCAATGATTCTCATCATTGATGTTTCTCTCTCTCTCCCTCTCCCTTCCCCTCCGAAATCAATAAAAATATATTTTTTTAAAAAATAAGATGAATAAAGGTCTCGCGGGGAAAGCTCAGTTAGGTCTGGACAAGAAAGGAACTGAGTTGATAGTGACACTGGGAGCCAGAGGACCCCTCCTCCCCTCCCTCACGCTGTCCCTCATCAGCTGCAAAGACACTCCCTGCTGGGAGGCAGGCGCCAGGGGCTGGGGCACCCCTGAGCGGACCTCAGTAGCTTGACAGCCCTGTGCCAACCGCCCAAGCCACCGGCAGGGCCCACCAGGATGGCTTCAGCCTGCCTTCCCTGGTCTGTGTCCCACCTCTGCCTCCTTCCTGGGCAATTCATTGCTCTCTGAGCCTCCGTTTTCTACCACAGAAAAAGGAGAAAGTAATCTCTATGTCACATGTGTCAAACACAAGGCCCGCGGGCCAAATCTGTCCTGCCAGGCCTTGCAATGTGGCCCGCACCGCGCTGTCATCACTGCACTCCGCTGCGTTTCCATCACAATGACAGTTTATGACTGTTCAGTAAACCATTCGGCCCGCGATTTAGGCTGGATTTTAGATTTTGGCCCCTTCTCTGATTGAGTTCGACACCCCTACTCTATGTCATAGGACGCCTGGGCTGGCTGTAAAGCTTAAATAGGATGACGTGGTGCTCAGCACAAACAAGCTGCTCCATGAAAGTTGTCTCTGCTGAAACCGGTTTGGCTCAGTGGATAGAGCGTCGGTTTGTGGACTGAAAGGTCCCGGGTTTGATTCCGGTCAGGGGCATGTACGTTGGTTGGCAGCTGGTCGATGTTTCTCTCTCATTCTCTATCCCTCTCACTTCCTCTCTGTAAAAAATCAATAAAATATATATATTTTAAAAGTCTCTAAATTAAGGTGACCAGACATCCCGATTTTTTTAACAATTTGTCCCGCGTCCTGCAGCATTTTAAAACAGTCCCGATTTTTGTAAAAAAAAATCAATAAAATATATATTTAAAAAAAAAAGAAAAAGAAAAGAAGGGGGCTTAGGACAGAGTCACCCTGGGGCACCACTGACCAGGGCTCCTCTCCCTCAGGCCAGGGGCGCACCTGACACCCCGCAGGGGGTGGGGGCTGCGGGGCAGGCAGGCCCCGTCTGACTCCCCCGGGGGGGCTCAGCGCGGGGTGAACGTGGCGGGCAGGACCCCGGGGTGGGGGTCGGGGGGACCCCTAAAATGCACGATAGGAATGAATGCAGCGGTTTACATCGGTCTCTCCCCCGCTCCCAGGAGCCGCGCTGGCATTGGGAAACGGGGTTCCAGTGGAAAGGAACGCCCAGGCTCCGGTGGGTGGGCCAGGCGGCCAGCGCCCCGCGGCACTGCGGCCCCCGAGGCTCCGGCCACGTCCCTCCCTCCCTGCTCGGAGCTCGGGTCCGAGGGTGGACGCGCTCGCCCGGGCGTCCCGCACCCTCACCTCCAGCGGACCGCGCCCCCCCCGCACCCCTACCTCCGGCGGGCCGTACTCTCCCGCGCCCCCCCGCCCCCCGCCCCCTCACCTCCGGCGGGCCGTAGTCTCCCGCGCCCCCGCACCCTCCGCAGCCCCCCTCCCCCGCACCCCTACCTCCGGCGGGCCATACTCTCCCGCGCCCCCCCCGCACCCTCCCGCGCCCCCCCCCCCGCACCCTCACCTCCAGTGGACCGCGCCCCCAACCCCCCGCACCCTCACCTCCGGCGGGCCGCGCCCGCCCCCCACCGCACCTTCACCTCCGGCGGGCCGCGCTCCCCCGCACCCCTACCTCCAGCGGACCGTACCCCCCCCCGCACCCCTACCTCCAGCAGACCGTAACCCCCCCCTCCCCCCGCACCCTCACCTCCGGCACCCCTACCTCCAGCGGGCTGTACCCCCCCCCCCCCCGCACCCTCACCTCCGGCACCCCTACCTCCAGCGGGCCGTAGCAGGCACAGCAGCAGGAGGGCCCAGCGCCCGGGCCGGGTCATGTCTGCCCTTCTCCGGCGCCCGGAGGGCCCGGTCCGCTCAGCTCGCCGCCCCGCCCCCGCTCACCGCCCCGCCCCCGCCCCCGCTCACCGGCGGTAGGTGAGAGGCCGGCAGCCAATGGGAGGCCGGGCCCGGGGACCGCCCCCGCTCACCGCCCCGCCTCCGCTCACCGCCCTGCCCCCGCTCACCGGCCGCAGGTGACAGGCCGGCAGCCAATGGGAGGCCGGGCCGGGCGGGGCCGGGGACCGCCCCCGGGGGCCGGGGCTCGGCTGGGGCTTCCCCCGGGGGCGCCCCGCGGCGGACGGAGGCTCGGGCTCTGGGCTCCGGGCTCCCTGGGCGTGCACTTGGCGGAGCCCGGGTGCGGGTGCGGGGACCGTGAATCGGTGTGTGCGAGGAGGAAAGTGTTTCTTTAAATTAATAATCAGCGTTAGGAATCCCAGGACGAGGTTTTTAACGAACGGGACCGCGGAGCGTCCAGGGCCAGCCTCGCCGGGGACACCGCCGCGGGACCTGAGCGTGTGTTCTGGGCCCACACTGAGCCAAGCGCTTTAATGGAGAGCAATCATGCAACTAATGTAATTAATGCATTATTGCTTTGATCTCCCCGACTTACCGGAATCCAGGGGGTTGGTCCCGTGGCTCTCCGCATTCCCACGGGCTTCTTCCCCGAAGCCTGGCTTGCGATACATTCCCTCAGTAGCAAGTTCTGTTCAGGGCAGAAACGTAATATTGGGAACTAGCTATTCGCAATCAGAAATAAATATTCTTCGTGCTCTGTGAACCATGATTGTTTGGTTCTGATTAAAGAAAGCATGTTCTAACTTGCCAGGAGTTCCGGGAACTGCCTGTCATTGTGGAGAGATTTACAACCTCTTTGTCTGAAACAACTGAGTCCCAAGGGATCTGCTCTTCACCACCCAACCCCAGCCCCTAAGGGCTGTAATCTAGTCCTCAGCGCCCAGAGGCACCCACGCTCTATGACTCCTCCCCCAGCCTACGTGACTGGTAACCTGTAGTGATTATCTTGGGCCTGCAGTTCCTGCTTTCCCACCTCATCTTTGTCCATCAGCAGCTGGGTTATGGGAAGAGGCAGAGCAGATGTTTGCGGATGACCTGCTGCTCTCCCATCCTGTCGGCATTATGGGAATAAACGCTTGTATATGACTCAACCCTGTCTCTGCTGAATTGGCTGAAGTAGTGACAGGCAGCCCAGACCCCTTGGTTGTCCGGTTAGAGTACTACCAAAATATTGTTATGGGTTCAAAATAAGACCACCGGAGGCTGATGATTAATTAAAAAGCAGGCAAAGATGTATTGAAATATCTGGCCAGGTCAGACGCGAGAGCACCACACGCAGGTGGTCTCACACGACTGCACCGTTTCAGGGGTAGGCAGCCCCTTTTAAAGGTTCAAACCCCAGGAATTTTCCTTTGTTCTAAATTCTAAATCCTAAAGACTACATTCTAAAGACTGGGGTCAGCCGGCAGGTTCGTTGCTAGTCACATCCTGCTGGACATTGGAATGTGGCCCCATCCTGCAATAGCTGATAACACAGAAGGAGAGCTCAGAGGTTATCTGCAGTTTCTATCTCTGAAGGTTACTGAGTTAGTGGGAATTACTCTCCTGTGCTCCTGGTCCCAGGCAAGGGAAAATTGCCTTAGCACATTAAAAAAAATAAATAAAGAAAAAAAAAAAAGTCTGTCTGTAGGCACGAGTAACAGCTTTGAGAGGGTATACACCAATATGTTCGTGGTTGTTACCTCTGGGTGATGAGGACTTTTTATTTTTTTTAATATATTTTTATTGATTTCAGAGAGGAAGGAAGAGGGAGAGAGAGCTAGAAACATCAGTGATGAGAGAGAGTCATTGATTGGCTGTCTCCTGCACAGCCCCACTGGGGATGGACCCTTGACTGGAATCAAACCTGGGACCCTTCAGTCTGCAGGCTGATGCTCTATTCTATCCACTGAGCCAAACCTGGTAGGGCTGATGAGAACTTTTTAAAATTTCTTCTTTCTACGTATGTTTATTTTTATACATTTTCAATTATGCGTTGCTTTTCCAACAAGAAAAGTCACTTTTATTCTAAAAATAATCATAGCTCTCCTTTATTAAATATAAAAAATTCTTTTTATAAAGAATTTTTTTAAATATATTTTATTGATTTTTTTACAGAGAGGAAGGGAGAGAGATAGAGAGCTAGAAACATCGATGAGAGAGAAACATCGACCAGCTGCCTCCTGCACACCCCCTACCAGGGATGTGCCCGCAACCAATGTACATGCCCTTGACCGGAATCGAACCCGGGACCTTTCAGTCCTCAGACCGACGCTCTACCGCTGAGCCAAACCAGTTTCGGCTAAATATATTCTTTTCTGTCCTTCCACAATGCTTAAAGGAGGCACCGCCTCTTCTTTTTTTTTTTATAAATCCTCCCTGAGGATATTTCCCCATTGATTTTTAGAGAGAGGGAAAGACAGAGAGAAATATCGATAGCTGCAGTCTGATACTCTATCCACTGAGCCAAACGGGCCTGGGGCCTTTACAGATGAGGAAACTGCCTTTCTGAGAACCCAGAGAGCTTATGCAGGCGCCGGACTGGGTTCCACTCTGCCTCTGGGCCGGGCCAGGCCGGGCGACCACAGTGCAGCTGTGACCAAGCCCCTGCACCAGGACCAGACACGCGGGCAGCAGAGAGAAGTAGCTGTCGCAGGTGCTGGCTCTCGCTGGGATCCCAGCAGTTCTTGGGAGAGAGAATGCACTTTCACAGAACTTACTGGGTTTCCCTGGGTGCCAACATTCAGAAATTTCAGGGTAGCCCCGGGGTTTGCATCGTGCCTTCAGCCCAATCGGTACTTCCTCACAGGGGCCATGGCTGGACCTCAAAGGAAGGAAAGGGGCCTCACGTGGCAGGCACACTCTTACGTTTCTTGGAATTTCTTCTGAAATTATGACTTTGTAGCAGAATAAAATAATGAGTCTCTCTGACTCCATCTGGGTTGAGCCTGCCCAGTTCCATTAACATGTATATCAGTAACTTCCTAGTCCTGCCCGTTGGAGTTGGGCTTATCCCTAGAGGATTCTCATCTGTAGACTGATTATTTAAAGATTTATAGGAACCTCATGCCGGCGGCCACAGCTAGTTGACCAATGCAAAGAAGTTTCACAATCTTCTTGGATCTTTCCTAAGGTCCAGATGTCTGTGGTGACCAATCACCTTCTGAGCTCAAAAGTATCCCCCTTCCCCCACTTTCCCTGACATAAGAGAGCCTACATTCTGTACTTTCTCCAGAAGGTTCTTTGGGACGCTCGTCTGCCACCTTCTTGGCTGGCTGGCTTTTCGATGACGTTGCTTTCCTTGCCTGCGCCCATGTCATTCGACGGGTGGCTGTCGTGCAGCGAGCAGCTCTAGCTTTTCTGATTACAACTTCATTGACCCACCGCAGCCCTTCCCGACCCAGCACCCCCCTGGGCAGGACCATGTCTGCGGTGGGACCTTGCCTGCTCTGCTGGTGTGATGTTGGTCTGCATGTGGCACCTGCTCGTTTCGCTTGCTCCCCCTTTCCCTCCACCCCATCGTTTCGCGTTAGGAAACCGTGTGTCTGGGTGCCTTGGTGCGTCCATACAAGGTGGGGCAAAAGCCTGTTTACAGTTGTGAGTAGGGAAAACAAGGGTTTATTCTTGTATTGTTACTGATTATTGTATTACTAGAGGCCTGGTGCATGACATCGCGCACAGGGGGAGGGTGTTCCCTCAGCCTGGCCTATGCCTTTTCGCAGTCTGAGAGCCCTCGGGGGTTGTCCGACTAATGGCTTAGGCCTGCTCCCCGCCAGGCCTGAGCTGTCAGTAGGACATCCTTCGTACTTCCACGGAGGCGGGAGAGGCTCCAGCCACTGCCACTGCGCTCACCAGCTGTGAGTCTGGCTTCTGGCTGAGCGACACTCCCCGTGTTAGTACAGTGACCACCAGAGGGCAGCGCCTGCATTGAGTGTCTGCCCCCTGATGGTCAATGCATGTCATAGCAACTGGTCTCTCTGAAGGTCAGTCTATTTGCATTTTAGCCTTTTATTATATAGGATTTTCCATAGGAACAACTGTAAACCAGCGTTTGCCCCAACCTATATAAGAGGACATTTTGTGATCACGAACTTGGGTAAGTTGCATCTCTCAAAACCTTAAAGAAAAAGTCATCTTGGATGCAGGTCCAAGAAAATCTCAGCCAGTTCCCCGGACATGGGCCCTCCACCTGTCCTCAGTGTGCTGGTCAGTTTCTTTCCAGCATCTCAAACACTGATCGTAAGTCCATTCTGGAATAGGATGGACACGTCTCTATTGAGCTCTCTCTACCTAAAACAGCACTCGGGAGCATTATTATTTGTTGAGACTTTGTGATGCGGCAGGGAGTACACTTTACCTAAATTATGGTATTTATTCCTCCCAACAGTCCCCGGGAGGAGGTTGTAAAAGCCCCTGCTAACAAGTGAGACTCTGAGAGGTCACGTTGCTTGCCGAAGGTTACACGCTGGTTAGTGACAGGGCTGGGTTTCAGACCTCCATCTGGCTGTCCTCAAAACCTGTGGGCTCAAAACTTCTGCTACTCAGCCTCCAGATGGTTCGGCCAGGCAAATATAAAATCCCCAGCCTCTTTCACTTCCTGACTTGCAGAGACCACAGCACGAAACTCTCAAAAGGGGCAAGGTGTGGCAGTCAGCGGAGTGGCAGCTTCCTCTTTGGATTATTAGGTGGAAACGGTGATGCTGGTACATGTTTCTCAGGGAGACGCCCTTAACTGCAGCTCTGATTTGTTTCCAATCCCCATGTAAGTCTCCTTGATAGTATTTAATCACCGTTTCCTGTAAATCACTTTTGTGCCTTTAATATCTCTGTTTCCTGGATATAGCCTCAGGGCCTGGCACATAGAAGGTACTCTTTTAAGAGTAACAGCCCTAGCCAGTTAGCTCAGTGGGTAGAGCATTGGTCTGTGGACTGAAGTGGCCCAGGTTCTATTTTGGTCAAGGGCACACGCCCGGGTTGAGTGCTCAAT